GATCTCAGTAAAGCAGATGCTCTAGATTTAACTACTCTATTTAACCTTTGGTTTGAGTCCGGTAAGGTGCCCGAGCAACTAAAGCTCAACAACACAATCATTATACCGAAGGGTGAGGCCGATTCAACAGACATATCTAAATGGCGGCCCATAACCATTGGTTCGTACCTGCTGAGGTTATATACTAGAGTATTAAATACTAGACTTACAGAGGCTACTGCCCTCAACCCTAGGCAGAAAGCCTTCATACCCGCTGATGGCTGTCTGGAGAATGTGTCCCTGTTGGACCATCTCATTTCCAAGTATAGACATGAGAATAAATCGTACTATGTCATGTTTTTAGATCTGTCGAAAGCGTTCGACTCAGTCCATCATAGCTCTATCTCTAGGGCTCTTAAAAGACATAATATTCCAGCTCATTTCATCACGTGCATTGATGATCTATACACCGGCGTCAGGACTCGTATTACAACCGGTAGCTCCATATCAGATCCTATCCCGATGAGATGTGGTGTCAAGCAGGGATGCCCACTCAGTCCTAGACTTTTCAACCTTGTCTTGGACGAACTGGTCGATTCGCTCCCCGAACCAGCCATATTGCAATAGGCTGGTTCCGCGCAACTATTACCTTTGTGATTGTTAATTCAGGAGGTGTGATTCATGCTATTTTAGAATTAATCATCGCAGACTTTGAACTACATTGTTAATATTCTAACTGTTGTGTTAATTTCCCCTACCCCGTATTTTGATTAAGTTTTTAAATTTATTTTATATTTGAAGCATATACCATGTATACTATGATGATACAAACTTCCAACTACTCAGTAGCAAAGCTGAGGCAGACGGTGAATCGGAAACTGTCGGCCTACCGTGCCCATTCCAGGAAACAACCTTTGACAATTGGATAGGTTTAACTGTTACGTAACAAATACATGTACATTGTAGAGGCATGATATTTTTCCTACTTTAGTAGGAATCCCTACTATTTTTCTCTCCTCAGTTCCTATTCATTCCTATGTATTGTTTATTTATGTTCCTGTTTTGTCATTCATTTCCTACTTCTTTGCCATACGAAGGAATTCGGAGGATTGAGGGTACTTGGAGTTTAATGCCCATCCAAACCCATCCGAGTGGGATTTAAGATATACACGTACATGTATGTCATCGCCGAAGCTGCCACTGGACAAATCTTGAATTTTGTGTCACATCCCATCAAGACCACCACCATAGCAACAATAGTGATGAAAGTAGCGAAGCATCACCTGGGCAGATTTCACCACATCTTCACTGATCGCCTGTACACATCGGTCCCACTAGCAAGAACTCTCCTCTCCAAAAAAACCTAACTCATTGGCGCCATCAAGTCCAATAGCCCTGGACTCCCTGTAGATCTCAAGGGCCAACTTAGAGACATGCGGAAGGTGAGACGGGAAACCTTCTACTCCCGTCAGAATGGGCAACTGGTGGTGACGATGTGGAAGGACAGTAAAGCCATGGCAACCCTCTCCTCAAGCCATCAGGGATGGAGGGACCCACATCAGCATAACGTGACCCGCAAGATTCGGGAAGACGGCAGTCGGAGAAAGGCCCAGGTGATTGCAGCTCTGCCGCAAGCCATCGAGTATATTGCCAACATCGGAGGAGTGGACCGAGGTGATCAACTACAGGCCTACTACTCCTCCTCACGGAAGGCCCAATTCTGGTGGAAGAAGGTACTGTACTTTCGTGATGGATATCAGCAGAGTAAATGCCTTCATCTGCTACCAGTACATGAAGCATCAAAATCAAGAAGTCACTGCATCAGAGGGCAGCTCCAGCGATGAGGATGACACTGGTGGTCAAACCAACACCAAGCCACTCAGCCACAGCAAATTCATCTTGACGGTAGGCACAGAGCTGATCGATGGCTATGCTGGAGGATCCACCAACCCCCAGTGCAAAGCAGCCACAAACGTCCCAGGCCACAACATCAGAGGCCACTAAAACACAAAGATGCCCGGCCTGTACCCGAAGCGATGCAGATGGTGCCTGGAAAATGATGGGGTGACAAAATAGAGGAAAGTAAAAACAACCAGAAGTGGCTGTGCAGTCTGTATGGTAAACCTGTGCCCTGGGCCCTGCTTCGTCAAGTTTCACCAAGCTGCATCTCGTCAGGGTTCTGCAACTACCACAACCACCACAACAGACACCACAACGGAGGAGTCAGCCCCTGAGCCTCCAAAGAAGAAGAAGAAGACCAAGAATTAGATGAAGAAAAAGAAAGAAACAAGAAAAAGCACTTCTAAACCAGAAAAGAAAAAGAAAAAAATGAAAACCTTTCAGTTCTTGGTATTTTGTTGAAAAAAAAAGAAAACAAGGGACAAAAAGAAAAACAAAAGTCCTAAAAAAAAAATAAAAAAAAAGGCAATGATGTCAACTTGACAGTACAAGCAGATGTTGTACCTGTCAAGTAACTGAGCCACCAAAAAAAAACTTCCCCATTTTTATGTTCCCATAAACCCACTGGAGGAATTTGCAGGATTCAGGCAGTGGTAACCAGTAAGAAATATTGGAGGATTTTGCAGGATTCAGGTTACATGGCACTTCACCATTATGAAATTGGAGGAATTTGCAGGATTCAGGTTATCTGCTGAAAAATTGGGGTAGGGAGTTAGGGTTAGTTGTCATTTTGAAAGCACTTTCAAAGAAAATATGATTTTCCTACCGTTTTTGCAGTTCGCCATCTTGCTTTTTAAATATATTTTCTGTTTGTCATCATCGTCTTTAACCCCTCATAAATCAAAGCCCTGCCCTCTTTCTACAAATTTAACCTGCTGATTTTCAAGGTGTCATTGCCAACTTTTCAAATGTGTCAAGAAACATCAGAATGTCTGATATCAGAGCACTTAGCATACAATGTACTGCTGGCATGGTAAGTTTAGGGCACATCCATTTTTTAGAAGGTAAGTACCACTGCTCAATAAAGTGAATCTTTGTTTAGATGAATAATTACATATGCCAGTGAACTTCAAAAGGAGCATGATAATACAAGGTAAGCTTTAGTTATGTAATATTATATAATTTATGTAAAACAACAAAATTTGAAGCTATAAAAAGGGCTGAAAATTACTGATAGTCCCCATTCGCCATCATGACTTCACGTGAAGCAAAGCGTTTACAGCAGTCACTATCGAAAGAAGTGTCTGGAGTGTTTATGAGTTCAGTCATGGGAAAATCCGGGGGGAGAAAGGAGCGGAAGAAACGCAGAGAAGAGGGGAGAGATGAGGGTATTCCAGGGAGAGACGTTGCTGGGAGTAGCAAGGATAAGGAGCCCAGAAAGAAGTCAGGAAAAAGCAAGGCGAAAAGATCAGATAGATACCAATCCCGTCAATAGCGACCTGATCGAGCTTCTCGAGCAGAGGGATAACAATAATAACCTAGACTACAGTAATGTGCTTCAAAACCTTGGGATGAAGTTCACTAACAGTAGGAATAATAGACAATTTGTAGTGCCGTCCGTACCTAGTAAATGCCTCCAACAGGCATAAGAAACGGCTTCTTTATGGAGCTCACCAGCATTATTTTCACAAAGACACGAAGAAACTGGCCAGCCACCTTCTAGACGGCCAGCCGTTGGGACCGGTAGCCCCAGCCTGTGGTGCGGCTTATACAACCTACATGGGAATCTTTGGCAAGGAACCCCAAAAGGACAACCAGTCCTTCGTACCGAAACCAATGGAGGGGGACCTTGACCTGGAGGGGGACCTTGACCTGGACGGCATCAAGTATCCCATTCATAAAGACGAGGTTACCAAAGCCCTCAAAAGTATGAAAAAGAACGGGGCAGCCGGTCCTGACAAAATCCACTTCAAAGATCTCAGTAAAGCAGATGCTCTAGATTTAACTACTCTATTTAACCTTTGTTTTGAGTCCGGTAAGGTGCCCGAGCAACTAAAGCTCAACAACACAATCCTTATACCGAAGGGTGAGGCCGATCCAACAGACATATCTAAATGGCGGCCCATAACCATTGGTTTCGTACCTGCTGAGGTTATATACTAGAGTGTTAAATACTAGACTTACAGAGGCTACTGCCCTCAACCCTAGGCAGAAAGCCTTCATACCCGCTGATGGCTGTCTGGAGAATGTGTCTCTGTTGGACCATCTCATTTCCAAGTATAGACATGAGAATAAATCGTACTATGTCATGTTCTTAGATCTGTCGAAAGCGTTCGACTCAGTCCATCATAGCTCTATCTCTAGGGCTCTTAAGAGACATAATATTCCAGCTCATTTCATCACGTGCATTGATGATCTATACACCGGCGTCAGGACTCGTATTACAACCGGTAGCTCCATATCAGATCCTATCCCGATGAGATGTGGTGTCAAGCAGGGATGCCCACTCAGTCCTAGACTTTTCAACCTTGTCTTGGACGAACTGGTCGATTCGCTCCCCGAACCAGCCATATTGCAATAGGCTGGTTCCGCGCAACTATTACCTTTGTGATTGTTAATTCAGGAGGTGCGATTCATGCTATTTTAGAATTAAGCATCGCAGACTTTGAACTACATTGTTAATATTCTAAATGTTGTGTTAATTTCCCCTACCCCGTATTTTGATTAAGTTTTTAAATTTATTTTATATTTGCAGCATATACCATGTATACTATGATGATACAAACTTCCAACTACTCAGTAGCAAAGCTGAGGCAGACGGTGAATCGGAAACTGTCGGCCTACCGTGCCCATTCCAGGAAACAACCTTTGACAATTGGATAAGTTTAACTGTTACGTAACAAACACATGTACATTGTAGAGGCATGATATTTTTCCTACTTAAGTAGGAATTCCTACTATTTTTCTCTCCTCAGTTCCTATTCATTCCTATGTATTGTTTATTTATGTTGGCACTGTTTGTCCAAATTGCTCATTGGACAAACGGTAACATTCAAAAGGCAGGAAGCCAGCTCCTCACGACAGTCGACGAGGTGCGGGCCTGGTTGGGGATACATCTCATCATGGGATTGGTTCGCATTCCGTACTACCAGGACTACTGGTCTTCAGAGCCAGGCTATTACAACCGTCTGATATCAACAACCATGACAAGGAGCCGGTTTGATTTCTTAACTCAACACTTTGCCTGTTCAGATCCTGCTACCAATCCCGAACGATATCCACATGAGGACCCAACAATGTTCACCGACAAGGCACACAAGTATAACTTCATGGCGAAGCATCCACTTTACCCTCTCCAGCCTGTTTGGGACACCGTCCTGTCCAAGTGTAGAGCCAATTTCAACCTTGGCAGAAACCTTGCAATAGATGAGGCAATGGTGAAGTACTCCGGCTTCAAGGCCCATGTCCGGAAATTCTTCATGCCACTGAAACCAATCAGAACCGGCTTCAAATTGTACGCCTTGGCTGATTCAGCCACAGGCTACTTGGCTAATTTCATTGTCCAGCCCTTCAAATCTGGTGCACCAGCAAAGATGACAGACATAGCCATGGCCGTAGCTAGTCCAGTCTTTGGAGTCTACCACCACATCTTCGGAGACAAGCTGTACTCGTCGGTAGAACTATGCCAGCGCCTCCTTGCAGACAGAACCTACTACACAGGAGCTGTAAAGTCCACCAGCAAAAATTTACCCCGTGACTTCAGAACCAACCCAGACAAAAATCCCCAGCAGCACCAGAAAATCAAGAACCTGAACAAGATGCCATGAGGCAGCTTTTACAGCAGGCAGGTCAGCTTACTGTTGTCGCCTGGAAGGATTCTAAAGTCATGATGCTGGTGAGCACAGCGCATCAAGGGCACCGGAATCGCCTGATCGACCAGGTTGAGCGTAAGCCTGTCGATGACGGCGGAAGATGGCGGAAGACGGCTGTTCCTGCCCGCGTAATTTTTTTTCCTAGGAGGGTTAGGGGCAATTATCATAATATAGGCGTATCCAGACCCTCGCGCATGCGTGTTACTCATAGACCCTCGTGCGTGTTATACGTTACTCATCGATTGCTGTAATACACGTGTGGGTGTACGTGTACATGTACATGTACATGTACATGTACGTGGGCACTATGTACGCTGTACAAAGCAATAGATCTCCGCTGTACAGTTTTACACGCAATGCAGTTTGCTTTTTGGCCAAGGATTACCAAGTGAGAATTGAAAAAAAAAGTGATGGGACGCGGGCTAAAGAAATACAAATTAAAGCGCGATCAAATCGTCACTTCAATTATTAATTTTCTGGAGGTGTTATCGCTAATGTAGGGGACTTATAGTCTGCGTATCGGCTGGTGATTTAATATCATGCAAACTTAAATCAGGTAGGCTTAAAGATGCACTTCATTGTAACTTCTATTAAGAAGTCAAAAATCTTTATTTCAAGTTTCAAGTAAGACATACATCTCATTTTCATGAAATTGTCCAGGATAGATAGTCCCATTTTTAACCCTATGTACAAATCCTGTGGATCTTGTCTAACGCAAAAATGTAAAGTTTTTGTGTTAACATTTTCCACACTGAAATCATGATTTTAAAAACGCTGTGAGCCAACTTTTCCACCATCAATAATAAGACACACAGAAACCAAGATGGGATTGCAAATGTACTTTAATAGAACGCCTGTGAGTGACGTTACACAAAAACACTGTAAACAAAATGTGAAAAACAAAATGACAATTAAATAATAAAACCACAAAACTGTAATCATTTAAATTTACATTTTACAACTTACCATTTACCGATAAGTGCGCGCAATACGTACGTATCATATGATATCCGAGAAAAAGGAAAACAAATTTGGAGTCAATCAATCTTCACTGGTCAAACATAGTGGTACATCAAAACACCAGCTGAAGCAGTTGAAGTATTTCACCGAGACACCACACAGTAGCCTAGTGGATAGCGAGATGAGCTGATACAAAGATCCCTGGTTCGAATCCACGTCGTCGCTGCTCATTTTCACCAGCTATTTTTCTTTTCCAAAATTATCACTGAGATAATTTTAAATTAAGGGGAAAATAGAACGAGAACCTAAGTCTTTCAATGATTCAAACGAAAAACTGAATTATTCATGACATTGCCCCTAACCCTCCTAGGAAAAAAAATTACGCTTCCTGCCCCACGACAGGCCATTGATTACACTACATGTATCTCCATGGGAGGTGTGGACAGGGCTGACCAGCTTCCGTCTTACTACATGTACACTTGTTCAAGGAAGTCTCAGAAGTGGTGGAAGAAGCTGATGTATTTCCTCGTCGATGTATGCAGAGTGAATGCCTGGCTGTCACATGTCCACCATCATCCTGCCACCCACATCGCATCTTCATCTGCATCTGAGGATGACCTGGAACGGCCTGAGATGCAGAGTGGCACCATCAGCCACTCCAAGTTCATCATGGAGGTACCCAAGGGGCTGATCGATGGGTACTCTAAAGGCAGCGCTCCTCGCCAGTCAAGAACCCAACCACTGTCTTCACACAGCGCTCCACTCCACCAGAGACAACGCATGCCTGGGAAGTACGCGAAGCAGTGCAGGTGGTGCCTGCGCACCAAGAAGAAGTCAACCAAGCGAGTGCCAAAGACGCGCCATGGCTGCCTCTCCTGCAATGTCAACTTGTGTGAAGGCAGATGCTTTCAGATGTTCCACGGCGCTCATCAGTAATCATGCCCTCCAACATGGGCAACCTCCTCCCCCTTCCCAAGAAGTAAATGATAAGAAAGAGAAAAATAGAAACAAAGAAAAGAAAAGAAAAGAAAAGACAAGTAAAGAAAAGAAGCAAAAAAAAAAAAGCAAAGCATAGCAAAGAAAAGTTAAACACCAAAAAAAGAAAGTACTTTTTTGTTTTTTTTGTTATTATAGAAAGAAACCAAAAGAAAATCACTTGTACATTTGTAAATAAACCCATTTTGGAAAGACACCAGACAAAGAAAGTTATTATGTTCATTTTCCAAAGCATAGCAAAGAAAAGAAAAGTTGAACACCAAAGAAAGAAAGTACTTTTTTGTTTGTTTTTGTTTATTATAGAAAGAAACCAAAAGAAAATCACATGTACATTTGTAAATAAACCCATTCTGGAAAGACACCAGACAAAGAAAGTTATTATGTTCATTTTCCAAAGCATAGCAAAAAAAAAAAAAGTTGAACACCAAAGAAAGAAAGTACTTTTTGTTTGTTTTTGTTTATTATAGAAAGAAACCTAAAGAAAATCATATTTACATTTGTAAATAAACCCATTCTGGAAAGACACCAGACAAAGAAAGCTATTATGTTCATTCTCCAAAGCATAGCAAAGAAAAGAAAAGTTGAACACCAAAGAAAGAAAGTACTTTTTTGTTTGTTTTTTGTTTATTATAGAAAGAAACCTAAAGAAAATCATATGTACATTTGTAAATAAACCCATTCTGGAAAGACACCAGACAAAAAAAGTTATGTTCATTCTTGTTCCTTCTAGAAACACAAAGATACAACGATCCCTTATGTTTATTTTTTGTTTGCAAAAGTGGCAATGATGGACAGACATGTACCAGTAAGACACAAAGCAGTGCAGCCAAAAACTAAGCAAAAAAACCCCATGATAAACATGTAAGCCCTCAGCAAAGTGCCACAGGATCCATCCTGTACATGTGAGCACCCAGCACAGTGCCACAGAATCCACCCCTGCATTCCGTTGCATTCAGCAGGGTAGGTACTTGGTACCAGGGCTGGCACATATTACTTCAACGCACAGTACAACAGAATCCACTGCTGCATCCTGCTGCATTTAGCAGGGTTCATATTTCTGGTCTGTGTATTCTGTTGCATTTGGCAGGATGCCTGGAGAATGCCCCTTGGGGGTTAGGGTTAAGGAACAAAAGTACCGGGTATTGGTGCATGGAAGGAAAGGTCCTTCAATAAAAAATAATCCAAGTTCCCATTTGTAAGGGTTAGGCTTGCATAGACAGTCACTGGCTGTGCTCTCTATTCTTATTTCAGCTATATTATAGGGTTATCATTTTATGATAACCCTATAAACCCTTACCTCTTTTCTTACAATGTATTTCAGCTACTGGTATAATGATTGTAAATGGGTCATTCCACCGGGTTGGGGAACAAAGTGTGACATATGACCATATTAAGAAAGGCATGAATGCCTTGCTAGCAGTTGCTCTACATAATATTTGTTATTGGGTGTTTCACTACTGCAGAAAGTTTGAAATCATTTCAATGTATTTTGCCAAATATATGAGCAAAAATTGTCATTTTCGATGTAACATTTACACCGTGTCAGTGTTACGTCCAAATATGACATTTGTACCTGTTTTTTTTAAATTTCTGCGAAACATTACCCAAATTCACTTTGCGTACTTCTTACTATACATGCAACACAATAAGAAAAGCTTTTGTTATGGTAGTCAGGTATCAAATGAAGCAGAAATGATAGCTTGGTTGTGTGGACGTAACATTTACACGGTGTAAAACCAAATGTCACACTTCCATTGAGTTATTTTTACACTGTTACATCCACACTTGAGGTATTGTTTCTGCTATATTTGAACCCTGACTATACCAAAACAAAAGCTTTTCTTGGTGCTTAGGTGTCCAGTTGTAAATATGAAATGTCAGTTTGGGTAATATTTTACATACATGTACGTGTAAAAAATGGCAATTGTTTAGAATGCATTGATACTTTTAATAATATAATCAAATATATGGATGTAACATGCACTGCTTCCCAACCCGGTGGAATGACCCAAATACCATATTTATCACTGGCTGTGCTATCTACTCTTATTTCAGCTATATTATAGGGTCATCATTCAATGGATAACCCTAACCCCAACAATCCATTCTTATTTCAGCAACCAGTATGATTATAAATACCATTTATCACTGGCTGTGCTCTCTATTCTTATTTCAGTTATAGTATAGGATTATCATTAAATGATAACCCTAACCCTCTACAGATTCTTATTTCAGTATAATGATTGTAAAAATCATATAAAATATTAGGATTCATTTCCAAAAATATCTGGGATATGTTGCCAAGAGTTTTTTTCACAGCTAAATGTTGCTGAGAAGTTTATCCACAGCTAAATTATACTGTTTTTTGGTTGTTGTATTCTCAACATGTTCTCCAGGATCTTCACGCAATGAAGTAATTACGCTACGTTTGTCAAAATGTTTCCACAACGTTTCCCAGATATTTAAAGAGAGGATTCCTGACTAACAAGCCTGGCGACATTACGTCCACTGATGACAGCTATTTCCATTTGTGATGCTACACTCTCAAGCCCATTGAGATAAAACACCCCATCAGCTAACTTAATATCCTGGAATTCACCCTCCGCACTGGCTGGTGTACTCAATACATGCATGTAATCAAACCTGTTGCTGCTGAAGTCTTGAACTCCATCAAATAGTTCACCGATGAGGCCATCTTTAGTGATGTCCACTGAGCTGAATACACTGTAGATGTTGCAACCGTTGCTGAAGCCCTTGTGTCTTATGCAGGTCCAGGGAAGGTTGGTTTTTGATGTTGCAGCCAATAACAAGGGATCACTGGGCCAGGGCAAAGTGGTCTTAAAGTAGCTCTGGCGGATAGACTTGGCGGCAACGTGACACACGTAGAAGAACAGTTGTTCCCACGTGCGTCTTGGCTGCACGATGGCGGGGCTAAATCCTTCAAACTCAACACCTGTCAGTAGAGAGTTTTAACAAAAAGTTTTTAGCTTTAGGCCAAAAAAAAATTAAGTCGGTCTCTGGTCAGCGCGCGCGTCGATTTTAATCATGCGCGTCAATCGTTTTTTTTCAAAAATGTTCCGCGGTAGCTCCAACAGCGCCCTCTATTTCCGCACCTCCTCAATTGTTTTTACCAAAGAGCACCAAGGAATGGGAAATTGCACCAAGGCAAATGATCGAAAGCACCAAGGCAAATTATGGAGGACACCAATGTACATGAGGACACCAAAAAAGCAAAATAGTACCCACCTTGTCTGTACAATCCGAGCTTGAAGAAAGAAAAAAAAAAGAAAAAAAAACAAAAACAAAAGCCGCGTGGCCGCGTCAATTCCGGAACTTTGGTCTGACCAGAGACCGAATATTTATTTTTTTTGGCCTTAAACACTGTGCTTTTGAAGTGGCTTTGACTAGTAGTGTGACAACTCCTAAAAAAAAAATATTTTGGGGAATGCTTGCATTGAATTGATGAAATTAAAACCCTCTCTCAGTGCCAAAATGCAGAGAGGTACCTTATCTATCAAAAAATAACAATGGACAGGTTTAAACGGTTTTGTAGATTGGGCTAATAGGGGTAGAATTGACAGCCGGTGGCAATTTCATCAACTGGAGGTATGGTGCCTTGACTGACTGACTGTAATAACGTATGGTGGGCTACAGGGCAATTCGGGCGATTCACAATGCAGTGCGCCACCAAGAGTTTGCCATGGAGAGTCCAGTTTAATAGTTTAAGGTCGACAAAACATGGCCCATTTGGATGAGTGTCAGTAGACAACTTGAACTAATTTGTTATAGATTTGGACATAGCGTTCTGCCGCCTCACAAAAAAGCCCCACATTGATAAAAAGAAAACAAAAGAGCAAACAGATACTCGAAGCATACCTTTACGAAACTACTGACTGGAAAAAACGATCAATTTCAAATGTCCCACGCTGTGAATTTGTCGACCATCTCCCACAATGCACTGGGAAAAATGAACTCATTGGAGCAATCTCTTGGTGGCGCACTGCATTGTGAATTGCCTGAATTACAGGGCAATAGCTACCATGCAAAAAGGCCTATGGAATTGCAGTAAAAGCAGTATTCAAAGACACCCTCTATATCAAACCCTTCAACTGGTTTCGACAGTTGTGTGGTTTAATTCAAAGGGATTGTGACAGCCTCGACTCCAGGGGCACTTGCCCGTTCCTTACATTAACCCCTGGTCGTGATGATGACGTAAATGACGCTGATTGGCTTTTCACAGCGTACTGCGCGTGCATTTCGAAGATTGCACACCGGCCGCGCCCATAATGCGCTCGCGTGCTTTGCACGTAAACGTCACGTACGAATAAAAAAATTGTTATTCAAAAGTCGCGATGCCTGTACGATATGGATTATGGCAGCCTCGTTTTTTGCTAAAAAAAACCCTGTATCTTCGGTTGTAAAGGGACGAAAGGGGTACGTACATTTAATACAAATCTTTGCTAAATAACGCAACGTCCAAACGTTTTGTTTGAAAGGATTGATTCTTCAAATCACAACTTTTAACATTTTAAAGATGGCGTTGGCACGTCAAACGGATAAACTGCAGCCTTATTATAATGTGCCATATTTTGACACATTTAAATTACACAATTCCAGGGGTTAAGATCGCGCAAGGCATGATGGGAAACAACATGGCGCAGCGCGATCGTACCCATGGGGAACGAGGTTGGGATTGTGGTAACTCTTGACCAGCCTGTACAAAAGCTATGTGAGAGGGAGTGGGTTGCTTTGTTGGACAGTTCATGACAGTTCTGTCAGTAGTTTTCTACTAATATTCGTTCAAATTTACGCGGCAAGTCAGATAATGTTTGTGTCCACCAGAAATTTGAAATATTGACTCTCCGTGGCAACCAATCTTGGTAAAGTAAAGTCTGTCCCGAGCCTATATGGCCCATCAGGCTGGCGTTTACCTCCGGTTTCAGTGGCATGAAACGACTGAGAATATTTCTATTCCCCCTGGACAGGATGCGAGTCCATCGCAGGTTACTCCCCAGCTAATGCCGGTACCCATTTATACTCCTTGGTGGAGAAAGGGAAGTGGGGATAAAGTGCCTTGCCCAAGGACACAACGTATGGCCAGCAGCTGGATTCGAACCCCTGACCATCTGATCATGAGTCACGAACCCTAAACGCTAGGCCACACTTCCCCTAAACCAATCTTGGTGGCGCACTGTAATGGGAATCGCCAGTTTTGATTCAGTGCCATCCAGTGTTCATAGAGTCCAGTAAGGATTGATTTACTACCTGCCCATTCAATTGGTGCTGCAATGATCACCACATCAGCAGTCAGCTTCAGCTTTGTCTGGTCTCCAGTCTGGCTGTACCACACCTCAAACTTGCCACTCCCAGTTTTCTGAACTCGTGCAACACGTGAGTTGAGATGGAGGTTGCATCTGGATGAGTTGATCAGTGCCCTCACTAGTGTGCTCATGCCACCCTCGGTTTTATAAGCTGAGAAGGGAATGCAAACATTAAATTGGAAGAGTTTTTATTTGAAGCAGAGAAAGTGACTTTTCTTGGTTCAGTAGACTGATCCGCTAAGGCCAGCCCCATGGTGTTATGACCAACCAAATCAAAGTGGCATTAGAAAGGCGCACATGCTGTTCCCTACATGTGTAGTTGCCTAATGGCATGAATCGTATAATGAATATTTATGAGTGCAATAGTGAGAATATTTTCCCGAATTGAAAGATGGAATGTTGGAACATTCCATCTTTCAACGAATGAAATATTTTCTCCATTGCACGAATGCAAAAAAATCATTATTTGTTATATATAACATTCATCAGTAGATCTTTGTCATTTGATTGGAGGATAAAAATATAACAATAAACAACATTTACAACATTGTATTATAGCCACTTCTTGTTTTCAGTTTTTGTCCCAAGGCTAACAAAAGTTAAATATCAAATCCTAACGATTTGAAAGTTAATATTGAAAGTTCTTAAAACAATGCAAAAGAAAATTAGCAAGTTTGGTTTGTACATGTAACTGCATCCACTTCAAAGGCAAGTTTTGTACTGCTAAATATAAAATGCACGTTGTGGTCGCACAGCGCTGCTACACGATAGGGCATGCATGTGCAATAGATCAAAAGGGATGAAACGAAAATGCATGGTGAATGGAACAAAAAATGCATGGTTATGACTAGGCCATGCAATGGTTAGATTAATGAATGCTGCGTGACCTACAATCCTCCAATCAAATGGCAAGGACCTACTTGGGTGTTATATAAAATGATCTTTGGAAATTGTCTCAATTCGGGCGATTCACAATGCAGTGCGCCACCAAGAGTTTGCAACGGAGAGTTCATTTTTCCCAGTGCATTGTGGGAGATGGTCGACAAATTCGCAGCACGGGACATTTGACATTTTTTTTTCCGGTCAGTAGTTTCGTAAGCGTATGATTCGAGGATCTGTTTGCCCTTTTCTTTTCTTCTTATCAAAATGGTGTTTTTTTGTAAGGCGGCAGAACGTTATGCCCCAATCTATAACATATTAGCTCAAGTTGTCTACTGACACTCGTCCAAATGGGCCATGTTTTGTCGACCGTAAACCTAAAAAAATGGACTCTCCATGGCAAACTCTTGGTGGCGCACTGCATTGTGAATCGCCCGAATTCAAATACCTACCATCTTGATAAATTGCAGCCACACAAACCATCGCCAAAACTGCACTTGATTCTAATCCCTGGCCAAAGAATTCTCTCATCATGGTCTCTATAGCATTTTTTTGGACTGTTTCACTGACGGGCATGTTACGGAAGAACGTACTGACTGAAGCTAAGTTGTAGCACTCTAAACCTCCTGCTGATAGGAATTCACTGACTGAGCTGAAGGTTCCCTGGTCATATTCCTGGTAGGTGCGCTCCATGGTTGAGAGGAACTCCTTCAAGCAGTGCTGCAGTTGAGCAGTAGCTGCAGGTTGGTCAGCCATGAAAGCACTCATCCGAACGATTTCTTGACCATCCCAGGCATAATTGTTGGGATAGTCACCGCTACTTTTGAAGCAGTGAGTCTTCAAATTCAACTCTTTGACCAATGCAGCAATGTTTCTGAAGGGAAAAAACATAAAAGGTAAATGTTTAGCTTAATAAACCAATTAATAATAGCCTATGTTCTACAAAATTATCTTTATTCTCTTATGAAACATTCATCAATACCTAAGACAGTTTACCCATTCCTATTGGGTGACAGCCCGTCACGTGGCCGGTTTTACACGGTTGACAAAGACATGGCTGGCTGGTCTTAAAACACTTTTCCAGTGTTAGGGCCTACATGTACATGAAATTTTCACTCCTATGAAATCCAGTGCCAGCACCGTTTTATTGGCTGGATGTTCACTTTCCTCACGTAGGCATGTGCAATACTACCAGTGAGTCAGTATTTCATAGCCCTAAATTCACACTACACCAGTAAATCTGCCTTGTGCGCCACATCACGCAGTACACGCGACGCAGGTACATGTATTTACCAGAGGGCCTTACCATTGTATAGCCAGAGGGGTGTTTTATCGATCGAAATTGTTGAAAATGTATAATTTTGACTTGGTTTGACTTTTGGACATAACAATTTTGATTTTTTTTTTTTTTTACCGAAAAGGTATTTATGAATGGGAATAAATGTGTGCTTGGTCGATATTAAAGAATGTCAGACAAGTCGACCGTTGAGACGACTCGACTCGGGACAAGTCGACCGTTGAGACAACTCGACCTTTGAGACAACTCGACCGTTGAGACAACTCGACCGTTGAGACAACTCGACTCGGGACAACTCGCCCGTTGAGGCAACTCGACTCGGGACAACTCGCCCGTTGAGACAGCTCGACTTAATGGAAATGTATACACGTGGAGGGGAAAAAGTTGCATATATCTGTGGCAGGACCGGTCCCGGGCGCGGCGCGGGCACACTCGATGCACAGTGAGCGCTCCGGTGGCCATCACGTCGGGCCGCCCGGACCCCAGCGCGGCGACGCGGCATACAGTCTACCGAAGGAGAGGCCTAGGGCTCGGCTTCCGACCGGGGTCCTCAATGTACATCTACACAGGTCTGTTGTGTTACTACTAGTGCATTAATGATGGTCAGTAATGTCCAGGAAATGTATTCAATGTAACAAAAATAAGGTAAGTATTAACAACTAGGCCTAACATGATTGTTAATTGATACTTTTTGATATCAGGCCAAAAAAAAAAAAAATTGTTCTGCTTTCGATTACATGGCATTCGAAAATAGGGTACATGTAGGTAGGTATTACTTTGGCCAATTTTTTTTTGTACCAACATGGGGTCTGCGTGTAGTCAAGGGTAAAAGGTAGAAATTGATGGTTTTGGGTGTTTTTCCCCCTCATTTTCCCCATAAAATGTAGGTAGGGGCTCTCGGAATAGAGTAGGTAGGGGACTGGAAGTAGAACTATTTTGTTTCAAGGCCCAATTTATTTCATTCAATTTTCAATGGCAGAGAGAGAAATTAATATGAATATTTAGAAAAACTCACCGCAATAATAGAATACCCATAAAACTGTTATTGAGGATATTTTAATGGGTTTTTAAATACTCGCAGACAAAAGCAAACTTTCTACATTTCTCCCGACAGCCTGCGACGTTCAACCCTTGAAAACAGTATGCTCGAAAACAGGTACAATGAAGTCACTATTTATATTATGACATTTTCTGAGTGATTTTGTTCTTCCATCTTCCAAGTGGAGATGCTAAGAAGCACTGTGGAGCATATTTTTATGACAATTTATTTTTCAATAAATTAAAAACATAGGAAAGCCGGGTTCAAAGTCCTCATCATACTCTTTTGGAAATAAAACTGGTGTGTAAGTTTGATTTTGCTATTTTAGCCTACTTTGTTCACTAAAACAAAAAAAATTGTTCAACAAACAAAGGCCCTCATACTCCTCGTTTTCTTTTAATAATCGGACGATCCACTGGTGGTTTGTTCTACTTGTATGGCCTTAATATGTTCTGTTCAAGCTATAGCTTTAATATCAACCATGATGCGACAAAATTGAAAAACAAGCATGCACCATAAATTCATTCTTTCATTTCACGTTGATGAAGTCAGATTTATTACCTTTAAAACGAAATTTATAGATTACAATATACATGTATACAAAAAATGAAGAGGCATGCATAATGTAATAAATAAATAAGTAGATCCATAAACCATGAACTTAGCAAACATAATAACGCAAATAGAAAGGATTGTGCCTAGTACATGGGAACAATAAACTAATTTTATAAAAACACAGTAGGTTTGCAGTAACACCATGTGAATGATAGGGCTCTTTTATTGAGTTGTGTGGTTCTTACACCACACAACTCACTAAAAGAGATACCATTCACAAGGTGTTTCTGCAAACCTACTGTGTTATTTTTCTAATTAGTTGATTGTTCGTGCAAACCCACCATACAATTGATCGTTAAAAAAATGAGCATAATTTAAAAAAATACTGAAATAATAATAGATAAAATAAAATACATACTATAAATAATAAAACTGGAAAAAAATTAATTAAATAAATAGATACACAGATAAATTACTAAGTATACATACATGTACTAGCCGCAAATAATAAATTAAATAAGTTAATACCCAAATGATGATAAATTAGTTTAAATAATCAAAAACTAATCACCCACTAGAAGTCCACCCGAAAAGTGCCATGATGATCGGACCTATCCTTATATGCATTTTAAAGATTGCATTTAAATACATCCCTATCTAACCTTGAAGTTGATCTGAACAATGTTACATCCGGATGACAGGTGCATTTCCCTGCACGGCAGCACATGCCTGAAGCAGGGACTTGGCTGTTCGCTCCCCCTCCTGGAACTCTTTCCAGTACTGGAAGATTCTCCCCTGTGCTGCCTTGAACTTCTTCTTCTGGTGGCGCTGTAGCTTCTTCTCCGAGACCAGCTTCACTTGAACATCCACGAGTAGCTGGATGAGAAGATAGAAGGGCACATTGAGCTTACGTGCCTTCGTCTTCAGTCTCAGGTGCCATCCTTCGCAGTCATTATTGGTGCGGATGGTCTGACCATAGCATGACCAGGCTGCAGGAGGCCATGTATTGGAGTAGATCCACGTTGATGCTACATAGTCAAAGAGCTAAAGTTAAGGATAGAAATAGGTTCATGTTACGTGTTAGTGCACTGAAAAGCAGTTCAATATAAGCTGTCTTACCCTCCACAACCTTCAAATCTTCCAAAAAAGTGTCCTAGTGATCGTGTTTGCAGGCTGTACCCAACGTTTATGTTCAGTCGTGCGTAATGGAGCATTATGCTCCATATCCAAAAATGGCTATCATTCGTACTGCTTACAGATTATTTTTAAGGATTGATGCCAAATCCAAATTTTATGTGGTACATGCAGCATTGGTGTTCAAGCTGTACATTGCACAACATGGTAATACCCCAAAATGGCTATTTCCATATGCACATACTAACACTGTAAACACACAAACTTTTTTAGCTCCTAACATTCACCATGCTTAAGTCAAATTTAGGGAAAGAGAAAAACATTGTTGTGAGTTGGAAGTTGGAAGCCAAAATTGTTTTTTTTTTTTGGTTGGTGAAATACATACCCTTTGCAGCATTGGTGTGTTTGCCTTCTTCCGTAGCGACTGGAACATCGCAGGGATTACTTCTTGGGGCAGATATGGTAGACCCATGAGACTCTGCAGTATAAATCAAACTTCTGACAACACAGTTTTCCTCAAAAATAACATAACTCTAACGATCCTGATCTATCACATATTAAATTCAAGCAAACCTTCCTTTTATAAGCGATTTCTAAACCCAATATCAAAACTTCAAGTGATATTCCTACAAGGCTCTTCAAGAATTCTATAATACTGGATTGTCAAAACTCTGAATAATACCAAAACAGATCAAAACTTCTAAAAACTTACACTTAAATGATTTAGCACACAAAAACACAATTTCATTATATCAAAACTCACCAAATAACTCTAGCAGAAACGAAACACACAGCGCAGGGCACACCCAAGAAGAACGAGGGGAAAGAGAGGAACTCAAAAATATAATGCTCTCTTCTCTGCTGCTGGTCTGCTACTGATCATGAGGGGTCTGTGGTCTTACAGGGTGGCAGGGCACATGGTCTTGGGACAGGGGGGAACCAAAGGCATGGGAGTACCGGTAATTTACATGTACATACAATGTGAAGTTGTTACTGGGGAAAGTTCATCAGGGGGAAACACATAACTATAAAAGAGTTTGGGACATCTAATAAAAATGCTGGATTTTCTCAGGGGGGCTACTCCTATACAGTGGCGTAGCCAGGAATTTTTCAGTGGGGGGGGGGGGGGGGCTGGGGGGCTGGAACATTTCATGGGGGGGGGGGGCGTCATGTAGATCAATGATAATTTTTTTAGAAACTAAAAATCTCAGTGGGGGGGGGGGCGACTGGGGGGCGACAAGGTTTCATGGGGGCTGTCGCCCCCCCCCCCCCCCCCCCCCCCCCCCCCGGCTACGCCACTGCTCCTATACTAAAACACTACAAAAATACATTGAAAAAATACAAGTTAAATTTGGCCCTGCCACACTTGCACATGTACCGGTACCGGTACCGAACGGCGTGAAATACGTACGCATAGCCATCTAATTTGAATCCCAAAATGGCTGCAGTGCAAGCGGTATTATTTCGTCACCGTTTTCACGAAAGGGCGAATTTCATGAAAAATGTCTGTTTTTCGAAATTTGGGTTTTTTGGGTGAAAATGTATCAATAATATCAATATCTACAAACTGGTGAGGCTATACTTTCAAAAATTAATTAAAATCTTAAGTAACCTATTTAACGAATGGGCAAATTTGCCAAAAGTACCGTATTGCATTTTCATGAAGGGGCGAATTTCCGCACTCTATGTTATTAATAAATTTTTAGTATATAAATACATTGTAATACAATGACGCGTTATCACCGAAGGGGCAAATTTCAGGCGTGCGCAATAAAACGTTTTCACGAAGGGGCGAATTTCAAGGCGCACGCCGGCGCAGTGGGGCAGAATCTGCGCGTACTGTACAAAAAATGCATTGACTCAGACCGCAGTAGGGCGAAATCTGTTCGTACTCACTTTAGCGTTTTCACAAAGGGGCGAATTTGCTAATTGGTCGTTTTTTCGTTTTCACGAACAGCCACTTTTCTTAACTGATTCATTCTGCAAAACTAATCACCTATTTCTCTTAACGTTTGCTACATTTTAGGAAGATTAGAATCTCTTCTTTTCTCTGATACCTAAATCTTGCATATTTTATGCATCTTTAAGTTTCAAATTATCAAATGAAAAAAGGACCAACTTTAAACGCGATTATCTCAAATGTTTCAGACAGTGAAATACTAAATTTGCCTCTTCGTGAAAACAGTGACGATTTGATGTATCAGCTAAACTTGCAAATCAGATGTGTTCATTATTTTTCATGGTTTGTCATGATCATTTCTTATGACTTATCACTATACTCTTGAATTCAAACTGTTTAATTAAAGAAATAAAGTTACGATCGATTAAAAAACAAAGTTTTAGTCCCCAATTAACAATAAAAAACAACTTCCCACCGTGCTGTTAAACAACAGTGTATGAAGGCCCTACATACCGTACATGTATGTATGTTTGCAGCAAAATTTGCGAATTGCAGCGGCGAAAGTCCGTTTATGTGTTGCAAGATGTGGCAAACTCAAACGGCATGCTCTAATCCGTATGAATTACGTATCTCTTCAATTACAGTACATAGGTGCATACATGTATTTGACTTTACTCAATACTAAGGCCAAACAAAAAAAATGGTGTGTTTACGGTAACGGCCTGAAAAAAATCCAGGTAGGTAGGTAGGGAAATAATTTTATTTTGTAATTTTTTTTTTTCATTTCAGTTAGAAACTACATGTCCATGCGTGTTCTTTTGCAAAAAATTGTATAAAACCACTATTCAAGCATTGAAGATATTCAATCGATACATTTCAATCCAAATTAATTTGTATCGTCGGCCAGGGTTCTCCCCAGGATTTTTTCAAACATGTGGGGAAGATTTGCTGTGATTCAACAACCTGAAAATGTTTGAACTTTAGAAGCTCTCTGGTGCATTTTAGAGCAAATCTGGGGGTCTTTATCTTAAGATTTGTCCTTGAAATTCAGAGGAGACCTTGAAGGTCACTAATATTTTTGTAATTAAAGAAAATAAATCTAAATTGTTAACTTTAAAAAAAATAACATTTCACAACCTGTGTTTCATTGCTTCCTAACTAGAAAAGTATGAATTACATTTACATGTAAGTTTCAAATTAAGAAATTAAGGTGGAGAAAAAAAAAAAACTTTTGCTTCCGATTACCTGCCTTTCAAAATAGCGTCAGTAGGTTGGAAAATCATTTCGCCAATTTTTTTTGGGGTACTGATAATTATATTGTGCGTATCAGGGGCTTTTTAAAAATGTGATCGGCATTTTTTTGTCGGCGTATCAGGCCAGCCGGAATTCCAGCGTATCGGGCCGATATGCAGTATGCACGTTTGTACGTGAGGAGAACCATGCCGTCCGTCGGCCAGCCAGGCGCACCCCGATGCGTTTGTGCAAAAATAATCATACTTCGTAGTTTGAGAATTCAAGTTTTGAGATCGTCGCGATTTTTGCACGTTTAACACAGGTATGTTTGTGTCAAATCATGGTCAGATTCAAGTGTGGAACATAGTGTTTGTTCGTGGCAAATAATTAAAAGTACTTGAAATGTTTGAAATTTGTCAATTATCAACCTTCAAAATGGCAATAAAAAGTTTGAGGTCGGCAATTTGGCCGACAAAATTCCAGGTCGGTCGGGTTACCGTAAACACACAATTTTTTTTTTTTGGCCTAATACATGATTGGTACAAAAAAATTGACACAAATCATCATGCCCATTAACAGGCATGCAACTGGGAAGTCACCCAAAAAAGAGGAAATTCAAATCTTTCCAAGACTTTGTACAGTGTTTTTCTATTTTCAATGGCACACATGGGAAGTAAAAAAAAGAGGAAATCAGCTGATCCGAGGAAAAGTTGCATGCCTGCCATTAAACCTGCAAAGAACTCCATGTGCTCATCAAGTTGTCAATCGTGAGCTTACGTGATTCATGGCAGACCAGACGGGATTATAACCATGCACAAAGGAGCTTGCAAAACGACCCCCTATTTTGACCGAGTGTTTTTGGTCACATGATTTAACTGAGAATCAGATCGTTTGGGATGTTCCGTACCGAGAAACAGATATTCATTAATTGCATAGATTTTCACAGTGTTTAATAACCTTCAAGCACCTTACCTCTGCTCTGCATTGAATGCTGCTGCACCCACATTGACAGTCTGTCCCCAAAATGTCACATCATGGATCCGTCCCCCTGTTAGGATGTGACAATCACATGCATTATTACTGAAGGCCTTGTACAAACACTGTTCATGTAGATGGTGAATACATGTACTGGAAAGATTTCCATATACGAAGTTCACTAATTTTCCTCTGTATTGACTAACAAGCCCCCAGATAGCAATTTCATGTCATCAAAGTCAATTTGAGCAGTGAGAAAATACAAGCATTTTCTTAGAAAACACTTAGAATTTTTCAGTCCAATCCCATAGGGTTTGTACACAGGGTGCAGTTGAGTGAACTTCGTATATGGAAATCTTTCCCATGTACTTATTGAAGCCAGAACACATCACGTTATCGGCATGTGACATGCAGAGTTTCTTGAAATTCTTGTATCCTGTTTTGAAAATAATCTTGAAATGTACAAGTCACAACACCTTCCTAAAAATGTATTAACCCTTGCTCTTTTGATGTAGTTTAGTGCATGCACTTTAGCAGAGGTGAATAAGAAGATACATGTACATGTACCGGGGTAGGTTCCAACCAGACAGGGCTCTGGAGTGCTCTGAAACGTGCAAAACTAAATCAGGCCCACTTTACTCACAGTTTAGCCAGCAAATTTCTCCAAAAATTGCACTGGGGCAAAGAACATGTCCTCAGTATTTCACCTACCAAGTTTGCAGACTCAATTCAATTTTTAAAGGAGACTTTTCTTCAATATTTTGCACATGAGAGGGAAGTCAAGTGATTCCAAAATGGGGCTAAAGACTAGACTGGTACATGTCCAACCATGGTCCAACTATTTGGAAAGACTGACCTCTTCATTCAGTGTCAATAGTCTGGTGGCTTTACTATGGAGAAATGTGTAGTAAATTGAGACTAGTTCCCGCTTCATACCACATGTTTCTTTAAAATTCTTTTGGCATGGTTGATTGATGCAGTACTGAAAGACTGGTTGTTTTAGGTGCCAGTCTATTTTCTTGTTTTGCATGTTTTCAGTACCTTACGTTTTGGGACTCTCATACACAGTATTGAGAGTCCCAAATTTTCGGACTAGGTTCCAACTTGAGTGTACTGAAAAGCTTACATGTGATCTGCTGCACATCAAATGTGCTAGCTTGGAGGATTATGAGGGCTTGTGGAGCCCACCACAGACTTTTGGTCTCATTGTTTATTGCTGACCAGAGTTTCCTTACAGCATGACCAAGCTATCTGTCAATACCACTTGACAGTTCCTGCAGTGGTTCACCCCCAAAGTACAGAGGCAGATATTGGAGGGCTGTGCAAAAAAAACATGGGCGAGTCACTTTTATAGTCAATGTTAGTCAAACACTAAATTGGAATAAAACAAAACAAGTTTCTCGTCCCCGCCCGCTTCCTTTTTGGAGGCCGCCTGGATTTTTTTATTATTTTTCATTTTTGAAAAATGTAGTAGAAAAACACCGAAAAAGTCTACAAATTCATCGGAAAATAAATATCAATACCAATACAACTCTAAATGACACTGTAAATATGTTCAGTTCTCTTGTCCAACTTGTCTTTCATCTGTAAAAGTGTCTTTGAACAGTGGAACACCAACGGTTGCAGGAAATTTTGAAAAGGCGGTCATCTTGAAAAAAATAAAAAATAAAAAATAAAAAGCCCCGCTTCCTCCCTTTTTTCAAAAACCCCGGACAAGAAACTATTTTTTTTTTACTCGGCCTTCACATACATGTAGAGCTGCAGATTATTGACTACTAAAATCTAATATTTTCCAAAATAAATCCCAATGTTCCACTCAACAGTACGTACAATGTAAGGCCCCCCATCAGTTCTGCTTCCGATTTTGATTTTTTTTTTGGCAATTTCTTTTGAAGACGGTCAGAGCATACTGACCGGAACGTCGAGTTTATACCTCTGGTTCTTTTCAGAACCATTCTCTTAGTTGAGAAATTATTCGCACATGGTGTTTCCACAAACCTTTCATTATTTAGTATCGCCACCATGCAAAGCCTCAAATCTTACTTTGCAATTTCTTTTGTGTACGATTATATGGAGGTGTCTGCGTGTAGTCACTTGAGGGTAAAGGGTAGTAATTGATGATTTTCGGGTTTTTTTTCTTCATTTCAAGTTCCTCCCCCCCCCAAAAAAAAAATAGGGTAGTGGCTGTCAAAATAGGTTAGGTAGGGTAACCGGAAGCCAAACTTTTTTTTTGCCTTGAATGGTTATGGGTTTGGCGTACACTCTATCAGTGGCAAACACCTGTAAGAGTGAGTGAGGCACAGCACTGCCACCTTGAGGCCAGTGCCCTCCCCCCTTTGCCCCTTGTGCCCCTCCCCCTCCCCCTCGTATCACGGCGTGAAAGCGAAAGCGAACGCGAATTTGTGATGTCATGGCAAGTATTCGTGCTGCGAATTTGTAAAAGTTGAACGAATTCGTTTAGTTGAGCGAATTTGGCAGCGAATGTTTCATGACGTCAAATTCGCCTTGCATTCACATTCGCGTGGAGATTGAAACGGGCTTTAAAGGGAATGTACATCATTGGCTTTTGAATTTTCAGAAATGAACTATATTTGAGGGGTTAGTATTAATAGATCAAATATTGTTACACAGACATGTTTGAAGTTTTGTGTTCAAAAATGCTGGAAAAACCAAGAAAAACAAAAATGTTCAAGTAGTCTGGTTCCTTGACTCCACTAAAGATAAAATGGATCAATTTATAGATGCCCGAAAATTGTAAGGTAAGGGAACCAGTCTAGTTCCCGCACCCGTTCACGAACATGTAACCAATAACAAACAAAACTTGGACTGAGAAAAAGTGTAAAGTTGGAGCAGTAGTTGAAAAATAGTTAGGTTTTTCCAATGGTGGTCGGCCGACCACCTTTGGAAATGTATACAAAATACCATTTTCTTGAAAATGACTTCACACCAGGTGCCATAATTTTACAGGATGCTTTAGACTGTCATTTACCAACATCCTTGTAAGGTATTTCGAAAAAACTTGGTAGTTTTATTTTTCGATGTTTGCAAATGTTGTATATTCCCTTTAAAGGGAATATACATCATTTGCTTTTGCTGTAATTTTCAGAAATGGGTGGAATTGGGGGGTTGGAAATATAAAGCAAATATAGTTACACTAACTTTTTGGAGGTTTTTGGTTCGAAAATGCTATAAAAACCAAGAAAAACGATCATTTTCCTGTAGTCTGGTTCCCTGACTCTATATAAGAAGAAACAGAGCAGTTTACATACATTGGGGGAATTGTAAGGTCAGGGAACCAGTCTAGCTGGCTCGTACCCGTTTATTGGTTTGTAATCGATTGCAAACAAGTGCAATGGTCAATTGGGGCCAGTATTTGAAAAAAAGCCAGTTGTTTCCAACGCTGATCGGCCGATCAGCGTTGGAAATTGATACAAAAATACCACTTTTCTTGAAAATGACAGTATACCAGGTGCCATAATTTTACAGGATGCTTTAGACTGTCATTTACCAACATCCTGTTAAGGTATTTCGCAAAAACTTGATAGTTTTATTTTTCGATGTTTGCAAATGTTGTATATTCCCTTTAAGTCAAGGCAAACCGATGAAGATATTAATTATATATGGATAAATACTCACCAATTCTATCTTGTGCTTCCATCACTGTAACGGTTACTCCTGGCAATTCCTTCCTGAGATAGTAGGCACAAGATGCACCTCCTATGCCAGCACCTACAACCACCACATCAGGACAGCTGCTTGAAGGATTACCTGCCCCAGCCATGAGTAACAGCGGACTAGAGCTCTGGCACTAGCGATTCTCAAACCTGTTGACAGTGAATAGACTCAATTTCAGAGCAAGTTCAATCAGGAATTATATAGTTTGACTAACTCTTGACTATAACTAGCCAACTTTTTGCAAACTTTTATTACACCTTGATTTGCCAAGAGTGAGTCACATGGCATTCGCTATCTTACTGTGCACAGCCAAAAAGGCTATACCACGACCAAAAAATGCTACACAACGACCAACAGACTATTTAATAAAAAATTAATAGGCCTACTGATAAAGTTCTTGCATGGGAGCATGGGATAGTGAATGAATATGACAGCATTGAGAGAACTACGGTACAATGTACATACTGAAGCATGACCTTAAACTGCTAATTTCAATGTACATGATTTATCCTGACCTTTTTGTACCCTAGATATCAGCAGGTATATTTGCCCTTTCATGACATGGGGCACGGGATAAACCATGTAGGGCCTACATGGCCTACTGGCAATGAGGTCACTAATATAGTAATTCTGCGCGCCCCGAGGGACTGCCAGTGACCAGACAAGGGTCATATTTCCCGGAGGCCCAGGAAAATACATGTAGGACCCAGAGATGAAACTGGCAAATGGCAAAAAATCGGAAAATAGGCCGAACAAAAAAACGTTACCGAAATCTGGGCCGCGCTGCAGTACACACACATGACACATGATGTAGGCCCTACATACTACATGCATATGTACAAACTACAATAATATTACACTTCATGCCCAATTTCCTTACACCAACTCCTGCTTTATTTTACGATGAAAAAAAAATGGTCGGCGTTTTCATTGCATAAAACGCCTGAATTACGGTTAGAGTAATGGAGTCATCACCAAAGAAGTTCACTTCTTAAGTTCTTACTTGGAAAAAGTCGAGGAAAAAGTCCGAAAGACAAGGGCACCGTTCATGGTGCTTCAATCATGGAGGAATTCCTCCATGCTTCAATCACGCCCATGATTCAACCACACAATAACTACTCCACTTGCATTCGTACGTGGGGAAAAAGCAGGCATTATCGTCTTTCTCTTCCAACAAATGCCAGTGAAATGTTTCCCTAATGCTCTATCCGCTATCTTCGAGATAATCATGATGATGTTTAAAGCACTGCACTTTGAACAACTAAATCTGAAACCTCCGAAAATCGCACAACATAATGATTTTATACACTGGATCGTTCACGAGGCTACCCTTTCCCGACGCGACCGGCCTGTGTTGCGGCGCGGCGCGGCGCGGACTAGTGCGGTACGTACGCTGGACGGCTGGTACCATTGCATATCATGAAGTACGTGCACGCACGTGCGACTCAGTGATTTTTCCATGCACCTGTCAATGTTTAACCTTTTGTCCAGCCGGAAAAGTTTCCGATCAGTGTTATGGCCTGTGTTTCTACGGTTGAAACAAACCAATAACGACTGGTGAAAGACATTAAAACTACGTTCGCGATGATTTTAATGTGCCATTTCCATCGACTTTTCATCGACTTTTCTTGGAAATTATGATTGAAATAAAATGATATTTTGTGAAAAAATCGTTATATAAAATCAAATTTTGTGGGCCACATTGTAAGAAAATCAGACATATCGTTGGAAAATTCAAAAAGTCGGATTTCCGATTAAAATCGGAAAAGTTTCCTCTCTGAGGACCCTCTTCTGGTCACTCACAGGCCCAAGGGACCAGTAGACTTGCACGAGTGACCAAATTATGCCACTCAATGCCACTTATTGTGTGTTAAATATGACACAACTCTGTCCAAAATATTAAATAAGAAAAAGAAACTTTTCAGGGTTTTATTATTGAACAGTGAGCGAGGCCAAAAATATCAGGGTGATGGCCTGAACCCGTTTGGCATCGAGGTTCGTGAAAAACAATCCCGCGCCTGGGTCTGGTCAAAGTCAAAATAATCCCAGCACGAACTGGTTAAGTAAACGATATTTTGCCTGATAGACACAGAGCATGCGCAGTGACTGGTTGTTTTTTTTTTTGAACTTCAGAAATTTTTACCATTTCTGTCTGTTTCCGCGCCAACATTGTCGTTTTGACTTCATCTTCACGAGACGGGAATCAGACCATCTTACAATTTTGGACTTTATTTTTTAAAAAATCCTCCAGAGCCACGTACGATTCAGAAAAACAAAATGTAATATTCTTTAATTAAGGTTTGAATCAATTTATAATAATATTAAAGAATATATGCCTGCAGGATGATTTCTTAAGACCCTGCCCGGAAAGGAGAACAAAAAATCACTGAGACAAGTCTACTGATTGGCGATGGCGCCATTCAATTTACACGGTGTGCCGTTTTATTTATTTTAACGCGCCATCCTTTATTTTGATCCCGTAAAAGTTTTTACTATTTCGCGGAGAAAATATCGTCCTTTGACTTTATTTTGTGTTTGCAGCTGTAAAATGGGAACCAGACAGTTATGTTAAAATAAAGACAGTAGGCCTACCTTATAGCATGTATAGCAGACACGGTGAGGGAAAATTTGCAAGTTTCAGAAAACGTTATTAAAGTCCCGAAAGACACAATATATTTTAATCGTCCTTTTTATATACGGAAGTACGGAAGAAAGTACGGTAGGAAGTGCGGTGGGACTAGGAGTAGGAAGGAAGGAAGGTTTTGCTGAAAAACAACAAAATATTAGGGGAAATTATAAACTAATACAAATGGTAGAATACAGTAAATTGGGTACACAAAAAGGAAATAAACAATTAGATATTAAACTAGTAATAATTAAACTATAAGAAGATAAATGAAGAAAAACTATGTACTTACTACGCTGGGGGTGTTGCCAAAATTGGGTGTCTAACTGTGTGCAAATCTAACGGTGCGTAAAACCATGGAGCTATATAGCTCCATCTACCTCCATGGTAAAACTAACGGTGTATAAAAACAGGTGTTGTAGGTTTGGACACTAGCAACAGAATGATGGGAAAATGGGCTAAAACTATGGTCAATGCACAGACAGTGTCCTAACAGGGTGAATTATGGCACCTTAGGGAATGTTTTGGTCTGGAGTTGGGAGAGGTTGCTATGGGGACCGCCACCCAGGCCTGGCAGAGTTGGGCAAAACAAGGTCGTACAGGGATCGGGGACTGTGGTCAAGGGATCTTACACTAAATTGTACATCTAAACTGTACATGTACTAAGCTAGATAATGAGGATAAAATATTTTCTAAACCTCGAGATTAATTAAAGACAAAAAATAATAAGAAAAGTTAAATAATACAAAACGTCCGCTACACGCGGTAATAGGGATGCCGCGATAATATGATGTCCGGCCAGCTCTACAGGCACTGGCTCTACTGAGTGGATCGCTGGAACTGTTGCGTGTAATATGTGCTCAGCGCCAAAAGCCCAAACCCAACCTCATGCCCCGTGGGTACGATCTTGCAGCGCCATGTTGTTTCCCATCATGCCTTGCGCGATCGTAACCCCTGGAATTGTGTAATTTAAATGTGCCAAAATATTATAATTAGGGCTGCAGTTTATCCATTTTACGTGTCGACGCCATCTTTAAAATGTTAAAAGTTGTGATTTTGAAGAATCAATCCTTTCAAACACAACGTTTGGACGTTGTGTTAATTAGCAAAGATGTGTATTAAATGTACGTACCCCTTTCGTGCCTTTACAACCACAGATACAGGGGGTTTTTTTTAGCGAAAAACGCGGCTGACATAATCCATATCGTACAGGCATCGCGACTTTTGAATCATAATTTTTTTTTCGTACGTGACGTTACGTGCAAAGCTAAGCACGCGAGCGCGAGCGCCCTATGGGCGCGCCCGGCGTGCAATCTTCGAAATGCCCGCGCAGTACGCTGTGAATAGCCATTCAAGCGTCATTTACGTCATCATCACAGCCAGGGGTTAGTGTAAGGAACGAGCACGCGCCCCTGCAGGGGCGCCCTCTCCAGGCCTGGAGTCGAGGCTGGCCCAAACCAAACTGTCATACAGCGCAGGGCGCATATCACTACACGCAACAGTCGTTGATTCAGCGCAACTTGTTTTTCTTCAATAGTGACGTCACACACGCGCTCGACAATCTAGCCAAGAAATGGATGGCACATCTCGGTGCATTTAATTGTGAGCGGTAAGTTTATCAGAAAATGTTGTTATTTTTTTTTCAAAATTACCGCTTGTTTTGAACAGTTTTAGGGATCTTATGGCATGTCATGAATGTGAAGATCTGTCCAGGGTAACTGTTTTTCTCATTTGTATTCTCTTTACCAGTTTTTTGGGGCCTTTTTCCCCCAAGGGTATGCACAAAAATGCATACCGTGTGTTGCTTGAGCTCGAGTACTATAAAATTAGCTCCAGCTTAATGCCTATCGCATTAGAGCTGGATACGTTACAATCTCCGGGTCGTATAATCCCGAAATCCCGGACTGTACATCCCCAGTGCATTACAAAAAACGGTCAATTTTCCCTATATTATCCTGACCCAGATTCCATAATTCATACCTCATACGATGCAGCAGACATTTATGAAGCTAATATTATTACTATAGAGTATAGTATTAGGCCTAGTCCGAGTAACTTGGACCCAACTTATCACCTTTTTTAACATTTGGACATGGTCTGGCGATCGCCAGACCATGTCCAAATGTTAAAAAAGGCGATAAGTTGGGTCGCCAGACCATGTCCAAATGTTAAAAAAGGCGATAAGTTGGGTCCAAGTTACTCGGACTATATTAGGCCTATATGATTAAAATTGGGGCAGTATTTGAAGAAAAATAGCCAGTTTTTTTCCAACGCTGGCCGGCAGACCAGCGTTGGAAATTGATGCAAAAATACCACTTTTCTTGAAAATGACAGCACACCGCCGGGGTGCAATGATTTTACAGCATGCTTTAGACCAGACAGGCAGGACAGGGCTCTGGAGTGCTCTGAAACATGCAAAACTAAATCAGGCCCACTTTACTCACAGTTTAGCCAGCAAATCTCTCCAAAAATTCCACTGGGGCAAAGAAAATGTTCTCAGCATTTCACCAACCAAGTTTGCAGACCAAATTCAATTTTTAAAGGAGACATTTCTTCAATATTTTACACATGAGAGGGAAGTCAAGTGATTTCAAAATGGGGCTAAATACTAGACTGGGACATGTCCAACCATGGTCCAACTATTTGAAAAGACTGACCTCTTCATTCAGTGTCAATAGTCTGGTGGCTTGACTATGGAGAAATGTGTAGTAAATTGAGAGTAGTTCCCACTTCATGCCACATGTTTCTTAAATTCTTGGCATGGTTGATTGATGCAATACTGAAGCTTTGTTGGACTGGTTGTTTTAGGTGCCAGTCTATTTTCTTGTTTTGCATGTTTTCGACTCTCATCACAGTATTGAGAGTCCCAAATTTTCGGACTAGCTTTAGACTGTCATTAGTAAGAGTCAAGTAAGTTATTTCATAATTAATAATTGGGTATGAATCTTTTTTGATGTTTGCAAATGTTGTATATTCCCTTTAATGACTAACACAAAAAAACACTCGTTGTTTCGGGCATGCAATAACTCAAGGAATACCAGTTATTCAATTGAAATTTCTGCAGCAATTATGCGGATTCACACGTAACGACCGCCCTCTGTTGATTTATTGTATAATGTTATCACCACTTTTGCGAAATGGTATTGTCGGCGCTGCCCCGGAGGCAACATGGTTGCCGATTTGGGAGCTGAACGGAGAGCCAATTTATTTGAACTGAAAATTGCAATTTTCAGACATTTAACTTATTGATTTTAAGCCAAAATTTCATTTTTGCCACTACTGTACGGTTTGAATACTGGTTTTGTCAATTTGAAAGTGTTTTGGAGGTGTTGGCGCTGTGTTGACGCTGTGTTGACGCTTTTGGGTGTGTTGACGCTTTTTAGTATGACCGAGAGGATTTGCATACCATTATGAGGCCCATAGGATCTTGTAGTTCATGATGTACTAATCCTTTGTGCACACAGTGGCAAACTTGCATTTGGACCCATATGTTGCTAAGTATGCTTTTGTACATGGACTGTAGTTTCATAGGAGTTTTGTTTTATAAGAACTGTTTTTAAATTGCCATTTGTTTCTTTCTTATTTTCTGTATCTTTAAGTCATTTTCCTCAAGTGCTGTGTGAGTTTACTTTTTTCCCATTTTTTTTCCTTTGGTTTTTATTTTTTTAAAGGGAAAATACAACATTTGCAAACATCAAAAAATAAAACTACCAAATCATTTTGAAATACCTTGCTGGACTGTTAGTGAATGACAGTGTAAAGCATCCTGTAAAATCATGGCACCTGGTATACTGTCATTTTCAAGAAAAGTGCTATTTTTGTACCAACGCTGATCGGCCGATCAGCGTTGGAAAAAACTTTTTTTTTTCAAATACTGGCCCCAATTGACCATCGCACTTGTTTGCAATCGATTACACACACTATGAACGGGTACAAGCCAGCTAGACTAGTTCCCTGACCTTACAATTCCCCAATGTATGTAAACTGCTCTGTTTCTTCTTCAATGGAGTCAGGGAACCAGACTACAGGAAAATGATTGTTTTTCTTGGTTTTTATAGCATTTTTGAACCCAAAACCTCAAAAAAGTCAGTGTAACTATATTTGCTATATATTTTCAACCCCCCAATTCCATCCATTTCTGAAAATTACAGCAAAAGCAAATGATGTATATTCCCTTTAACTCAGTTTTTTTTTTTTGTAATCATCCCAAAATTTTATCCAATTGTTTTGTGTACAAGATGGCAGGGGTTGAAACCAGGACCATGGTGGAAAGCAAGACTCACCATGACAATCTGCAAGCGTTACGAGCATTCCACGACTCCGATGCAATCCGCTACACAGATTCTAACCTCAGCAACACACTTCTGGCTGGACTAAACCAGCTACGTCATGAGAGGCAGCTTACCGATGTCACACTGGAAGTTGGCCAAGAGAAGTTTTCTTGTCATCGCAGTGTGCTCGCAGCATGTAGCCCCTACTTCAAGGCCATGTTCACAGGTGGCATGCAGGTACATAAACATTATAGGATCCTGTCTTCCCATTCGCCATCTGATGGTAACTCTCATTTCAAAATCTGAAACGGGAGATGTGGAAAGACTCAAAGGTGGTGACTGATATAAATAACAATATGCCAGCAGCTAGCCCCATAAATGTGGCCTATTTACTGGACTGCCTCCGTAAACATAGGCCACACATCCACATGTACAAAAACGTGTCGCACTTTGCCAAATTTTGATTTTCACATTTAGGCTTAGTTTTTGTAGGTTTTTTTTGCTTTAGAAGCATACTCACCTTCTTTATAGGCTAATCAGAAAGTGCTGCCTTTTTCAGATGTCCATTTTTCGTGAAATTTCCAGATACATTTGCACACGTTTGCGTATCAAAATTTCAACATGAAATTTCACAAAAATTAGACATCTGAAAAAGGCAGCACTTTCTGATTAGCCTATAAAGAGGGTGAGAATGCTTCTAAAGCAAAAAAACGACAAAGTAAGCCTAAATGTGAAAATCAAAATTTGGCAAAGTACGACACGTTTTTGTACATGTGGATGTGTGGCCTATGTTTACGGAGGCAGTCCAGTAAATAGGCCACATTTATGGGGCTAGCCAGCAGCAAGAAACAGTACTTGTCACCAACTTCACATCTAATTTCGCTCTACGGATCATAACAGTAAACCAAGATGATTTGCAACAAGACATGTTTTTCATACATGTTGTCAGGAATGCATATAAATGTACAGTTATCACTAGCGCTCACGTCCTACATGATCACATACATGTCAAAAAGAGCATCACTAATACATTTATCAAAGTATTATTCAGTAACGTTGCAAGTTGTATTTACAAGCTTTAACATTAACCATTCAATTCTCAAACCATTTAAATTACAAACATACATACAGTTCATCAAAATATAAACACTTAATCAATATAAAGGTCTACCTGGAACTTTCTAAGGAAGTGTACGTATGTAAATTATTCTACATGTGATATTTTCAAGAAAAACATCCCTTAGAAATTCGTTAATTAAAGAGCCATTTTCCCTTGAAATTACAGTTAACTAAATTTTCACAGATTTTTCAACATATTAAGCCAGATTAGGAGTCCGTGAAAACACCCTTAAGAAGGTCATTTGTTTACCCATGGAGATAGACACAGTGTACCGTTATGTATAACCAATGATAATCCTCAGTGGCCAGGATCATTAAAAAAAACCGTGAAAATACCCTTACAGGATTAGTCCTACATGTATATAAGCCCCATGTAAATGTCCGTGAAACATCTCTTAACCCTGCGAGCTGCGAAGCGTAAAAACTTACACCGCGTAGCTGAGGTGCTCACGCGTGTGGCAGTTTTGATTTCGCGTATAAAATACTATTTTGTGGACACAATCCTTTCTCTAATGGTCTAAATGAATGCAGGTCCCCCGAACCCACACAAGATTGAATCCCCTCCAGTAGGTCACTCACAGACATTGTGGCTGCACAGTCATGTACATACACTGCATGCACTGTGACCATTACATGTTAGATTGACCATTACATGTTGGATCGACCATTACATAATGGATCCCCCCAAAAAAGATGGACATGAAACAGTCGAGACAGCCTTTCTCTGGCTTTAGACAGCTGTCACTGGGCCAGCAGTAGAGGATGATTGATGACATTGTTGTGACGGCGGTATGTAAAACACAGAGAACTTTTTTTGTGCACAAGTGAATGGGCTTTGGCTGGAGGCCCAACTTTCCCAGGGGCGGCTGACCCCCAAGTGAACTCCTACAAGAAAAGCGACCATACCATCTCAAACCACAAGGTTCACTCTAGGATTACATGTAGTTTCAAGGGAATTGGGCGATAGCTCCATAAAAAAAGTTAAGAAACAAAAAAAGGGACTAGCGCGTGAGCCCCTGCGCAGCCCGCAGGGTTAAAGATTCTTTTCACGGAGAAGTGGACGTTTAATGAAAATTTAAGGGATCAGATGTTCATAGTGCTTAAGTTACACTGTTTTATGGTGTATTTTGTTCCCCTGCAGGAGTCCAGTTGCAACGTGATATCCCTCGGTGATGTAGAGCCTATGTCCCTGCAGCTCATATTGGACTTTATTTACACTGGAGCCATTAATCTGAGCAATGATAGTGTTCAGAATGTGTTTTCTGCAGCTAACCTTCTACAAGTTGCACCAGTGGTCCATTTCTGTGCAGAGTACATGGAGAAGAATCTTCATGTTGTCAACTGCGTGGACATGTACCAGTTGGCTTGTACGTATTCCTGCACAAACCTGAAAGAAGCAGCCTGGGACTACCTCAACTATCACTTCCAGGTGAGAATATAGTCACTATAAGGCTAGGGCCAAGTTCGCGCAAGGACTATAGTTGACCAATGGTTAAAGCTACAGTCCATCATTTGTAATTTGTGCATTTTGTTTGTTTGAAGCAACAAAAGAGTGCAAAATCTAATGAAGGATACTGAGCAACTAACCTGATGAAGTTTCAGCTAAGCTTCAGCTGTACATTCCGAGAAAAATAACATTCTAAGATCTCAATTTCAAATCAAAAGTTACTGAATCATGTTTTGAATTGTTTTGAATTGCAGCTATACGCGACGTAGCGCACTGATCCGACGAATTATAACAACCGCGCGCGTGTGTGCGTCGTTCCAATACTTGTGCGCGCTGCGCTGAATAACAAAACGAACAACTAATTTAAATTTTCCTACGGTGCTTCTTAAGAATCACCGTTGGAAATGCCTTCTTTCGTTGATTACTTCAAAATGACAGCTTCCCAGAAAGAATAATTTCACAGGGAGTTTAGTTCCCTTACTACCTTTCAACCAAGTTTGTTTTTCAACAATAATTACGCCAGTTACTTTTCGGATGGCTGCAAATGATGGACTATAGCTTTAACTAACGTTTGCCCGAACACTGTCTAGTCGACGGTGGTTGACTACGCTAGTCGACTATTTGGAACCAACCTACTGGGGTTGGTTGCTTCGCTGGTAACCAATAGCCACGCGCATTCATAACGCTAGCAGAGAGCCAGGATCCAGAAGTTTTGCGATGACATTTTGACCAGCGTTTGACTAGAGACGTTCGCACATTGCTGTCAGTGCGCAGGTGTAAGGTACGTCACAAAATGACTATTTTGAATGGCCCCTTGCTTGATTTGAATGGGTATGCGAATTGGATGAGTTTTGCAGGCATATCATGTGGAAATGGTTGCATAATTGATGTATTGCTTGTTTATGTGTACTACCTTTAGAAAATGGCATATACAGGGCCTCATGGTGCATAGCACCCTAGGGTTCACAGCAGCTGCTATGCGCCCCATCCCACATCACAGCAGTCAGCAACAAGCCAGTTTGGTATTCCAAGATAGTCTGGTGTACAACAAAATTTAATTTTTTAGGATAAACACGGCAGATAAATTCACACAAGGCTATGGGGGACGAGGTAACCAAATCTGCATTCTGTGCAATTTTTTCTGCCATCGAAAAGAGATGGAAACTTTCGTTCGCACAAAAGTTTGGAAACATCAGACACCTAAAACACTTCGTTGTCCAAACATATTTTGCAAAATGTTACTTCAGAGCATGACAATCTCTTCAATTTTGCTGGTACCCCGCTATGCTTTTGTTAGGCATACGATGAAATGTTTACCCTGAAAGAAAAAAATGGTCAAATCTTGATGTGCACATGCGCAGTTGGAATACTGAACTTGCTTATTGTTAAGTATACAACACCTGAATGAATCCCTGTCATCTGATTGGCGGATCGTTGATCACATGTCATTGAATTATTCGTACCAACGCACGGCGCGCGCATGGCGCACAGTGCACTGGAAATTCTATTGCACGGTGAATAGAACTTCCATTGCACGGTATCACTGCTGCTGGTGGTGGCGCTGTTTTAAATCGAGATTAATTGAATATGTTTGTTCTCAACCTGTTGAACAGTTTGCATTAATAAAACATGATGAACTTGTCGAACTTTTAAACAGTTTGAACCCGAATAAATTGGCTATTAAAGGTCAACCAATCAGATGACAAGGATTTATTCAGGTGTTATATAAAACAAATAATGAATGTTTCATGTTCATGCAATGGAAAGAATAATTTCATGAGGTGACAGATGAAATGTTCCATTCCCACGAGGCAAACATTTCATCTGTCACCTCATGAAACTATTCTTACCATTGCACTCACAAACATTTATTATTTGTATACTGTCACATGCATGATTTAAAGTCAACCAATCAGATGACAAGGATATTCAGGTGTTATATAAAACAAATGATAAATGTTTGACGTTCGTGCAATGGAAAGAATAATTTCATTCGGTGACAGATGAAATGTTCCATTCCCACGAGGCAAACATTTCATCTGTCACCTCATGAAATTATTCTTACCATTGCACTCACAAACATTCATACATGATTCATGATTTGTTCATACATGATATTTATTTATTATATTATTTTTTGTGGACAGGATGTGGTGAATGAGTCCCAGGTCGTTCATGCTAGTATCGATGTTGTCAATGACATAGTGCAGAGTAATCAACTCAATGTAGCGTCGGAAGATGCCGTTCTTCAGATGGTACTTGCATGGGTGCAGTGGGACGTGATGACCAGACGTGTCTTCATGACACGCTTGTTGGAATATGTCCGATTTGAACACATAGCACACGACTCCTTACAGAGTGTGATTGCTGTCAACGTGGTACCTGAGATCAACTGTGCTGTTGAAGAAGCTATCAAACTAAACAAGGAGGCATTTCGGTCACACCATGACAATCCTCCGCAACAAAAATCAATGCAACGTCTAGGTGTTAATGCCAGGGATGTGTTGTTGCTGATGGGCCGTAACTATAGAGAACATACAATGTGTTGCTACCATCCACCTTCACAAACAAGCTTCTTCATTGATCTCCCCCCAGTCTGTCGGACCTTGGGTGCCAAGCTTGTAGTCACAGATGCCAATGATATATACCTAGCCACTGATGACTTTCGGGAGAAAAGCGTGTTTCGCTTCAATCACATCCAGGCGAAATGGGTCAAAATCTCCCCCAGGTTACAAGGACGATCCAACTTTGCCATTGCAAGTGTTCACGGCAAAATATTTGCCCTGGGAGGAATAAATGATTGGGAGATTTTAAGGAGTGTGGAGTGGTACGATCCTGCCAGGGATGAATGGCAGTTTGCAAGTTCAATGCCACGCGATGTTATAGACTTCAGTGTGGCGACCTATCAGAATATGATCTATGTGTTCTCTGGCAGTCGCACCATGAAGTACGACAGCCTGACTGATACATGGATAGCTACTCTGCCTCCTATGCCTACGCCACGCCTACAGACGGCTTGCGCTACTAACGGCTCAGAAATCTGGCTAATAGGAGGGTTTCTAGCTCAAAGTAGCTCGGAGGTACCTACTGTTAGTGTGGAATCCTTCCAACCGGATAGTAACTCGTGGAGCAAAAAGGAACCATTACCAAGTCTGCTTCGTTTCTGCTCTGCAGTTAGGTACCATCCAAGCAGTAGACTCTACCTGTGTGGTATGTGGTGTGGCGTACATGAAATGGGCCTCAACATTCCCATGCAGCTGAGTTCCCAGTTTGACCTGTATGACTTTGATCAATTAACAAGTTGCTGGACAGATATTGCATTTGATATACCAATGCAAGAAGTGCAATCATGTGCAGGTGCTAGGGTCTTCAAAAGATGAGGGTTGCGATGAGCAATATGTTGGTAGCATCTGACACGTAGGGTCAGATTGCAGTAAAAGTACAGTTACACTGATTATGTGCAAAATGGCGAGTGCATTTTTGACTTGAAGTATGTCTTTGTATCACATGATCATGCATATTTTAAGAAGAAAAGAGTAACATCCAAGTTTATTTTATGCACAAACCTTTGATTTCTTCAACTGGGTGTAACATCAGTTAAAGGGAATGTACATCATTGGCTTTGCTGTAATTTTCAGAAATGAACTAGTTGAGGGGTTAGTATAATAGAACAAAATATTGTATTACACTGACATGTTTGAAGTTTTGTGTCCGAAAATGCTGGAAAAACCAAGAAAAACAAAAATGTGCAAGTAGTCTGGTTCCCTGACTCCACTAAAAATGAAATGGATCAATTTATAGATGCCGGAAAATTGTAAGGTAAGGGAACCAGTCTAGCTGACCTGCACCCGTTCATGAACATGTTACCAATAGCAAACACAATTTGGACTGAAACAAATGGTAAAAATGAAGCAGTTGTTGAAAAACAGTTAGGTTTTTCCAACGGTGGTCGGCCGACCACCGTTGGAAATGTATACAAAAATACCATTTTCTTGGAAATGACTTCACACCAGGTGCCATAATTATACAGAATGCTTTAGACTGTCATTTACCAACATCCTAGTGAGGTATTTCGTAAAAACTTGGTAGTTTTATTTTTCGATGTTTGCAATTGTTGTATTGTCCAGAAACGTATTACATACATGTACATTGTACATGCGCAAGAATTTTAACAATATTTTTTAATAATGTGGAAGATTCAATCTGGGTGCCCCTCTTGATTAGTGAACTGATGGGGAAGGCGCGTAACGTCGTAATAGAACCGGAAAGTGTAGTGCAAAGGAATGTGTAGTACGTGCGCGTGTTGGTTCACGGGCCGAATCACGCGCTAATGTCTTTTACACACATAATTGTGCATGGATGTATTCACTTCGGTAGTCTATTACACAAGACTGTGGATTACTAGTACATGTATGCATTAGCAAGTGGAAACAGCGTTATCATTGTCAGACGATCAAATTTTTGTTTTTAAGCCTAATTTGTAAGAAACCGGCCCTTATTCTTTTTTAATTAAATGCTCGACAAACTATCTCAAAAATTTAGTAATGCATTAAATTGAATGGTGACCAGGTGATTTATCATGAAAAATAAACAAAATAGACAGAAGATTTAGACAAAATATTGTTTTTCTCTCCCTCAACAGTGTCTTTTGTCAACGCGGAGAAAAACTTGGCGAGAGTGCAGTCCCAGTCCAAACAGACCATTTTCCAAACTTTTTGCACGGAAACGATAGTCATGCTGGACAAACTATCTCAAAAATTAAGTAATGCATTAAATTGAACGGTGGCCAGGTGATTTATCATGAAAAATAGACAAACTAGACAGAAGATTTAGACGAAATATTGTTTTTCTCTCCCTAAACAGTGTCTTGTGTCAACACGGAGAAAAACTTGGCGAGAGTGCAGTCCCAGTCCAAACAGACCATTTTCCACACTTTTTCCTCGGAAACGATAGTCATGCTGGACAAACTATCTCAAAAATTAAATGATGCATTAAATTGAATGGTGGACAGGTGATTTATCATGAAAAATAGACAAACTAGACAGCAGATTTAGACAAAATATTGTTTTTCTCTCCCTCAACAGTGTCTTGTGTCAACGTGGGGAAAAAAGTTGGCGAGAGTGCAGTCCCAGTCCAAACAGACCATTTTCCACACTTTTTGCTCGGAAACGATAGTCATGCTGGACAAACTATCTCAAAAATTAAATGATGCATTAAATTGAACGGTGGCCAGGTGAATTATCATGAAAAACAGACAAACTAGACAGAAGATTTAGACAAAATATTGTTGTTCTCTCCCTCAACAGTGTCTTGTGTCAAGACGGAGAAAAAGTTGACGACAGTATGCAGTCCCAGTCCAAACAGACCATTTTCCACACTTTTTGCACGGAAACGATAGTCTTGCTCGACAAAGTATCTCAAAAATTAAGTAATGCATGAAATTGAACGGTGGCCAGGTGAATTATCATGAACAATAGACAAACTAGACAGAAGAGTTGGACAAAATATTGTTATTCTCTCCCTCAACAGTGTCTTGTGTCAACGCGGAGAAAAACTTGGCGAGAGTGCAGTCCCAGTCCAAACAGACCATTTTCCACACTTTCCTCGGAAACGATAGTCAGGCTGGACAAAGTATCTCAAAAATTAAGTAATGCATGAAATTGAACGGTGGCCAGGTGAATTATCATGAACAATAGGCAAACTAGACAGAAGAGTTGGACAAAATATTGTTATTCTCTCCCTCAACAGTGTCTTGTGTCAACGCGGAGAAAAACTTGGCGAGAGTGCAGTCCCAGTCCAAACACCATTTTCCACACTTTCCTCGGAAACGATAGTCAGGCTGGACAAAGTATCTCACAAATGAAATGATGCATTAAATTGAACGGTGGCCAGGTGATTTATCATGAAAAATAGACAAACTAGACAGAAGATTTAGACAAAATATAGTTTTTTTCCTCCCTCAACAGTGCCTTGTTTCAACCCGGGGGAAAACTTGGCGAGAGTATGTAGTCCCAGTCCAAACAGACCATTTTCCACACTTTTTGCAGGGAAACGATAGTCACGTCGACAAATTATCTCAAAAATTAAGCAATGCCTTAAATTGAACAGTAAGCAAGTGATTTATCATGAAAAATAGACAAACTAGACAGAAGATTTAGACAAAATATTGTTTTTTTCTCTCTCAACAGTGCCTTGTTTCAACCCGGGGGAAAACTTGGCGAGAGTATGCAGTCTCAGTCCAAACAGACCATTTCCCAAACTTTTTGCAGGGAAACGATAGTCACGACGACAAATTATCTCAAAAATTAAGTAATGCATTAAATTGAACGGTGGCCAGGTGATTTATCATGAAAAATAGACAAACTAGACAGAAGATTTAGACAAAATATTGTTGTTCTCTCCCTAAACAGTGTCTTGTGTCAACACGGAGAAAAACTTGATGAGAGTATGCAGTCCCAGTCCAAACAGACCATTTTCCACACTTTTTGCTCGGAAACGATAGTCATGCTGGACAAACTATCTCAAAAATTAAGTAATGCATTAAATTGAACGGTGGCCAGGTGATTTATCATGAAAAATAGACAAAGTAGACAGAAGATTTAGACAAAATATTGTTGTTCTCTCCCTCAACAGTGTATTGTGTCGACGCGGAGAAAAACTTGGCGAGAGTGCAGTCCCAGTCCAAACAGACCATTTTCCACACTTTTTGCTCGGAAACGATAGTCATTCAGGACAAACTATCTCAAAAATTAAGTAAAAGCATTCAATTGAACGGTGGCCAGGTGATATATCATGAAAAATAGACAAACTAGACACAAGATTTAGACAAAATATTGTTTTTCTCTCCCTCAACAGTGCTTTGTTTCAACACGGGGAAAAAATGGCAAGAGTATGCAGTCTCAGTCCAAACAGACCATTTTCCAAACTTTTTCCAGGGAAACGATAGTCACGTCGACAAATTATCTCAAAAATTAAGCAATGCTTTTATTTGAACGGTGGCCAGATGATTTCTCATGAAAAATAGACAAACTAGACAGAAGATTTAGACAAAATATTGTTTTTCTCTCCCTCAACAGTGTCTTGTTTCAGCCCGGGGGAAAACTTGGCGAGAGTGCAGTCCCAGTCCATACAGACCATTTTCCACACTTTTTGCACGGAAACGATAGTCACGACGACAAATTATCTCAAAAATTAAGCAATATATTTAATTGAACAGTAAGCAAGTGATTTATCATGAAAAATAGACAAACTAGACATAAGATTTAGACAAAATATTGTTTTTTTTCTCCCTCAACAGTGCCTTGTTTCAACCCGGGGAAAACTTGGCGAGAGTATGCAGTCTCAGTCCAAACAGACCATTTTCCACACTTTTTGCACGAAAACGATAGTCACGTCGACAAATTATCTCAAAAATTAAGCAATGCATTTAATTGAACAGTAAGCAAGTGATTTATCATGAAAAAAAGACAAACTAGACAGAATATTTATACAAAATATTGTTTTTCTCTCCCTCAACAGTGTCTTGTTTCAACCCGGGGAAAAACTTGGGGAGAGTATGCAGTCCCAATAGTCCAAACAGACCATTTTACTTACTGTTTGCACGGAAACGATAGTCACGACGACAAGTTATCTCAAAAATTAAGCAATGCATTTAATGGAACAGTAAGCAAGTGTTTTATCATGAAAAATAGACAAACTAGACAGAAAATATAGACAAAATATTGTTTTTCTCTCCCTCAACAGTGCCTTGTTTCAACCCGGGTAAAAATTTGGCGAGAGTATATGCAGTCCCAGTCCAAACAGACTATTTTCCACACTTTTTGCAGGGAAACGATAGTCACGTCGACAAATTATCTCAAAAATTAAGCAATGCATTATTTTAATTGAACGGTGGCCAGATGATTTATCATGCATAATAGACAAACTAGACAGAAGATTTAGACAAAATATTGTTGTTCTCTCCCTCAACAGTGTCTTGTGTCAACGCGGAGAAAAACTTGGCGAGAGTGTAGTCCCAGTCTAAACAGACCATTTTCCACACTCTTTGCTCGGAAACGATAGTCATGCTGGACAAACTATCTCAAAAATTAAGTAATGCATTCAATTGAACGGTGGCCAAGTGATTTATCATGAAAAATAGACAAACTAGACAGAAGACTTAGACAAAATATTGGGTTTTTTTCCTTAATTAAATGATGCATAAAATTGAACGGTGGCCAAGTGATTGATCATTAGAAATAGACAAACTAGACAGAAGATTTAGACAAAATATTGGGTTTTTTCCCTCTCACTCAACAGTGTCTTGTGTCAACGCGAATAAAAACTTGGCGAGAGTGTAGTCCCAGTCCATACAGACCATTTTTCTTACTTTTTGCACGGAAACGATAGTCATGCACGACAAACTATCTCAAAAATTAAGTAATGCATTCAATAAAACAGTGGCCAGGTGATTAATCATGAAAAATAGACAAACTAGACATAAGATTTAGACAAAATATTTGTTGTTCTCTCCCTCAACAGTGTCTTGTGTCAACGCGGAGAAAAACTTGGCGAGAGTGCAGTCCCAGCCACACTTTTTGCTCGGAAACGATAGTCATGGTGGACAAACTATATCAAAAATTAAGTAATGCATTCAATTGAACGGTGGCCAGGTGAATTAGCATGAACAATAGACAAACTAGACAGAAGATTTGGACAAAATATTGTTATTCTCTCCCTCAACAGTGTCTTGTGTCAACGCGAAGAAAAACTTGGCGAGAGTGCAGTCCCAGTCCAAACAGACCATTTTCCACACTTTTTCCTCGGAAACGATAGTCAGGCGGGACAAACTATCTCAAAAATTAAGTAATGCATTCAATTGAACGATGGCCAAGTGATTTATCATGAAAAATAGACAAACCAGACAGAAGATTTAGACAAAATATTGTTATTTTTCTCTCCCTCAATAGTGTCTTGTGTCAACTCGGATAAAAACTTGGCGAGAGTGTAGTCCCTGTCCATACAGACAATTTTTCACACTTTTTGCACGGAAACGATAGTCATGCTCGACAAAGTATCTCAAAAATTAAGTAATGCAATTAAGTTTCAGCTCAGCTTCAGCTGTATATTTCGAGAAAAACAGCATTCTGGGATCTCAATTTCAAATCAAAATTTGCTGAATCATGTTTTGAATTGTTTTGAATTGCTGCTATATATACGCGATGTCGCGCACTGATCCGACGAATGATAGCAACAGCGCATGCTGCAGTTTGCTAATTCACTATGTATATCTGCATTCTTTTCAACCGACTATGCTAGTGGGCACGAACGCCCAGAGGTTTTTTTTTTGGGGGGGGGGGTAACTTTAAGAAACGTGTTTATGTCAGCATGTCAAATTTATTCGAGTCAAGTCAAGTCTCAAGTCATATTTTTTTCAAGTCAAGTCAAGTCTCAAGTCATTTTTTGTCAAGTCTCAAGTCACTAAAAATAGCAACTCGAGTCCGACTCGAGTCCGAGTCAGCGACTCGAGTGAACAACACTGCCTATTGGTCAAGAGCCTGTCACATGGCCGGTTTTAAACAGTTGTTTGGACTCTATGAATCTGGTGCTTTTCACCGTCCTGACCATACCACCCTTGTGGGGTGATGTTCCTTTCAGGACACATCACCCCACTATTTTCACAATAGAAAACATCACCCCAGAAGGGAATCTTTAGAAAAAGGGATAATGGGAACACAATGCTATCACCCCACAATTCCGTCTGGCTGGAACGTCCGTTGTATTGGTTGGACGTTTACAATCCTCACGCAGGCATACGCAATACTACCAGTGAGTCGGCATTCATAGTCCTACATTCACACTACGCCGGCACAGCTGTGTTCTGTGCCACCCACGCAGTATGCGAGACGTGTGCGCCAATCTCCATTTAAGGAGAGGGACCAACCATAATACACATAGAGGGGTGTTTCGAGACTTGTTTTGAGTTTTGGACCGAAAAGTTGTGATTTTTTGTCCGAAAAGGTATTCATGAATGGGAATACATGTAAATATGTGCCTGGCCGGTATTAAACACTATGTGACCAGTTGGAATCTGGATGCTGATAATTACCCTTGCCTTCAGCTCGGGTAATCCCTTTAGTAATGATCTAAAACAACTAGCAGTTACAACGCTATCGCAATGAAGTTTACATGCAAATGTGTCAAAAAAATTTCTTCTTCTAAGATGGCCGGTAGCTTTCACATTAAAAAATGGCCAACAACATTTAGTTCAAACTGCCATTTTTTTTATTAAGTATTTTACCAATAATCCACAATTGTACACTTTAACCCAATATGCATGGTCTTCTCAATTGCATTTTCACTTCAACAAAATTAACAAAGATTACCACTCGGGTAAGGTGCTCAAGATCAATGACGTCCAATATGAACTTGTTTTCTGTTCCTTTTTTTCAAATTTAATGACCTTTTTAACAAAATAGGTAAAATATTCAAAATAAAAACCAACAAAGAACATACAGTATACATGTAACAATTTGGTTCATTTGTAGATCTATTCTAAACCACTACCAAAAACCACAACAGTTGTAATTCCAACCCAACATTTCAACATCCCTGTGTCCCCCCCCCCCATAAAAAAAATCCAACCCCCCCCCCCCCCCCCACCAATAAAAAAACCCAACTAAGGCCAAAAAAAAAAAATCGGTCTCTGGTCAGACCAAAGTTCCGGAATTGACGCGGCCACGCGGCTTTTTTTTTTTTTCTTCAAGCTTGGATTGTACAGACAAGGTGGGGTACTATTTTGCTTTTTTGGTGTCCTCATGTACATTGGTGTCCTCCATAATTTGCCTTGGTGCTTTCGATCATTTGCCTTCGTGCAATTTCCCATTCCTTGGTGCTCTTTAGTAAAAAAAAATTGAGGTGCGGAAATAGAGGGCGCTGTTGGAGCTACCGCGGAACATTTTGGAAAAAAAAAAGTTTGACGTGCATGATGAAAATCGACGCGTGCGCTGACCAGAGACCGACATTTTTTTTTGGCCTAACCATTACTCCAACCATTGTTTAGCCTGTAAATTGGCTCAAAAATGGTAACTTTTAAAGAATAAAGGCTTAAATACATGTATAAACTCAAACATTAAAGCTCAACCTGAGGCAAATACTTCCAGACTTAAAGATTTCAACTATTCCCAAGAGTAAAAACAGCCCAGATTTCCATCCCAAATGCAGTCACATTAACAATTATTTCCTCTTCACAAAATGCACACTTTTGCAGATCTTTCCTCTTAGACGACCCCCCCCCCCCCAAAAAAAAGTCGCCAATTTCTGGTATGGAACTTGTTCCAAAAGTGGTGCGGCGATGCTTTTTGTTTTTTTATTTGCCCTACTTATTTTTCTTCAAAAAAGGTGTGTGTACTAAATACAGTCGACTCTCATTATAATTATAAAGAGCACTTTATAAAGAGGTTCAAAATTATGATGAACTATTATTTTCATTCACATATCCAAATTTGTTAATGAAAATATGTCATTCTTTTGTCTTTGGGGCACTTTTCAGAGGTTAAAGGGAATATACATCATTTGCTTTTGCTGCAATTTTCAGAAATGGATGGAATTGGGGGGTTGGAAATATAAAGCAAATATAGTTACACTGACTTTTTGGAGGTTTTGGGTTCGAAAATGCTATAAAAACCAAGAAAAACGATCATTTTCCTGTAGTCTGGTTCCCTGACTCCATATAAGAAGAAACAGAGCAGTTTACATACATTGGGGAATTGTAAGGTCAGGGAACCAGTCTAGCTGGCTCGTACCCGTTCATAGATTTGTAATCGATTGCAAACAAGTACAATGGTCAATTGGGGCCAGTATTTGAAAAAAAGCCAGTTGTTTCCAACGCTGATCGGCCGATCAGCGTTGGAAATTGATACAAAAATACCTCTTTTCTTGAAAATGACAGTATACCAGGTGCCATAATTTTACAGGATGCTTTAGACTGTCATTTACCAACATCCTATTAAGGTATTTCGCAAAAACTTGGTAGTTTTATTTTTCGATGTTTGCAAATGTTGTATATTCCCTTTAATTCACTGTGCACTTGAAAACAAAATTACAAAATCATGTCAAAAAAATGTTACTCATGTCATGGTCAGTTAAGTCACTCTTTTATCAGCTTGGATGTTTAAACTCATCAAAATTTCAGTTTTTGTGAAATTTTGGGTAAACCTTTTCTTAGACAAGGTACTGAAAGAATTTAAAAATTGGCAAGTTGACCTGGATAAAGGACAAGACACATTAGGTGTGATCAATATTACAATAACCTTCCCCTGCACTCATGAGATCCACACAGGCATATCAGTGATTTGCCAGGTACGCTACCAACATCATAGTTATAATCCCAGGTCAACTCGGCTCCTGCACGCACATACCTGTACAGAGAAAATCAGTTCCATATTTACTGTCTGTAAAGAGCACAAAACATGAGAACACAATTCATAATACCATTTCTTGAATAAGTCCAACAATCTAAAACTGGAGATTTTAACCAGTAATTTCACAAAACTGGAAGATATATATTTTCTGAGTACATATTTTTTCTGTTTCTGTTTGTTTATTCCAAGCATTAAAAACTTGGATTCATAATGTTTGAGTAGTGCCGGTGGCACATGCACGTGGGCGCATGGTCACTCAGTCAGTGATCCACCATCGAGGCTGGTTTGGATTGGAGATCGCAGGATCAACTGCATGATGTGCAAAGTGGCCAATTGAGTCTAAAATTACAGGTTCAGACTCGCAAGTATTTTATTTTCTGATGGATCGGTCGACATTTTGCTTTTTTTTCAAACAATTAAAAATGAAGGAAAATTAATCCAAGTGAAGACCAAAATGTACGGACAAGGAGCCAGTCTACTTGTAAAGCAGATCTGTTTGTATAAACAAACCACCTTTTTTTTAAGGGGTTTGCAGACTTCCAAAAAAGGAAAAGAGGAGGTTTTTTTGGTTGGAATAAACATATAGAGAAACTAGATTTATGTTTGTGGACAAACACAGGGCTGTTTCGGTATTTTTTGTGACGTGTGACATGTAAAGTTTTAAGTATAAGTTCCATCAAGGAAGGATGTGTAGTTCTGTTTATAATAAATGGTGGCATATAATATGTGATTACATTCTCATAGGGCTTTGAATTATGACGCCACATATCAAGTGATGACGTCACATCAATGTTTATGTACAACTATAATTTATAGTAAAGAACAACTTAGCCAGAGCATACATCGTTGAAAGCAAGTTCACATCTTTCACCAATTTTAAATTAAGTACAAGACACTTCCGGTTTCAACCGGAAGGAAGGGTCACGTGATTTTGCACATAATATAAAAATGAAGACCCTGGATTTTTCTATCCATTCCCGCCGAAACAGCCGAAACAGCCAAAAAAAATAAAATGTAAAAGCACAGGAAACGCAACTTAAATTTAGATTGTGGGCTGCTTCTAAGCAACGCCCAAGGAGTATTTGCATGAACCAATGCAGTCACACTTACTTTTTAGCAAAGAATGCCACCCACGGGAAGCGAAGATCATGCGAGTCCACAAAGACATTTTGAACAAAGAGGTTAGGACTGCAGCTATGCTGTAGAAAGGAACAAGAGGTAGATTCAAAGCATGTAATCAGAGTGATGTTTTCACACATTCACATACTCGGCCTGCGATTTATGTATTTACATGTTCCTAGTATTTTGACAGGCTTGCAGGTTGTTTATTTATTTAATAATAATAATAATAATAATAACCGTATTTATATAGCGCCTTTTCCAAAGGATACAAAGCGCTGGGGGAGAATGCAACCAAGACAGGTAAATGAAGTATATGAACATTATGAGACCCATTATGTAGCACCTTTTTGCTAGGTGCTGCGGCGCATATTGCTGCCACTGCCAGAAACACCGGGGCAAACCCCTTCTCATAACAACAAGTGTATACTGGGATCTTTAACGTGCATTACACAACACACAGGCTTTACGTCCCATCCGAAGGATGAAGCAATAATGGTAAAGTGCCTTGCTCAAGAGCACAAGCACCATGTTCCCACGGTCAGGATTCGAACCCATGTACCACGGCACACGACTCAAACACCCTAACCATTGGACCACAGCACCAGACTTGGCATTGCATTGATGAAACTCTGTAGCTGTACAAAAACTGCAATAAAGAAGCCTCTGTTGTCAAGGGAACCACAACATCAGTAGACCTCAGCATTGAATTAGCAATCATTGGTACATTGTTTAACAGCTCAGCCTAATTGTTGCGAAGGCTGATTTGTAAGGGTTACCTAATACTTGAATGAAACATTTTGAATAAAACAAGCTCAAATTACCGTTACACAGACATTTTGATGTTTGCAGGCAAAATCTTTGAGCATCAATTTCTCCCATTTTGAAGACCGTATCTTCATGCCACTTTTGGAGTTTGTTCCCTTTATAATGATCCAACTATGTACTCAAAATCGTTTCAATATGTTCAGTATTTTTCTTTAAAAAATTGGAAAAAACAGGCTTGGGTACGTACAGATTTCAAAGCTGTAATAAATGATGTTTGCAATATCTGTCAAGCTTTTCAAGCCTCACGAATATTAATAAGGTTCCTATCCATATATGGTGTGCAGTAACAATTTGTAGGAACCCTCCTTAATTAATTAATAAATGTTAACCTTTTTGGCCGGCTTCCATTGGTCGATACCGTGACCCACGCGAAAGTAACGCTGAGTAGCGCTAATGAATATGCTAATAACACACACACTTCACCATTGCAGCCAAATTCGGCTGTGGTATAGACCACGTGTTGTTTTGCTGCTCGGCAGAGATCCGAGTCGAAATTTACCTTGGTTATAGTACAAGGTGTAACACAAGCGTTTGCAACAACAGATTAAGCTGAAATTCAGAATATACTTAGATGATATAGTGTTCAACTACTTGTGAAATATAAACTTGTATAGATTCCTATAAATTGAGTTAAGTAAATAGATTTGGGGACCTTTCCGAAAGATTTTTTTAACAACTTTTAAGTCAGCTTTACCAGTGACCAGTATTTATGTTTCTGCATCAATAACGGCAATTTTTTTTTTTTTTTTATAAAAAGGCTTATTGGCTCAATAATAATCATGTTGCATACAACTGGGTCAAGAGAAATACCATTTGAATCAAAGTTAGTGTTAAGAGCTTGTATTAACGATTTGATTGGGACCTATAACATTTACTTGTCTTAACAAGAATGTTTAAACATTTTTTGTCTGTATTATTATTGCTAGTCTTATCAGTGACCTGCTCTGTCAATATGAATATCTGCTTTCAAATCTTGCTTTGAAAGTGGGAGTGGGAAACAGTGTGCAAATTAATCAGTTCAACTTGCTGTTCTCTTACTTGATGCTTTTAACACAGTTGATTTAAGCTGAAAATTTAGTTCAACTGAAAGCATTTAAAATCTACAAGTTCCAAAACTTTAATTTGTGATAATTATTTAAATGTATGAAAAAGCAAATATTTGAAACGTTTGTATATAGATCGCAAGAACAAGATGTTTTAGAGGCTCATGACATACCAAATTGAATTTTATTTCATGCTCTTTTAATTTTTTTTTTAATACAGTTTTCATTAAACAAACAAATTGTGACTCAAACTCAGTTAAAAAAAATTGGTCTCATGTATCAAATCTGTATGAAAGCACTTAATACTCTTTTTGATTGTACGGTTATTGCATGTTACATTCCAATTTCTGAAGACTACAACAAGACAAGGCACATAGGCCATCAGCCTCGGTCCAAAATTTTGGCCACCGGTATCAAATGCGGGGAATAATCGTCATTGCGATTTTTGGCAAGGTGTACACCTCCGGATTTGGAAAATATGTGATAGCATTGCAGCGGTGGCAGCTTTTTAGGTGTTATCACCTTTTTTTTCAAAATGTCCATCAAAATGCTTGTTACCACTCTAGGGGCGGTATACTGCGCATGCGCACTATAATCATTTATGCCCTGATTTGATACTGGCCAAACCCCCAGGCTGATGGCCTAACACCTAGTCAAGCTGGTCTCACAGCACACATTGTGTCCAACTGATTCTCTCTCAGGGAAGTCTTGTCATGCATCTAGTCGACACAATGGGCCCGATTCAGCCCATTTGTTGACAATACAGGGTATTCCTATATGACAGCACTGCCCGGCTCACAAGTGTCAAAAATTGTAGAGTACACATGAGATACAAACACATAGAACATGACCTGCCTGCATTGAAGCCAGTGCTCGTTTACTGATAACAATGCTACACTTTACTCACGTTGAGGTATCTTCCCAAATTGCCGATGAACTTTGCATCCATGACATGGCCAGACGTTTCACCAAAGAAACTTCTAGTGCGGATAACCTGCGCCTTCTTCTCTGTCTCCTTGCCACTTCCTGTTAACATCCACCAACATAAACAAGTTTAATGACAACAGCATTTAGTACAAACAAGAACTCGTGCCATATTAAAGAGGTTTCGCATGTGAACAGATACGCCCACCGGATACGTCACCAGTTTGTGCGGTTTTATGACGTCATACACGACTCGCTATCCGCTACACATGTACACGGCACGGATATCTCACTTGCTACATGTAACCTTGTATTAAACATCTACTCATAACTAACTAAGACAGTTTACCCATTCCAATAGTCCTGAGACTCAATGACGTCACGCTTTGTTTACATGTGCGCTTTCCTATGAGAGCCAGGTGGGGCGCATCCCACCTGGCTCTCATAGGAAAGCGCACATGTAAACAAAGCGTGACGTCATTACGTCTTAGGTCTATTGGTGGAGAGCCCGTCACGTGGCTGGTCTTAAACGGTTGATAAAACACCGGCCGGCTGGTCTTAAACACCTTTTCAGTGTCACGTGAAATTTGGACTCCTATGAAATCCGGTGCCTTTTACCCTCCATATCATGATCAGCTTACAGACTCCAAACCGGTCTTAAACATAGTGTTTAAAACCAGCCAAGCACACATTTATTTCCTAAGTGAAATTTTGAATTTCTAGTGATTCCGTTAATTCTTTTTCATATTCATGACTAGGATGAAAATTAATGAATGCTGATTATGTTAAAAATAAATGGTTTCTAATTTACTCCATACACAGCTTACCTGTATCCTTGCTAGGAGGTGTACTGGCAATTGGTGGTTGTTGATCGGGCAGTGGTACACATGATGCCATACTCTTGCTGTCAATCTTCACTGCTGACAGAGGGATGCAATATTGTAGGATTTATGTTTTACCAACAGACAGTGAGTCACAATACAGTACATGACCAAGGTATAACCATGGAAAGGCCATTTTCTTTGGGGGGAAAAGGCGACCAATTTACTCTTAATGGTACTCCTTTGCACAAGTAATGGCAGTTTTACATTTTTTGGATATGTGTGATTTAAAGAAACTGTGGATTGCTTGAAGACATTTCCCCCATTTTGTGGGTATATGTACAATGTAGCTTAAGATATGATTAAATAAAACAGACTATTATTTCTATCGGCGCAAGCAAAGCATAGCAAACAATATGGACACTGGATGGCCACGTACCATGGAAAAATTTTTTTTGCTAAGGTCACCCCAGACTACTGTTTAGTGAGCACTATTATAAACCGGGCAAGTAGAACACGTAAACGGAACCCCTACGTTGAGGCCGCTGACCACGCACAGCCTTGACTCGCAGAAAAGCCAACACAGAGGGTGGCCAGGCAATCAACCTGAAAGCGCACACGACGGCCATTCCTGTTTAAAAAACGCAGTTTTGAAAAATCGACGAAACGGATCGCCCGTCCGGTCGCGAAAATTAGGACGACCAGAAGTCTCCGAACCCACGGAAGGCACCCTCCATGTACGTGGAGCGATTTTGGAGTCGCGGGCAAATGGCGGGAGCTGGCGGTCTCCGCTAAAGGATCCCTTTAGGGAGCAAACATTTCTCGGAGGCTGAGTAAAGCTTCCTCTTATATATATATTTAAAGAGATAAACATGCACTACAAAAAAATTGGGAGTGTGTCATTATGTGTATAATTATGGGTCTACTCTACAATAAAAAAAAAAATTAAAAAAAAGACGTTCAGCATTCCACAACCTCTTTAAGCTGGATTTTTGTGTATGTGTCAATTAAGACAAGTTCATTCCCAAGGCTTTAAAATACATGTTTATGCAGTAATTCACCTTATAAATGATGGAAGGATGACAAAGTGTGTATCAGAATGGGAACGATGTCCACTGTATACATGTGAAACTTGGGCCTTCGAGGTAAATACAAGGGGTACATACATGCACGTGTGCAGTGGTTTCCTGACTGCTATACAATATGAGACCCACTCCAGGGAAAGGCGATATAAGTCGTAAAAAATAAAATTCCAGTTACATGCACGACTGGAAACCCACAATGTAAGCTTTCATTTGGTATATGACACAGCTCTATAGCCCTTCTCATTTTGGAGATACATGTATGACAAATTTGCATATTAATTAGTTCCATGGAGTTCAAATTAGACAACTGAGAAAACAGGCTTTGAAATAGCTGGCTCTGTTGTAGATTTGGGCATGAAAAGCTCACTTTTAATCTCTTAGCAACCAACATGTTTCTGTTTTAATATCACTTTTAAACTTTGGATATTGATTCTACAATGATTATTTTCAATGATTTATAGATTGCTATATTTTGGTTTATTTGCATATTGATTAAAATTATAGTTTTTGGATGTAAAAATAAAGAGAACAATGCACACAAAATAAGGTTATTTTCCCCCTTTTTTCATCGAAATCAACTTTTCTGTGAATGAATCCTTAAACTTTAGGTATCAAAGATGAGTTTAAGACAAAAAATGAAAAATCAATTTTTGATGAAAAATGTCACCCTCTCAACGTTCAGCAGGCCATTACACGTAAAGGCATAGCGCGACTTATATCACCTTTTCCTGGAGCAGGTCACATATGTGTATTATAATCAGCCAGAATAAAGACTCACCCTTCATGTCTGCAGTGCTGGAGTATTCACTACCAGACGTCTCCCCATCACTAACCACTGATGCTGTCTTCATCATATCATCACCTGCTTCTGCAATGACAAAGAATGACAGTATGTAACAATTGTCTGCAACGATAGTAAATTGTGAATGCCTGATGGGCAAATAGCAGAGCCTCATCATAATGCACAAGAAAGCGAAGGGCAAAATCAAAGACTATCCGCTCCGTTCACAAGCACCCCCTCATCGGCAAAGGAAGTACAGTTGGGGGTGACCGACCGACGCCATCTTGCCCGACTGCAATTCATTTGCCGCGAAGCGCGGCCACTGCGTGTAAATAGAACAAATCCCCTGGTGTACGTGCGTCACACACAAGGAACAGTGTGCGTCAACCAGCGAATGTCCCGCCCATGGGATGTCGTTGTTAGGTAAAAGGGCGCCCTCTTTTGGTAGCGCACGGAGCTCATATTGGTAATAATTTGATACTATTTAAAAAACTGATTGTCTTTTTGTGTAGGATAATTATATAAGTCATTTGGGGAATAACATCGATTTAATGTTTTGACACCCTTCTTAATTTTTATTCCAACGATGAATGCTTTTGAAACTGCTGTATAACATCCATGTTAACACACATGCACACGCACATTTGAATGGACACTAGCATGACTCATGGTCTATCATATGCAGCCTTATGGTTGCGAAGGCTTTGCGTCATGCATTGATAAGCGAAGTTAATCCAATTACGTACATGTACGCTACAGTCAGAGCAGTGAACTGATTGTACCCAAAGTCTTTTTTAACCTTCTGTTTTTCCAAAAATATGCTCAGTGTGATTGAAATGTCAAATGTTAACAGAAGAAGAAATCCTAAATTTCATGTCAGTGAAAAAAAAAATCGCCTTTATTGATGCAGAAACGTCAATAATGGTCACTGGTAAAGCTGACCTAAAAGTAATGGAAAATCATTCGAAAAGGTCCCCAAATCTATTTACTTAGCTAAATTTCTAGGAATCCTTACAAAATGTTTTTTTTTCCACGAGTAGTTGAACACTCATATCATCTAAATATATACCGAATTTCAGGTGAATCTGTTGTTGCAAACGCTCGTGTTACACATTGTACTATCACTAAGGAAAATGTTGACTCGGACTTCTCAGTGCCGAGAAAAACAACACGTAGTCTATACCACGGCGGAAGTTGGCTGCAACAATGACTGGCTTGTTACTAGCATATTCATTAGCGTGACTCGATGAGACTTCGCGTGGGTCTCATTATCGACCAATGGAAGCCCGCCAAAATGGTTGACATTTATTAATTATTCATAAATACCCAAGTTTACGCATTCCTATTGGTCGAGAGCCCGTCACGTGGCCGGTCTTAAACGGATGATAAAGACATGGCTGGCTGGTCTTAAACACTTTTCCAGTGTCACATGAAATTTGGACTCCCATGAAATCCGGTGCCTTTTACGTTTCATTGGTTGAACGTTCACATTCCTCAAGTATGCATGCGCATCGCGCAGTACGCACGACCATGGAGGTGGAATGCGCGACGCGCATGCAGTTGTGGAGGGGCGTTCCATATTATAGTCAGAGGGGTGTTTCGTAAAACATGAAGTAAAATTGTTGAACAAAATGGTTAACAACGTCTAGTTTTTGACTTGTTTTGTTTTTGTCCACAATTGGCTGTTTATACACTGATGCTAATGGCTCAGTGCAGCAAGGTCCCATAGACTTTTATACCTGTTGCACTTGTGTTGCCCTCAGCAGGGTTAGGGTTCAAAGAATTTCCCTAATTCAAAAGAATTAGGGATTACATTGAAGATTCTGTAATCTGTTAGCGGTCCTTATCTTCCTTTTAACAAACTTTTGTACTTCTATAAAAGTATAATACCATGAATTAATCAGGCACTGGGGTTCATAACAAGACCAACATACCCAACGTCAAAGAAGAATTCTTGCAATTATGGTAACGGTGTTCGACTCGTGTGCCGTGGTACATGGGTTCGAATCCTGACTGTGGGAACATGGTGCTTGCGCTCTTGAGCAAGGCACTTTACCATTATTACTTCGTCCTTCGGATGTGACGTAAAGCCGTAGGTCCCGTGTGTTGTGTAATGCACGTTAAAGAACCCAGTAACACTTATCGCTAAGAGAAGGGGTTTGCACCGGTGTTTCTGGCAGTGGCTGCAATATACGCCGCAGTACCTTGTAAACCCTTATAAGGTGCTACATAATGGGTCTCATATTTCTCATAAACTTTATTTACCTTTCTTTAATAATAGACATACATGTATCTCCAGCGCCTTGAGTACTTAATAGTTGGTAGATAAGTGCGCTATATAAGACTCCGATATTATTATTATTATTATTATTATTAATTACTACTTAAAATAAGTAAATGAAACACTTAAGAAGTAAATCCCAGAACTTATTGAGTTAGTACCCACCTTTGCTCTTTTTGCGCATGTGTAGTCTGCTGGTGTGGGAACGCTTCTTGAAAGCATCTATTTGGCTCTTGTCAAGTACCTTGCCTGGACTGGTGTTGTAACCATACTTGATAATTGAAGACGTAGAGGAGTCTAAGTAACAGAGAAGACATGTTTTTGACAATAAGAACAGCTTGTAATCATTCTATGGGTTTGGTTCCATGTATCATAAAAACAACACTAGTCTGAATAGATTGAATTCTGAAGATGTTTGCTCCAACCCTTTCACAGTCATTTTACAAATACTTGTGCTTTGGAGACATTTCTGTCTGAAAGGTAGGACCTATCTATAGGAATGTCTCTGTGCTCTTGTATTGTATTACGCTCGAGGACAGACAACAAAAGGAGCACCAAGGGGCCTTTGATCCTCGGACGACGGTGCCTATTGTTAAAACCGGTCCTCGATCGTACGGTTATGTGCTTAGTCTATGGGAAAGTGTTATTTCAGAGGGACAAAGGGAAACACAATAGGTTGTCCTCAGGCGTATAGTAAAACAAGACTACTTGTACTTGGCTGTGTATTTGTTACCGGTTTCTTTGTTACTGGAGTCTCTTCTTCCACTCCTTTTGACTGCAACCTGTTCTCTCCTTGGTCCTACACTTTTCTTTGCCAGAGGTTTGTAGTCTACATCACTGGTACCGTCCTTGTAAGATCTGTCAGTTGAGTCTGCCAGGGAGTCAGGTTGTCCTTTCCTCTGCATCTTGCTTTCTGTTGAGTCCTTCTCCATCTTGGCTGCAGCTTCATCTATTCCACTCTCTTCACTTGCGGTTGCTATGGAATCACTGTTAGCAGACAGGTTTCTTTTCACCCAAGCTTCCACCTTACTCTGTGATGAATCCTTGTCAGGAAATGCAACAGACCTTCAAAACAATGACACAAATCACACATTGATTAACATGTTATGTGAAGGAAAACAAGACGAGGCTGCCAACAAAATTAATTCGTTCTTGATCTTCTTGATCTTGATGAACACGTGGCGACAGACAACCTTTTGTCCATGTAGAGCCACGGGAGAGGGATGAGTGGTCTATCTAGTGCTAACATGTAGTTGGGGTACCTTAATGCGAATATGATTGAAGATCTGGTTTCTAAAGTTAATAATACTATTTGTTGAGACGATGTTGTCTGGCAGGCTGTTCCAGTTGCTTACTACAATTATTGTTAAAAACAATTGCATGAGATTTCTTCAACTAGGGGATCAAATGAAATGGAACTTGTGAAGGTAGTTCCACCGTATCAGACATTCATGTTCGGACAATAACTGTGCATTATAAAAATTATAATCATGAAGTGGATTTCAATTTTGATAAAACGTATCAGTTGCTTACTACAATTATTGTTAAAAATATATTCCTCCAACTTTTGTGCTGTACATGTAGTACAAATTGGCTTGAAACAACATGGTATTGGACGTACTCAGACAAATTGATTTTTGTGTGTGCTTATTAATTAATTTGTCAGTTAAAAGTAACAGCTGAACTGTTGAACATTGTAAGAAATCAAGTATATTTCAGTACAAGAAAAATCGTAAGCTTTAAAATGATATACATGTTTTATTTGTGGCATGTGAATTTTTCGAAGGTTTTATCACTGAGGTTTGTAACTCCATGGAATTCGGGCGATTCACAATGCAGTGCGCCACCAAGAGTTTGCCATGGAGAGCCCATTTGAATGAGCGTCAGTAGACAACTTGAACTTATTTGTTATAGATTGGGGCATAGTGTTCTGCTGCCTCACAAAACACACCATATTGATAAAAAGAAAACAAAAAGGCAAAAAGATACTAGAAGCATACCTTTACGAAAGTACTGACTGGAAAAACGAAAAAAAAAAGCGCTGTGAATTTGTCGACCATCTCCCACAATGCACTGGGAAAAATTAACTCTTTGTGGCAAACTCTTGGTGGCGCACTGCATTGTGAATCGCCCGAATTGCCGTGAAGTAAATTGACAAGGTTTTGCAGTGGCACCCTGCATGTCCTTTATGAGTATATGTACTTGTCTTGTCTTCTGGACACATGATGCTAAGCTTGGTATGCGCTTGATGTGTGTTCTCACTTAACCTTGTCATTGTGTGGAGAGTCTGGTGTGTGGAGGAATACTGACTGTTATGGGTAGGAGTGACAAGCATGCATGTATGGGAAACTAATAGGTTGGGAACTTGATAGGTTTGGTTTCTTGCTTATCAGAATTAGTGCCAAACAATGATGACGATGACAAAGTTTATTTTGTAGAGGAGTAATTTACGCCTGTTGATCACAATGGCTTGTCAAACCTAGGGTGGGTGCCATTGTACGTGCTCTACATCCCTCTACAACGGTCCTTTGTTGTAGGTTTGTGTGCTTAGTCTATGGGAGAGTGTTATGTTGTAGGGACAAAGGGAAACACAAAGCATTGCCCTCGAGAGTGTAGTAAAACAAAAGTGTGTACTTGATGCTGTGTACACACACAGGTTTGTTTATGGTGTTGAGGATTATCTATTGTTCCTCTTCCCCTTTTCCTTTGGTTATAATATTTTGCAACAGCTCTCATTGGTTTTGTACACGTTTTCTAATCGAGGTCGTCCTCGATTTGGTTCCTGTCCTCAATTCATCAATGATGTTGCACCTGTGTGTCCTCGAATTTACACATTTTTCTATTGTTCCTCTTCATCGATCTTTTGTTCAAATTTAACTTTTTTGGCAACAGCTCTCATTGGTTTTATACACGTTTTGTGATTGAAGACGTCCTTGATTTGACTCCTGTCCTCAATAAGCCATTTGCGTGTAACCTATACCCTTTGGGATTTACATTTGAAAAACGTCTGGTACAATGACTTGCTCAGAATGCTTGGCACATTTTAACTGTGAATTCTCCAGACCAAAGACACTGTTGCTAATCACATGATTCGGGGCAAGCTCTTGCATAGTTACGTAAGAGACGCTCAGCACCAATACATCGTTCACAATGGGTGAGAATGGCACAAAGACACCAGACCATGCCGGAGCTGGGGGCTGCTAGCATAAGGCTTGCCCCGAATCACGTGATATAGTAACAGTCTCTTTGGTCGGGAGAATGCTAGGTTAAAACGTGCAAAGCATTGTATTAAGTCAGCGTTCCAGATTTTATTCAAATCTAACATGCAAGTGGCTTATTACACAAGGATGTTTCACCATAAACAAACCCACACAAGCCTAGCTCTTTTTGCACAGAGCCAAGAGAGGGTTAAGGAGCAAATCAATATTGACTTCTGTCACCTGTTAGTTTTATACTTAAGCCGGGCTTCATTTTGAAGCAACTGCAACCCCTCTTTCTCCCCCCTACCCCCCCCCCCCCCCCAAGAAATAAAACAGTTGCTATGTTCATAGTTTAAGCTACACGAAAATTCAAATTCTGCTTTTTGGTTGATAATGTACAATCCAGCAAGCATTCGCTCTTTTCACACTCCGCCATTGGGCATGCAGACCCTCGATCTGGCAACTTTGCACAATGAAAATAGCCGGTTCAGTGATCTGAACCCCGACACAGGAATCACTGAACCGGCTATATTTATTGTGTACAATTGCGAGATCGAGGCTCTGCATGCCCATGGCGGAAGTGTGAAAAGGGCGAATTTCAAAGTGCATTTGCCTCAACGCAGGGTGATGGGGCCTTGTGCATTACTTGTAAGTTGTTTTCAATGACATTCAAGATTAACATGTTATTAATGACATTCAAGGTTAACATGTTATTAATGACTTTCAAGGTTAACATGTTATTAATGACATTCAAGGTTAACATGTTATTAATGACTTTCAAGGTTAACATGGCAACAGATTTCAGGGTTAAATCACGAATGAAATCAAACAATTTTTTTTTTAAATTACTGTTTTGTAAAAAATCTTATTTTTGGCAAAATAAATTGATTGGGGTCATTTTTAATTATTTAAATCTACTGATTCTACTTAATTACAAAGTGTAAGATGTTGCTCACACATTCAAACACCCCTACTTCATCAGTATCGACTTGACATGTAGGTTAAAAATGCATAATAACCCAAAATCATTGTTTTGATTAAAATCAAGATCATTCCTTGATCTGTTTACAGCAATAGTGTGAATCAACTATGCTGGTGTAGGCTCACCTGAAACATCTAAAGGTGTATTAATTAAAGTCCCCCGTTTCTCCATACAAATTTAGATTGAGATAATATTTTTGAAAAAAATTTGAAATGTAGATGCTCTGTGGTGCATTTTAAAGCCTCCTGGCATGCCTGGGCCAACTATTGGTCGAAAATGTTTTGCAATTTATGCATGTTTTTAAGTTAACCTTTCCTTCATATTGGCATGAAACTACCTAAATGGCCAACTTGTATATGAAAACTGGGAAATTCGACCACGTTTTCCATATTTTAACTCCTTACTGCAGATGATACACATCGTCATCGCGTGTCCCGGCTTCTGATCGAGTCGCCTAATTTCTGCCTATTAACCATGTGTTCCATCCAAATCCATTTCCACGGATTCGTAACCTGAGGATCGGTCTTGTCAATGTCCGTATTAAACTCCGAACCTCTTTGGATAATAACACATTTGTGTTGCACTGACATCTTGCGGAATTAATAATGTCAAAATACGTTAGAAACATTTGAAACGACACACGAACGTACGTATCAGCATGCAGCAGAATACACGCAGCAGGATGCGTGCATGAAATGTACACATGAACTTTGCCCCGCATGATGCCCTCTACCGGCGCGGCACGGCGACAATTTACTAGTCTTATTTCAAGGCTTTATATTTGCAACAAGACATATTTACAGCGAGTTATTGTGGAGATCATCGCGTGTCACTACATGCATATAGACACAGGAACGGCCGCAAAGAGTCCCAACACGCTTCATGGCACATGTGTGAATATTCATATTTATCTGCAGCCAATCACGGCGCAATGACTGTTGGTTCCCTGGATGCTGTTTACATGTTGTGTACAATACATTGTACACACGCGGCTTCGAGCTGAAAAATGCATGCACATGGCATCGTATAGTACATGTACATTGAATACTCGCTTGCACGCACCCATACCCCAGAGCTACATGTATGTTGTAGAGAGCGGATCGCGTGCGTTCAGCGGCGGCGGAAAATAAAATAAACGGAAATAAAATCTATGCTTACGCGCGGGGGAAAAAGCGGGGGGAAATCTGGACCATCGGAAGAAAAAAAGCGGAAAACAAAATGTGGCACGCTAACAAAAAAGGCGGAAATCCGCTTTCACACCCCTGAATAATGGTTAAGTGCCTTGCTCAAGAGTGTACAAGCACCATGTTCCCACGGTCAGGATTCGAACCCGTGTACCACGGCACACGAGTCGAACACCGTAACCATTGGACCACAGCGCCCCATAATAGGCAATACACATACACATGCACACCCACGTTTTTTATGGTGTAAATCGAGGATTTTCTATTGTTCCTCTTCCCTTTTCCTTTGTTTATACTCTTACATTTTTTGCAACAGCTCTCATTGGTTCTGTCCACGTTTTCTAATCGAGGTCGTCCTCGTTTGGTTCCTGTCCTCGATTTATCGATGATGTTGCACGTGTGTGTCCTCGATTTACACCATAAACAAATGCAATGTATGCACATCAGTAGGCCTACACTAACTACACTCACCCTCCTGAGGACAGAGCACACTGTCTGAAACGTCGAGTTCCACACACTCAACCAACCGGTTCTTTGCAGAACCACACTTCTTCCAAGAAGAGATTTCTTGCCACATGGTGTTACCCGAAAATTTCCTCTATTTTATCTCATCCGCCATGCAAAGCTTCAGGTCATATACACATACTTGTAACCTCTAATACACTCACACACAGAATATCACACGAATATTAACACAATGAAAAAGCAACATTGTGTGCTCTGTGGCCATTTCAATCATTTTTGGAAGGAAACCAATCTTGCTTATGTTTTAAATCTGTGGAAATTTTATGGACAAAAACAAACAAGCTGACTGGACCAGTTTCATGACGTTTTAAGTCTTTAACTAGTTTATATTTATGCAGACTTGTAACCATAATTCAAAGGTGTACAATGTATCTCACTGAAGTCCCCTTTCAGCTGCACAATGTGAAAATGCAGAACATTTAACAGCTACAAGGACAATATTAACATGCATGATGCAGTGAGAGTGATAATGGTCTTACCAGCAGCTGCCTTCTATCATGCTGCCTTGCCCTGACTCATACTGATGCCTACGGAACACCATCTTGGTCGCTGAGGAATCACCACTTTGTTCTTTGGCCCTGTTGTTATGGCAACCGTTACCAAAGATAAATAGAAAAAGCAGCTGGGTTATTAGAAAAAAATGGTGCATTAAAAAAGAAAACTTGAAAAAGAAACTTGTGCATTAGAAAAGACTAGCAGAAGAAAGATGAGCACACACCACATCACCCTACAAGTGACACTGCCACCATGTTTTGCATGTGTTTATGTGCACGTTTACTGAAGTTAGGCTAATTGTCTAAGGGCTGTGTCACGCAAGGCAATTTACAGGCAACTTGTTCCAATCTTGGGCAATCTCCAAAATCCCTTGATTTGCATACACCTCATGCAACAAGATAAACCACTGTATGTTGTAGGGTGTGACGTCATGACCAACTGGTTCTACATTTTCTGCTCTCCTGTTTTGGATTTCCAATCCACCTCAATCCTACTGATTCTGTTAACATCCTCACTCTTATTTACAACTGAAATGTCTTTCGACCATCACTGATTATACCTACATTTATTTTACCAGGACATTTTATCATACAAATCTGTACTTTGAGGGACAACTTTCGCCTTGCGAAATGGACAATCCGCCATCTTTATTACATGTACTGAGCAATGAGCACTGCAAATCATTGTGCACTTCCGGGTATACTGACAGCCACGACAACCTGTGGATATCTCGCCGAAATTTTGTGAAGCTCCACTGCATCTATCCATTGGAACTCTGAAGAATATTGTACGGTATTGTAGACTCATTTTGTGTCTCTCCCCTACTCTTTCTGTACTTACCTTTGGGACCTAGAGACGAATACGTTGTGTATAGCTAGCCGGCCCATAGTCCTGCAACATGGCGCTTCATGTTCACTATTCCGGTTGTAGTCAACGACCGATATTCACCTTGATGTTGGGCATCGCCCTCTTACTCCACTTTAAGGGTAAATGTGACATCAATGATTTTCCACTGCAATCTCATATGACCGGAAACCACATGCAAACAAAAAAGCCTGTCATGACCTTAATCTACTGTCATCAACATGATGTCAAACTGGGAGAAATAGAATTCCTCCATACCGCTACCCTCAGTTCTGAACCATCATTCACACGTCTCTTCAAAATGTGGCCAAGTAGAAACCAACCCAGGCCCAATAATCCCCTCAACCAACCAACCCAAGCCAACTGTAGTCCAATGGAAAGACAACAGCCTGTTCACCACAAAACAAGAAAAAGCTAACGCACTCAACAGTCAATTCAAATCTGTGTTTACCGAGGAACCTGACTCTGCAGTCCCCTCTAAAGGCACCTCGCCGTACCCAAGTATACCAAATCTAATAATACAGACTACTGGTATTGCTAAACAACTCTCTAACCTAAACCCCACAAAGTCTGGAGGCCCAGATGAGCTACCAGCAAGGTTCCTAAAGATCGTCGCCAATGAAGTAGCCCGAGCACTGAGATTCTTGTTCCAGCAGTCTTATGAGAGTGGTAAACTACCTGACCAGTGGCGCCAAGCCCTTGTAACATTCATCTACAAGAAGGGTTCAAAGGCAGACCTGTCAAACTATCAACCAATTTCACTCACTTGTCTCCTTTGTAAAATCATGGAGCATGTCATTTTGAGCCGCATATCTAAATATCTTAGTACCCACGATATCCTGGTAGACAACCAACATGGCTTCCGTCAATGCGTCTCAACAGCAACTCAACTCATATCAGCCACAGATGACTGGGCCAACGTTCTGAACAAACGCAGCCAAACTGACGTAGTTCTACTTGACCTCAGTAAAGCATTTGATAAAATTCCACACAGGCGTCTAGCAGCTAAACTAGATCACTATGGCATCAGAGGACCAACACTAGGATGGGTTAAGGCCTTCCTTGCAGATCGCTCCCAAGCAGTCTCCGTCAACGTTGTCCATTCATCTTGGATAAATGTCACATCTGGAGTCCCCCAAGGATCAGTGGTGGGACCAGTCTTAGGCCAAAAAAAAAATAAGTCGGTCTCTGGTCAGCGCGCGCGTCGATTTTAATCATGCGCGTCAATCTTTTTTTTTTCCAAAATGTTCCGCGGTAGCTCCAACAGCGCCCTCTATTGCCGCACCTCCTCAATTTTTTTTTACCAAAGAGCACCAAGGAATGGGAAATTGCACCAAGGCAAATGATCGAAAGCACCAAGGCAAATTATGGAGGACACCAATGTACATGAGGACACCAAAAAAGCAAAATAGTACCCCATCTTGTCTGTACAATCCAAGCTTGAAGAAAAAAAAAAAAAAAGCCGCGTCGCCGCGTCAATTCCGGAACTTTGGTCTGACCAGAGACCGAATATTTTTTTTTTTTGGTTTTATTCCTGCTTTATATTAACGACATTCAGGATTCAATAAAATCCACTGTTGGCCTCTTTGCCGATTACAGCATCCTATACAAGGAGATACGCTCCCAAGAAGACCACATTACTCTCCAACAAGATCTGGACACCCTGGCAATGTGGTCTAAAACTTGGCCGATGTCCTTCAATATCACCAAATGTGCCACCCTCCCAATCACCCGTAAGAGAAAACCGAGTATTTACCAGTACTCAATGCTTGGTGAACCCTTGAATAGGGTAACTGAACATGAATACCTGGGCATCATTATCTCCAATGATCTCCGCTGGTCCAAGCAATGCACCAAAGTCACTAAAAAATCTCATCATCGCATTCTCGGCCTCCTGTGCAGGACACTATCACCATGTACAACAGATGTCAAAGCAAAAGCATTCAAAGCACTTGTTTAACCCCAACCCAATTAGGTTTGCGCATGTTCGTGATTTAGCTCGTTTAAAACGCCCTCTTGGGACCAAATTGTATCCAGTCTCGTTTCGCGTAAAAACAGTTCACCGGAGGACGTCTTTTCAATCGCTTTTTTATGCTACAAATAACTTTTTGATATTTGAGATATAACAATAAATCTACAGAAAAATAACTTTTTATCAGATAGGGCTGAGAACTTTTTGTCAAGACACTTGATGAGAAAACACCTTCGAAAAATAATAGCTGGCAACTTTTCAAAATCCCAATTAGTAATCAACCTGCGCGGTCATTTTCAACTGCTCGTATATTAACATTGTATGTACTAACCCCATAAATGTGGCCAATTTACTGGACTACCTCCGTAAATAAGGGCCACACTTCCACCATGAACAAAATCATGTTGAACTTTGTCAAAATTTGATTCTCACATTTAGGCTTAGTTTGTAGTTTATTTTTGCTTTAGAAGCATACTCACCCTCTGTATAGGCTAATCAAAAAGTGCTGCCTTTTTCAGATGTCTAATTTTCGTGAAATTTCATGTTGAAATTTTGATACTGAAACGTGTGCAAACGAATCTGGAAGTCTGTGGAAGTCTGGCCTTTATTTGTGGAGGAAGTCCAGTAGATTGGCCACATTTATGGGGATGTATGTAAAAGCTTTACCATCGAGTACAGGTACAAGGTTTACATGTACACATGTGATTAATAATGTACTGTAGGCCATAGGATAATTTTTTTTTTTTTTTTTTTTTTAATGGTTTTTTTTTTTTTTATATTAATTTTGTTTTACTGTCTGTATTTGTTTGTTGAAGTCAAATAAATAATAACAATAATAGCATGTGCGCATATTTTTTTGAAATGCATGCTATCGATGTTGAGTTTCAAGTTCGTAATCGTATCATCATGATCATGTTTTTACACACAATGATTTAGGGCCACCGTATGCAATAGAAATATTCCGCCAACATACCTTGCAAACGCATGCTGATTTATCTTTTCTGGACGTTGTGATAAAACTCAAACTTTATTAACAATTCTTCCAACCAACCATACTCTTATTAAATTCCATGATCAAAATCTTGCACTGATGGGTCTCATCCTGGCAATAAACGACCAATTGTGCTCATGATCGTCACTGAAATGTAGTAACAGTACACACAACCACACATCCACGAGGACTATAGCTTTAACCTGTTTATTTTTCTAATCCACACCAATCAAACTGACCATGATTGGCAAAGTGCATTCTTACATCTGAGGCCTTCAGTTTCCTGGATCCAATTCACACTTAATGTCATTGACATGAACGCTGACATGGATGCAAATGACTTTCTAGAAATGAGGTCACAATGACAGCAAAGTCAATGAAAGCACTACTTACAGCTCATCGCTGTCGTCTGAATTGTTCTCAACATCAATAGCTATAGATGATGTCTCACTCTCATCACTGCCTATACGGTAGTCGTCATCAGATGTCAAGCTATACAACACAACACAAAACAACAGTCTCATCAATCCAGGTCACACTGGCAAACACGCAAATCTTTACCCTCTTCAAATATTGACGTTAAAGTTTACAATTACATAATAACGTCGCGTCAGTGCAATAAGGTCGTATCTCCTAAAATAGCATGAACGACGCAAAACACGAGTTTTAGAATGTCAAAAGGTCGTATCTCGCTTAAAATAACCCGGATGTAAACGCAAAGTCAATGGACGTCGAGATACGACCTTGTTGCACGGAGCGTATTCGCGCTTTGTTGCAGAATGGAGTTTTGAACGCAAAACGCGAGTTTTAGAATGTCAAAAGGTCGTATCTCGCTTAAAATAACCTGGATGTACACGCAAAGTCAATGGACGTCGAGATACGACCTTGTTGATACGACTTTTTGTTGCAGAATGGAGTTACGACCGTGTTGCACTGACGCGACGATAATATGTGGGAGAAATAACATGTAAAAATGCTTAATTAATTAGATTGCCTGTCTGTTGCCGGTTGGAAAGACTTGACAGGGTACACGGTCTATATCATTGATCACAGTCAGTTGAGTTGCTGTAGCAATCTTGTTTGTTAAACCATGTGCTTGGATACTGTAATTCCATTGGTCTAGGATGGCCACGTGTCTGGACTATTAGGCCATCAGCCTGGGGGGTTTGGCCAGTATCAAATCAGGGCATAAATGATTATAGTGCGTATGTGCAAGGTACATGTACACCGCCCCTAGAGTGGTAACAAGCATTTTGATGGCCATTTTGACAAAAAAGGTGATAACACCCAAAAAGCTGCCACCGCTGCAATGCTATCACATATTTTCCCACTTTGGAGGTGTTTACCTTGCCAAAAGATTATTCCCCTCATTTGATACCGGTGGCCAAAATTTTGGACCGAGGCTGATGGCCTATATAAACATGCATGTCACACGCTCAGGGTGATATCGCACTGCGTTCATTGCGCGCGTTGCGCATTTGGAACCTGCCGGCACGCTAGCTTTGCACAATGAGGACTGCTACACCAAACACTCAGTCTCATGTACGGCAGGACATCAAAACCTTCAGTTATCAATGGTTACATCGCAGTGATTTAATTTATTTCTCACACAGTAAGTTACAACCATTTATCTTAGAGTTATTGACACGATATAACAAAACAATTGTTGACTGCTGTGATGTGGGATATGCCATTTTAAACCCCCTCGGGGCGCATAGCATCCGAGGCGAATATGCGCCCCTCGGGTGTTAAAAACGGCACGTCCCACATCACAGCAGTCAACAATTGTTAAAGATATAGTCCATCATTTGTAATTTGTGCATTTTGTTCGTTTGAAGCAGCAAAAGTGTTCAAAATCTAATGAAGGGTACTGAACAACTAAACCTGATGAAGTTTCAGCTCAGCTTCAGCTGTATATTCAGAGAAAAACAGCACTCTAGGATCTCAATTTCAAATCAAAAGTTGCTGAATCATGTTTTGAATTGGGCTTGAATTCAGCGTCCGAGATGCATTCTCACTGAGCCGATTGCAGCTATACGCGATGTCACGCACTGATCCGACGAATTATAGCAACCGCGCACGCGCGTGTGCGGAATTGCGCGCGCTTCGCAAATAACAAAACGAACTACTAATTTAATTTTCCTACGGTGCGTCTTAAGACGCACCGTTAAAAAGGCCTTCTTTCGTTGATTACTTCAAAATGACAGCTTGCCAGAAAGAATAATTTCACAGGGAGTTTAGTCCCCTTACTATCTTTCAACCAAGTATGTTTTTCAACAATAATTACGCCAGTTACTTTTCGGATGGCTGCAAATGATGGACTATAGGTTTAAATGATGCTCAAGTACTATACCATTGATCTGAGTTGCTTGAGTTGGATGACAGTGACTCCTTTGAGTCTGAGATACCTTCATCTTCCATTGGATCACTCTCATATCCTTCCTTGCTGTTCTCTACAACCTCTGCACACAAACAAGAACAATGAATTATGCATGCTGTGCTGCTGTAATGATAAACACAAAATTCATTGTAAATTATATCAAATGCTGTTTTCAAAACACTAAATGACTTCGAATTTGCTAACAGATGATTAATGTTTTCGCCACTTCACATTAAAGGGAACGTACAACATTTGCAAACATCAAAAAAATAAATGACCAAATTATCACAAAATACTTTACTGGACTGTCAGGGGATGGCAGTCTGAAGCATCCTGTAAAACAATGGCTCCTGGTGTGCTCACATTTTCAAGTAAAGTGATATTTTTGTATCAATTTCCAACGCTGGTCGGCCGATCAGCACTGGAAAAACTGACTTTTCTTCAAATACTGCTCTTATTTTTTTATATTTAGTTATTCCACATTGTCTCAGCAATTGATTACACATCTTCTAAGGGGTACAACTGATTCTCTGACCTTACAATTCCCCAACATCTACAAATTGCTCTGTTTCATTTTAAGTGCGGTCAGGGAACCATACTACAAGAACACAATTTGTTTTCTTGATTTTCAGCATCTACGGACACAAAACGTAAAATAAGTCAGTATAAAATGTTTTGCTATAACATACTAACCCCCCCAAATCCATCCATTTCTAAAAATTGCAGCAAAAGCAAATAATGTACATTCCCTTAAAAAGAAAATGTCCATATTTTAACTTGACTTGAGTTGTCGTGCTTGAGGTTATGATAAAGCTTGAGGTTGTTTTCAGGGTATACCACGTGATAATCTGATTTGTTTTCAAACAACTAGAGGCTCTGACTTAGTAGTACTGACTGTTGTAGCTGGTGTGAAACTTTAACTCTCATTGTTGTGATGTATTATGGACATTATAAGGCATTTACATTATTACAATTGATGACACATGTAAAAAGTAAAAAAGTGCTTACTTTAAAGGGACACTAGGTCCTGGAACAGCCCAATTGGGCTACAAAACGCGCTTTGAACGAGATTATGTTAATCGGAAAGAACATTTAAAACTAGGATATAAACATCCACACAACTATCCTTTAAAAACTGGGCGTTTTTGTGTTATTCCTGTATTATGCGTGCAAGAACGAATTTCGGGGTCCACTTTTGCGACCCCATAAATTCCAGCCGTTTGGATGGTAGTTGTGAATTTCATTCGTACGCGTAAAGTGTTCGCCTTTTGCGAAAGAAACCACACTTTTGTGATTGGTCACCGCTGTTCCCAAGACACACAACGTGTATATCGTACACCGAGAACGACACCAAAAACGTATTCGTACCCCGTTGTGTTCGATGCAAACAACCGGGCTTTTTTCGTCTTTTCTCGGGAACGGTAAGACATTAGGTTGGTTTCCTTTCAACCACATGTTTGAAATAGGACAAGTAAACAATCCAAAACATGCAATTTTCGGGGATTTCAGGACCTAGTGCCCCTTTAAATACCAATCAGTTACCGTCTACACTATACAACAGTCAAGTTACGGCAAACACCTACCAATATGATCCAGTTCAGCAAAGTATTCATCTCCAAATGTTTGTCCTCTCATATTTGCCTCTTCTGCTCCCCATAGCTGACCAGCATAAGTACAGACAAATGCTCCTTGTGGTATATCATCTAAACATCGCAGACCCCAGCCTCTGTACCACAAAGAAGTAATGGGCATTGGCCTTTCCCTTAGGGCAATTCCACGGTTACTCACGTTACATTTTTGATGTACTTTTGAGTTTCCTTGGGCTGTAATTACCTTACTGAAAAGGCTTAATAACTGTTATCTCCATGGTAGATAGAGTAGACCTACACCTACCTAAGCACCAAAGATGACATCCAGAAAATGTGTTACGTATGATAAACAAGACGCACAAAATCGGTTACTCTCGTTACATTTTCGTAATGTGAGTAACCGATTTTGTAAACCTTTTCAGTAAGGTAATTACAGCCCAAGGAAACTCAAAAGTACATCAAAAATGTAACGTGAGTAACCGTGGAATTACCCCTTAAGTTTTGGAATACTTGGTGACATTCAGATATATTTGCACACATGCATAAAGTATTCAGGGGTTAGTCAGAGTAACTGAACTGTTGACTTGCTGTGGTTTGGACTCACCAAGTTATACATGTATGAGAACGTTTCAAAGAATTCAGATATATTTATTCAGCAAAATATTTATTATAAGATAGAATTTTGCGTCGGGGTGATATAAATCAAATTAGGTTTTGCCCTTCACCGACGTTTTTAAACACTGTATACTCAGTGTGTTACCTCCCGAGTGAAAGTTGGAAAAAAATCACTCGGGTGGGACTCGAACCCACGACCTCCTGCTTTCTAGTGTAGATGTCTTACCACTCAACCACCGAGCTAACGGGATTGGTTGGCCGGTTCGAATCTGATGTACATAGCAGCGGGTACCGCATTTTTTTTCCAACTTTCACTCGGGAGGTAACACACTGAGTATACAGTGTTTAAAAACGTCGGTGAAGGGCAAAACCTAATTTGAGCAAAATATTTGAAAAAAAAACCTGGTTATTTATCTTAAACATGTACGCCACGCCATTGTTTCCACATAGTTCAGCATATACGTGTACTTCAGTTTTGTTGGCACTATTTTGTTTACCGAATAAATAGCAGGCAATATGACTATTCCTAACTTGTACTGTGATTATTTTCAAATACATGTACTAAATATGAGCAGGCTGTTATGTTTTCAGCTGATTATAACTATGCCCAGTGCAGTGGCAAAGAGAATTATCAGACCTTTCAAAACATTTTAAATTTGCCTGACTAAAAGGGTTTTGAAAGGTGCAATAGTGCTGGAACTTTGAAACTTTTCGAAAGGTTTCGGAAGGTGAAGCAACTCTGTGGGCAAATTCAGTAAGTTGCCTTTCAATACCTTTCGAAAGGAATTGAAAGGTGTGGTAGTGCAGTAACAATACATTCTGGAGGATTTTAAAAGGTCCAGCATTTTTTCCCTCCAATTTGCCAGCACCCAGATTTTGAGGTGTTTTGAATGGTCTAACTACAGGAGAGTATTGGAGGGAACCTTCCAATGTTAACCAAGTTTCAGCAAATGGACTATGGTTTGGGGTTAGTTGAATTCAGTAACAATGATACAAGAGGTGTACTGGTGCATATCTCTGTGGAACAGAACCCTCCTCAAAGATGGCTGCAATACAAACCATCTATATTACTCAAACCACCAGTTATTCACAGCAGACATATGCATTAATGTATCTTCTCCTAATTGTAGTGTATTTTACAATTAGTGATTTAGTAAGGGAATAAATGTGTGCTCCGGAGGTTTTTATCACTCTGTTTAAGACCGCTTAGAGTCTGGGTGCTGATAATTACCCGAGCCGGACTCTAAGCGGTCTTAAACAGAGTGATAAATACCGACCGAGCACATATTTATTCCCATTCATAAATACCTTTTCGGTAAAAAAAATCAAACAATTCATTCAAAAAATCCCGATTTTGTTCAACAAGTTCACTTCATGCTTTTTGAAACATCCCTCTAGCAAAATAATGGAGTGTTTAGCTGGCGAGTAAGATGTAAACAACCCTTTTATGGAGATTGACGCGCGCGTAGCATGTTCTGCGCGATGTCGCGCAGAACGCACCTGGCGCGTTGCGTTTTGAATTTAGAACTATAAAATTCTAACTCGCTGGTAGTGTTGCGCACGCCTACGTGAAGATTGTGAACGTTCAACCAATAAAACGGTAAGAGGCACTGGATTTTTAGGAGTCCACATTTTATTGTGACACTGGAAAAGTGTTAAAGACCAGCTAGCCATGTCTTTATCATCCGTTTAAGACCGGCCACGTGATGGGCTCTCGACCAATAGGAATAGCTAAACTGTCTGAGGTATTTATGAATGTCTTATCAAATATTGCATTCCTAAAAGCAGGTATACATTATTAAGCACATACCGTTTATCCGTCTTGAAGACTTGTAGACGTAGACTGAGTCCATTCTGTGCCACTCTGTTGTGACATTGCTTGTTGCAGGCACACCTGGGGTTACACTCATAGATCCTAATACCAAGACAATCAAGAAGCAATTCTACACGTTTGGCAATCAATTCAATTCATACAGGATAATAATAATAATTTGGGAGGCTAATCATCCTTACTCGCAGCTGGTATGCTGAATTGCGAAGGACGCGGCTACAACGTCGTCGGGCCGCTGGCACGTAAAGGCGCCTATGGCTGCCGGCCACATCGACCCATATGACCACGGAGCACAGCCCGAGATCGAAAGTGTTTGATTTTTCCAAAGAGAGGAAAACCGGAGGTCCCAGAGAAAAACCCTCGTGGCACAGGAGAGAACCAACGCACAACTCTACTCAAATGCGATCCGCGGCCAGGAATCGAACCGTGGTCACCTTGGTGAGAGGCGAGCGCTTTACGCACAAGCCACCCATGCCAGAATGTACACTCAAACAACTTGCATTTGTTTTACTGACAATCAGCTGTCTTAAACCTTTGCTATGATGTCACACTATTGTTAAAAGTGTGGATTCGGATCTACGAATCTCTTACACTGGTCACAAAGTGTGGATTCGGAACGACGAATCTTTAGTAAAGTGTGAATTCGGAATTACGAATCCACACTTTGAACACGTCGGACAATTGTTCTCCATAATGAGCCTGAATAGGACCGTCTGCGTTTCTCAAAATTACCAATGCATCTTCACTGTCACATTCGCCGCCGTCACTGCAAAAACTACTTTTACTCAGAAAGAAATCGTCGTCTGAACTATCCATTTTGTCGTAAGGAGCCTATACACACAAAATGGCTTGGTTGTACGGGTGTGGCGATACACATGCTAAACACGCCATGGAAAAATGTTGCAACCTGACGCCACTTCCGCGCTTGTGTACGAAGTCTACGGAGAGTCATTTCTTAAATAACGAATCCACACTTTCTCGTGCATTCTCCTTAACATAACTATAAAGTTATCACAAAAAGATGGGTTATACCTTCCAACATACAGCTTGCAACACAACACATCAAAGGCCAGAGAGTATTCCGGGACTTGGAAGTCTTCAAATAAGAGGCTTTTTAATTAAGTAAACGTTTTCTTATGTGTTTCTTAGTTAAAATAGAGGGGCCTCGTAGCCGAGCGGTTAGAGCGTGGAGCTACGGAGTGGAAGGTTGGCGGTTCGAATCCCACTCGAATCAAAAACTGGAAAACTCTCTCTGACGACCCAACAGTAAAATGGGTACTGATTCGTTCAGGGAAGGTAAGACGGCGAGAGGAGAGGACTGGGCCCCGCCACTCATATACCGCGCCCAAGACACAGTGAACCTCTAACATCCCACTGCCCCTACGGCCAGTAATGGCTATGGGATCTTTACCTTTTTTACCTCTAGTTAAATAGCAACTGTTTTGTGCACAGGGTGTTATCACATGCAGAGCTTATTATTAATATATCAAAGGTGAAAATGGTTTGGAGGTACATTACCTAAATGAAATAGTATTGATTAGTGATCTTTGAATCTGATGTTGAATTGTCAGAAAGCCAGTATACTAAAACATGTAAATGGGACTGACAGGATTTTTAATAAAAATTGTTGCATGTTGACTTCAGACAAGGTTTACATAATTGCTTTGATGTTAGGGTTTGAAGCCAGGATTTAAAAAAAAAGGGTCTAAATTCTGAATTAAATTTAAAAATTAGAATGCAAGGCCAAAAAAAAAAAATAGTCGGTCTCTGGTCAGACCGAAGTTCCGGAATTGATGCGGCGACGCGTTTTTTGTGTGTTTTTTTTGGTAGTGTTTTTTTTTTTCAAGCTTATATTGTACAGACAAGGTGGGTACTATTTTGCTTTTTAGTGTCCTCATTATACATTGGTGTCCTCCATCATTTGCCTTGGTGCCCTTTATCATTTGCCTTGGTGCAATTTCCCCATTCCTTGGTGCTCCTTGGTACAAAAATTTGAGGAGGCGCGGCAATAGAGGGCGCTGTTGTAGCTTCCGTGTTAATTTGAGAAAAAAAAAAGTTGACGCGCATGATTAAAATCGACGCCGCCGCTGACCAGAGACCGAGTATTTTTTATTTTTTTGCCTAATGGTTATTCGTTAACATGACTACGTGTACATGTAAATGAAAACTATAAACAAGAGATGTCATTATTCCAAGCAGGTTATGTCCAAGCAATACTGGTGACCTATGTGGTTTACCTACCCCGTGGACACCATCACATTCAGGCGCCTGTACTTGTAGCCAATCTCACTGGTATTCCTGCTCAGCTCTGGAAAGTCCTGGGCACTTCTCTGTGTCAGCTTTCTACAAGCACACCTTGAATTGTCCTGTAAACAATACGATCTCTAATGAGGTAATGAAGTGAAAAGGCCACCAACAAAAACTGCATTTGTAATAATAAGTGAATAGCAAGTAGTGAAGTCTGTCATGAGCCAATATGGCCCATCAGGCCATGGATCCTACACACAAGGATTAACGACTCGGCCCAACTCCTGGTTAGACGCGTGATAACGGCCTGTACTGGTGGCAAATACCATGAATACTTTTCAACAAAGACCACTGCGCGCGGTGGCTTTCAGATTTGCAGGGCTCTGCGCCCGATCTGGTGTCGAAGTCTGTCAAGCCAGCGAATTATATTTTTGAATATTCACGAGTCAACGTTTTTGGTCTTTATTATTGAATTCTGATAAGCGATAACTACATAACCATGGTAATGCAGAGCACAATATCTTTAGCTTTAAGATGAACAATGAAATGTCACTTTTGTTTCATCGGTTCGGCATCACATCTCTCTAAAACTTTTTAATAAAAGCCTAATTAAAAACGAAATTTGGGTAAACAGTGTTCTTCTCGAAATTTGACGTGTATTTCTCGGGTAAATATTTCATGTATGACGACAAAAACTGCACAATACCATCTGTTATATCCTTAAGTATTTATTTTTTAATAATTTTGGAACAATTATATCTTAAATAAGGAGTAGTTTTGCTTACAGTTTTATGAATATTTCCGTTTTAGATGTCATGCGAAAACCCCAACACAATGGCACACCTGGAAAATTCGCGATTACGCGCCAACAGGTATTAATGCTCGTTATCACACGTCTAGACAAGTCCGCTCAGTGCACTTTGTACTAGAGCTCAGAACAGTCGTTTATCCTGGTGTCTAGGATCCGTGATCAGGCTGACATCTACCTCCGGTTTCCTTGGCATGACACACCTGGGTAGATTTCTATTCCCCCTTGGATGGGATGCCAGTCCATCGCAGGTGACTCCCCAGCTAATGCCTATACCCATTTATACTCCTGGGTGGAGAGAGGCCAGTGGGGTGAAGTGGCTTGCCCAAGGACGGAACATAAGGCTGAATTTGAACCCCTAACCTTCTGGGGCCAATTTCATAGAGCTGCTTAAGCACAAAATTTGCGTAAGCACAAAAACGTCTTGCTTATTAAAATCAGGTTACCAGCCAAAACTCCATGCAATTGTTATGCTAAGTAAACAACAGCTAAATACCAGTCACAAGCAATGTACATCACATGGAGTTTTGGCTTGTAACCTAATTTTACTAAGCAATGTTTTTTCGTGCTTAAGCAAATTTTCTGCTTAAGCAGCTCTATGAAATTGGGCCCAGATCATGAGTCACAAACCCTAACCACTGGGCCACACTCCACCACATAAATGACAAGTTTGTGGGGTGTTTTTTTAGGGGGGAGGGGTGGATGGTCAAGGATCCAATTTCAATTGGTTACACTATTTCACAAAAGCCCCAAATTCACAGCAACTTGAGCAAGCTTATGTAAAACATAAAAACAAAGAAGCAAGAATGATGCAAAATAAAAGAGTATTTTTATGATTGCGCATTTACTCTAATTTCATTCTCGTACAGAATCAAAGACTAAACTGTACATATATGAACTGCTGCAACCAAACTGATGTACCAGACTAACACTTGCCGAACATAGCACTTCCAAACTAAACTCAATTCAATTGTTCAGTTTGGCACGTTCAGCAAAGCACATTATAGTGCCGCTTAACTTATTAACTCAATCAACACTATCATAACTTGCTCCATAAAATTATCAACATTTGCCTTATAATCAAAAGAATAGAATATTTCAAGCCAACAGTACTGACTTGAATTGAAACGAAGAGGCATTGTGCGCTACCCTCCGAGTCAATCCACACAACTTCTGGTTTCAGACACGCAAACTTGAATGAAGTTTCAATGACTTGGACCAATTATCTTTTGACAACATACACATGTGCATTCTCTCCTGTTTCAAACTTTGAAGTTAATTCAAATTTGAATTGAGTTTTGACACTGAATCTTCATACTTGTATCTCATTTATATCACCACAAACAAATTCCACTTTACCTTGCAATTATCAGTACAGTCACAGCAAATGAGGAAATCTGGATCAGTTATGATCATTGAGCCTTTCTCTGGCTGGCGGTGAGCAATGTACTTGACATCAGGAGGCTGGTCATTGTCTATTTCGTTCACCAACTGACCACAAAAAAAGATCAATATTACTATCTACAAAGAAGTTTTTAAAGGTGTAGTGACAGCACATTGTAAAGGCCCTGTCACACTGTCTGCGATCTTATATGCGCTCTCACTGCGTCCTTGAAAAATAGCTGGGGCGCAACAACAACTACAAGATCGCAGCGACAACTACATGGGTCGCCAAATGGGCGCCAGAGGGTCTTAATGGTCTCCGATGAGCACAAAGGTCTTTCAACATGCTCAAAACAATCGCAACACCTCTGCGCTCTGGCCAGGGCGCCGTAATGACGCAACTCGGGCGCTGTGCGAGCTTGAGTCGTGCGACGTTGAAATGGCATTGAGGCAGCTTAGGCGCAAGTGAAGGCAGTCGGCGTAATCTTCATGAGAAAGTAACTCGACTGCGATGAACTTGTAGAATAATTTTTTTAAACTGGACTTTGTATGGACCGTTTTGTCGTGGTATTTATACAGCGCAAGTGACGTCACATGAGCGTATTTTGGTTGAATAGAGAGCGCGACGCGAGCTACTAGGACGTATCAAAAGCGAGCAGAGCGTAGTGTGGGCGCAGTGACAGCGCAGCGGCAGCGACTAGATCAAGTAATTGGGCTTGACAGGGGCGCATAGAGAGCGAGTTGAACGCATCGTAAGCGTGGGAAGAACACAGTATGAGCGTAGCTTGAGCTTCTTTGAGACAGAAAGTTGTCATTTTATTGCGTCCTCACTGCGATTGTTCAATTTATGAAAAGAAAATTGGTCGCCGTAAGGTCTCCTATGAGAGCGCATATAATGTGACAGACCCTTAACATACTGGTAAGCATTCCAACAGCAGATAAGCTCTGTTACTGATCACATATTGAAATCTAGAATGCTATACCTCTCATTTTGGGGAAGTATCAGCTAAACCAACAAAATCACAAATTTGTTTAGCATGCTTTAAATTATGGTTAGTAAATGATTTTGTGAAATGAATAAATTAAGATAAAGTTTAAGATACTGTAACACATCACAAGATCTAGGATAACAAAAGCCTGGCATAAGTGCTCTAGGAGCAACTGACCACCATTAACTACAGGGTTTTGCCTGTACATGTATTAGATTAAGCATCTCTATACATGTGTATGATGTTTGTTAAATCACTGTCTAGATTTGGAGATGTCTTTTAAACTTCCACATTATCATTTCAAAGATACAAAGCTTTCAGCAAGTCAGAAACTTAAAAAAAATGCAACTAAGCTCTCTTGCTCTTAGCTACCGTAATTTTCGGAATATAAGCCGCGGCTTATACGTTGAATTTGCAAATGAAAATGTTTACTGCGGCTGATACACAGGGCGGCTTATTCGCCGAGCCTTGAAGAATAAAAATAAGATTCACATGTGTATTTAATGTACTGGTATAAGAAGAGATATGTTGCTGAAATGAATTATAAATTAAGAAAGTCATTAACAAACTGAAACCACGTCTCACATAAAGGTACCGAGCGGTAAAAGGTGATGAAAGTTGTCTTCGACACTTGCGACCAGCCGTACGTGATACTGGTACAGTGCAGCAGCAGCGATATGCAGCATGCTTTCCCCCCAGCGGACCACACCATTTGTGGTAATAAAGGGGTGTTCTTTCTTGGGAACAATAATTACCAATATTTCAGCTGTTTAAAAAAAAAAAAAAAGACGACTAAAATTTTTATGGCGTTCGAAACATTTTTTTATTACATAATCAGTTGTTCAACGTCACAATATATTTTGTTTTCTTGAAATGTATTCAAGAAACGATGTAAAACTCAAAAGAGGGACTAAATCACCCCTTACAAAATTAATGGATTCGTCTATTAAAATGTCCGCTTCGTTTTGACTATTTCCGAAGAAAGTTACGATCGAAACTTGAATTTTTATCGCAACTACTCGTTAGTAATCACAACAATTTGATAAGTTTTGAGGTAAAAACGGACCTGTTTATTCTTAGGACAAAACAAATCAGCATCTGTTGCCACAAAGCAAGACTTGTAGCGCTCCAGTCAGACAACACACGGTGGGTTTCATACTCTCTCACATGCTGCTGTGGGAAAATGTTGTCATTCACCAGCGTGCGTGGCGCAGGCTGCAGGGCTATGACGGGGCAGCCGGCAGCAGTTCCCGGTGTTTATTTCTCATCAATTCCCATATTTGTTTGTAAAAGTATCGATTGTAAATGATTTGAAATAACTTTTGTGGCCCTTTTAATAGCTTCTGTAGTGTAAATGGAACTGGTTCAGAGCATTTTGACTAGAATTTGGAGGCCTTACAAAATTGAAACCGCAGCGGTCGGTGCGGCTTATACGCCGGTGCGGCTTATACGCCGACTTCAAATCTTAATTTGCAGATTTTTGCGTGCTGCGGCTTATACGCCGCGCGGCTTATACGCCGCACGGCTTATATTCCGAAAATTACGGTACTTAGGATTATCAAAGGAGTATCAGTATTTGTTATCAATGATAAATTGGATAAGATGGAATATAATCAAGCACAGACATACCGACACAGCTACTGGTTCCGAACCCTTAGAGATATCACTGATCTCAAGATATCGCTGGCTGACACGATATTTGCGCAGTTCAGTGTAAACAAATGGATCAAAGGTGAATGCGTCCACGCAGATATCCTCCGTCTTGGTGTCTGTGACTAAATTTTCAAACAATATCAGTTATTAAATAACTTAAAAATACATCAGACAATACACCCTAGAAAACAATTGAAGTATCTGGGTTCATGAACTGCAAACCACCTAGCCTTTAGTCAAGTCCCACGCGCTTACCTGGACACCCCGGATGCTGACAAGCAAAAAAGACTAGCACGAGCGGCGAAGCTGCAAGGGCCTTTACCATCTCGTGGAGAACGCTTATGTTTTTCTTTACATTTGTCTACCGATTTGGTAGACATGCATAATGCTTTACCCGTTGCGAATTGACCAATGAAAATGCAGAATTACTAACGTAAATCAGCCGTCGTCTGGGGCCAGACAGCACGCGCGCCATGGCGCGCGTGCTGTTGCTGGTAACCGCAAACCACCGTTAGATGATTGGTTCATATCGCTTCATTTATATTACACATGTACGTGAATAAATGAATAAGTGATTAGTTCCACGAGATAGTAGAGGCCCTCGCGGCTTCGCCGTTCGTGCTAGTCTTTTTACGTGTCAGCATCCGGGGTGCGTTACGTGTCCGGATGGTCCGGGTATAGGCGCGTGGGACTTGAATAAAGGCTACAAACCACCACGAGGCATTGTGACAAGGCATCCGCTACATTGTGAAAATGACAAATGAGTTGCATCTCAAGGGAATGCATCAACAATTTGAGGTATCAGGAGTTTTGAGTTTTCCTGATTTTTCTACAGTCATGTCATCTACACGTACATGTATGTCCATGAATGGCTTCTACCATTACTCACTACGTAGTAGACACGTCATTTAGCTCACTTTCCTTCCCTTTTTTTCATTCTATTGGTAAATTTGTTTAGTCACCAAGCATCTTTTGCTAAGATTTCATATTGGGTAGTAATCAGTCATGAAAAAAGTTCCATGATGTTGTTCACGCTTCTTTGTGACTGTTTTGGCAGCGTTTTCTATGGACTGGCTGAACAAAAGTTCCAGTTAAACATTTCTTAGATGTTGTTTACGCTTCTTTGTGACTGTTTTGGCAGCGTTCTCTATGGACTGGCCAAACAAAGTAAGAATTCAAAGGAGGTACCAGTGCGGGCATTTCAAGTTACAGGGGTATTCATGTACATAAAATTCTATTCTCTTGACGGGAATGGATATTACCTCAAGATAAACAGAGTTTCGAGTTATCCGAGTTTGAGTTCACAAGAGTTTACTGTATTTATATATGTTTACATATCTGAAGCTGGTCTAAATATGTAATGCAATCATGTAAACATTCATACCGTTCGCTTTAATTGTGCTTTCTTTTGCTTGCATCATCCATTTTATAAACTGTGTCGTTGTATCACTAGTATGTTTCGTAGGTCCGTTTGTAAAGTTTATTAAGTTTATGTCCACTCCGTTTGTTTGTCTGTTTCTGTTTCATTGTTTTGTTTTGTTGTGTTTTGTATTTTGAATTTAGTCTTCCTTTTTCAGTATTGTTTATATTTATACTTTTTGTTGTTGTGTTTAAGGCATTCCGTTTATAAGCTTCGGCTTCTTGTGTAATGCCTCCACTTAGTAGTTTTCATGTAACAATTGTTTTGTTTTCTAAAGTGCTTATTCATGTGGAATTAAATGTTTCTGAAATGAAATGAAAATGAAAGTGTACTTACGGTAGCGGTCAACTTCAGAGATTGTTCTCTGGGGGAAAAAGGCAAATATAGTTCAGTTTTGCGGTGTGTGCATTTCAAAGGGTTCAGCAGTGAAATGTCCTACTTTTGGAATTGTATGGTTGTTTCTTGTACAAAGAATAGTACTGCTGCAAATATAATAATTCATGTGTCTCTTTAAGAGAACAAATGTCCAGACCTGGAAACACTTGATGTTGCGATCAAAAATGTGACCTGTTCTGTCAAAAGCAGGCGCTTCTGGGCAGAGGTTGAAATTGAGATAGGGCCAAAAAACGCTGGTTTTCTAATTTTTGCATATTTGTAATCCTGAACATGTCTAAAATATACTATATAACTTCAAAAAAGCAAAACTTGGCCCAGTAAATACAGGTTACAAAAATAAATCCACCTATTAAAAGAGAAATGTACATATTTTAACAGTATGCAAAAATCTCATGTTGGACCTTATGCCCAGAAAAGTCTGATTTTGACAGAACAGGTCACAAACGTGACTAACTGTGCCACAGCTTACCAAACTTCTCCCGCATGGAGTACGATAGACGACATGCCTTCTACCTGAACCTCTTTGCTTTGCTAATCGTCGCACCCATCCATACATACTCGGAACATGCAGAGGATTTTGTTTTCTGATCTTGTATTTGCGCTTTTCATCCGGAATTGAAGCAACCACACACTGTTGGCTACAGTTATGGGGAACTGAAATATCAAAATTGTAACATCACATTAAAAATGCAGTTTAAACATAACAAATTCTTGCCAGCTGGTCACTGGACCCCCCATTCACCAATCAGATTGTAGGCAAAAAGTTCTATGTCATGTAAAGAAAAGGCATTGAGTTCTTTGTGATTACTTGAGCTAATACAGTTGTATTTGATTCCATACAGTCAGGTTGGCGTAGCGGTACTTTGCTCGCCTTCCACCGTTGTGACCCGGGTTCGAATCCCGCCTGGGCCAATATGTGGATTGGGTTTTCAGTCCCTGCCTGATTCCGTGGGTTTTCCCCAGAATATTCTTCTGGGCTTTTCCTCCCACCTCTAAAACTGTAACTTCTTCTCATTGTCTTCTCTCCACAGGTTTCTTCAGGCTTGTGAGCTACAGTGCCTAAGGCGCTTTTGAGGAATCCTTGGTTTCATTACCAGAAATGATTAATAATAATAATAATACAAATCAAGATTTAGGCATGAATGTCCCCCAATTACAGTACCACCAGTCAAGTCCTCACCAAAGGTCATTTTAGCGTGTCTGGTTTCAGCTGTGAGTTGGTGCATTTGTCTGGTTGAAACCTGCAGCTTTCCCTTCATAGAGTCATATGGGTTGGTATCTGCCAGAGAAAATGATCACTAATGTACAAAAGGCACTCAAATAAGCAAAGGACAATCTGGCAAATAAATGGAAAGCATTAAAGGGAAGATACAACATTGGCAAACAGCACAAAACGAAATGATCAAATTATCGCGAAATACCTTACTGGATTGTTGGGGAATGACAGTCTAAAGCATCCTGTAAAATCGTGGCTCCTGATGTGCTGACATTTTTAAGAAAAATGGTATTTTTCCAACGCTGGTCGGCCGACTAGCGTTGGAGAAAACTGGCTATTTTTAAAAAATTGCTCCGAATTTTTCATAATTAGTTATCCCGCATTTTCTTTGCAATTGATTACACACCTGTGAAGAGGTACAAGTCTGCTAGACTGATTCTCTGACCTTACAATTCCCCAAAGTCTATTAATTGCTCCGTTTTATCTTATAAGTGGGGTCAGGGAACCAGACTGCAAATACATGATTGGTTTTCTTGGTTACAAGCCCAAACGTGAAAAAAGTAATTTTAACAATACTTGCTATAACATACTAATCCTCCAAATCCATTTATTTCTGAAAATTGCAGCAAAAGCAAATGTTGTACATTCCCTTTAAGCAGAACAACATATTGCATGCCTCATCACAGCCACTCTCAAGACATTCCAATTTATTTTTATACACTACGGTTTAAATGAAAGGAGCTTTAAGTAAGAAGTTGGGAAGGTGGAGGAACCATGTCAATTTATTTGAGTTGATTGCCTCATTCACGTATTTATTATCAGGCGTACCAAACCAACAGGCAGAGTTGTAGTGACTCGAGTCAATGACTGGACTCAAGTCCGACTCGAGTCCCTAAGGGTAAATGACTCGACTCGACTCGAGTCACTACGAGCAAATGACTCGACTCGACTCGAGTCCCTCATCAGAACACTCGACTCGACTCGAGCGAAGGCTAATAAGACTCAAGTCCCAAAAAAGTATTTGCAATGACTTACGGTGCAAAATTTATGCTCACTTTACTTTGCGAATAGCAGTCATATACAAATATACAACGTGTCACAGACTCCCACCTCATGGTTCTAGAACGCACAAAATACTATCCAGGAACCAGATTTTTAAACTTATTTTCTAATTCGCTGTTTCATCATTGGTTTTGGGCGAATTCTTATAAAGCTCTTGGGTTCGAAAGCTGTCTAAACTTATGGCCTCCTTTTATAAATTTTGGTATATAGTGTTCAAATAATCGTGACTCGAATTGATTCGAGCTAAATATTTGACTCGACTCGACTCGACTCGACCTTTTGACCTAGTGACTCGACTCGACTCGAGTCACTTCTTTAAAATGACTCGACTCGACTCAAGTCACTTCTTTAAAATGACTCGACTCGACTCAAGTCACTTCTTTAAAATGACTCGACTCGACTCGAGTCACTTCTTTAAAATGACTCGACTCGACTCGAGTCACAAAAATCAGTGACTCGTTACAACTCTGCCAACAGGTATAGCAGGTGCTGATCCAGGATTTTTCAAAGGGGGTGGTTGAAATGTTGAAGTGTTCAGTCAAATCTTTTTCAAAGGGAGTAGATGGATGAGGCATTGACAGCATCAAAGGACCAACGACAAGCAATGAATAATATTGCCAATACTGAGTGATGACGTCACTCAGGGAACTTTACATTAGGCCAACAAAAAAAAAAAGTCTCCGGTTTCTGGTATGCACGCGCGTCGTCGTAGCCATGCGCGTCGGCAAAATGAAAAAGGTTTTTTTTCAATGAAAGATGATGTCTCAAAACCGCCAAACTCACTGGTTTGTCTGGAATCCTGCTGCTGCACAGTTTAACGTGTTTTTAGATGGAGTTATGATCGAGAATAAGCTTTATGTGGCCTCTCTGGTCTCCCATAATATTTGCACTAAGTTTAGTCGGGCACCATTTGCAGTCATCAGCCGACATTTGACATGTTTGAAGCAAAAAAAAACAGGTAAAAAAAAAGCCGCGTCGCCGCACCACTTTTTGGGCAAGCTCCATACCAGAAACCGGAGACTTTTTGGGGGGGGGGGGGCCTTAGGAAATTTGGGATTTTTCTATACCAATGAAATGTTGAGCTTTTTGTTTTGTAAATGATGACTTTGTGTCAGTATGAAATGGATAGCAGATGCCTAGATGCCTGTTACTTACCGACCCAATGGGTCATGATTATGTCATGTGTTGAGGAGTGCTTACCGTATCTATGGTTGCCACGTCTGTGTTTATGGTGATGATAGTGATAATGACTCTGGCTGGATGTACTCTTCTTAGCTGTCTGCTGTCTTTCATTCTTGAATTCTATTCACATACAAACATTTCTTTTTTCACATATCATATGTGCAGTATGAAGGCTAGCTAGATTACATTCATCTGATTGTGAATCATATGTCATCAAGAAAAACTATGTTCTTGTACACAGCCAAACTGACTGATTTTTGTAGTATTTATTGTACAATGAATCTGCACATTGAACAAAACTATAAAACGGTGGTTGTGTTTAACCCTGCGCAGCGTTTACAAGAAATTTTTATCAGAAATCGCCAACTGCGTACCTTTGGGACGCAGGTACTTCCCCCACTACGCAAGACCATATCCATGTCAAAACAACAAAAAGCCATGTGCCAGACGGTGTCCAGGCATTTGCCAGACAGGGCACTTAATAGATAATTGACTGGTGGCTGCGGTTTGCGGCTATGAAGGGAGATGGCTGTGTCAAGTTACAGGTGTTTGTATATGTTTCAATGAGACTTTGGCAGGAGGCCTGGTCCCAAGGTTGTTGACACGGCTCGGGTGAGACCCTGGCTGCAAAGTTCATTGAACCAGCTGATTTGGCACGGGTTCAATGAGGATTAGATGGCAGGTGAACGTCATTGGTCCTCAATTTAAAAAGTCGATACCAAAACATATGAGCTCAAGAGAAGAAGTGACAACCCTGATGTTTCTAAAGCCTGAATACATACCTGTTGAATACACACCTATTGAATACATACCTGCTTTATACAGGTTGCTCATCTGCATGAGGCATTGAGAGGCGGACATCTTAGAAGCTCCTTTGCTTGCCGAGGAGTCTGATGTGGTTGTTCCTATTATAATGACATCATCGTCACTGTCTGCCTGGGCAGTAGGCTGCACGGTAACATTACAATACAAAGGGCTTATTACACACAACATCAATGTCAGTGGGGCAATGCAACAGTTGACTGCAGTCAGATATCTGCATAGGGGCAATTCCACGGTTACTCACGTTACATTTTCGTAACGTGAGTAACCGATATTGTGCGTTTTGTTTATCATACATATTAACACAATTTTCTGGATGTCATCTGTGGTGCTTAGGTAGGTCTAGGTCTACTCTATCCACCATGGGGATAACAGTTATTAAACCTTTTCAGTAAGGTAATTACAGCCCAAGGAAACTCAAAAGTACATCGAAAATGTAACGTGAGTAACCGTGGAATTGCCCATCATTATTTAACAATAGTTGATTGCTGTGACGTGGGATATGACGTTTTTAACATCCGAGGGGCACATAGCACCCAAGCGTTGGAAAGCATGTCTCACAATAAGACCTTTGTGCTTGAAGCAAGTTTATCTAAAAGAGACATGTGTGATTCGAAAGACAACTAGTGCCTAACCCTAACCCCCTAGGCCTTTTTGCTAGGAACCATCCTCAATCCTCCAAAATTTTACAACATGGCCTAAATTCTTCAAAATTTTCAGACAGTCCTGCCTCAAAATGCATTCATCCTCAATCCTCCAAAATCCTCCTCATCTAAAAATGTTGCACTTATGTTCAAATGAAGGGTACCCAGCCCCTCAATCCTTCAAAATCGTCAGACAGTCCTGCCTCAAAATACCATTCAGCCTCAATCCTCCAAAATCCTTTTCTGAAAAAATACCATTCAGCCTCAATCCTCCAAAATCTTTATCTAAAAAAATACCATTCAGCCTCAATCCTCCAAAATCCTTATCTAAAAAAATACCATTCAGCCTCAATCCTCCAAATCCTTATCTAAAAAAATACCATTCAGCCTCAATCCTCAGAAATCCTTTTCTGAAAAAATACCATTCAGCCTCAATCCTCCAAATCCTTATCTAAAAAAATACCATTCAGCCTCAATCCTCCAAAATCCTTATCTGAAAAAATACCATTCAGCCTCAATCCTCCAAAATCCTTTTCTGAAAAATACCATTCAGCCTCAATCCTCCAAATCCTTATCTAAAAAAATACCATTCAGCCTCAATCCTCCAAAATCATTTTCTGAAAAATACCATTCAGCCTCAATCCTCCAAAATCCTTATCTGAAAAAATACCATTCAGCCTCAATCCTCCAAAATCCTTTTTTGAAAAATACCATTCAGCCTCAATCCTCCAAATCCTTATCTAAAAAAATACCATTCAACCTCAATCCTCCAAATCCTTATCTAAAAAAATACCATTCAGCCTCAATCCTCCAAATCCTTATCTAAAAAAATACCATTCAGCCTCAATCCTCCAAAATCCTTATCTAAAAAAATACCATTCAGCCTCAATCCTCTAAAATCCTTATCTAAAAAAGTACCATTCAGCCTCAATCCTTCTAAAAACCTTATCTAAAAAAAACCCATTCAGCCTCAATCCTCCAAAATCCTTATCTAAAAAAGTACCATTCAGCCTCAATCCTCCAAAATCTTTATCTAAAAAAATACCATTCAGCCTCAATCCTCCAAAATCTTTATCTAAAAAAATACCATTCAGCCTCAATCCTCCAAAATCCTTTTCTGAAAAATACCATTCAGCCTCAATCCTCCAAAATCCTTATCTAAAAAAATACCATTCGGCCTCAATCCCCCAAAATCCTTTTCTGAAAAATACCATTCAGCCTCACTCCTCCAAAATCTTTATCTAAAAAAATACCATTCAGCCTCAATCCTCCAAAATCTTTATCTAAAAAAATACCATTCAGCCTCAATCCTCCAAAATCTTTATCTAAAAAAATACCATTCAGCCTCAATCCTCCAAAATCTTTATCTAAAAAAATACCATTCAGCCTCAATCCTCCAAAATCCTTATCTAAAAAAACACCATTCAGCCTCAATCCTCCAAAATCCTTTTCTGAAAAATACCATTCAGCCTCAATCCTCCAAAATCCTTATCTAAAAAAATACCATTCAGCCTCAATCCTCCAAAATCCTTTTCTGAAAAGTACCATTCAGCCTCAATCCTCCAAAATCCTTATCTAAAAAAATACCATTCAGCCTCAATCCTCCAAAATCCTTATCTAAAAAAATACCATTCAGCCTCAATTCTCCAAAATCCTTTTCTAAAAAATACCATTCAGCCTCAATCCTCCGAAATCCCTATCTGAAAAATACCATTCAGCCTCAATCCTCCGAAATCCTTATCTAAAAAAGTACCATTCAGCCTCAATCCTCCAAAATCCTTTTCTGAAAAATACCATTCAGCCTCAATCCTCCAAAATCCTTATCTAAAAAAGTACCATTCAGCCTCAATCCTCCAAAATCCTTATCTAAAAAAATACCATTCAGCCTCAATCCTCCAAAATCCTTATCTAAAAAAATACCATTCAGCCTCAATCCTCCAAAATCCTTTTCTGAAAAAATACCATTCAGCCTCAATCCTCCAAAATCGTTATCTAAAAAAAATACCATTCAGCCTCAATCCTCCAAAATCCTTTTCTGAAAAAATACCATTCAGCCTCAATCCTCCAAAATCTTTATCTAAAAAAATACCATTCAGCCTCAATCCTCCAAAATCTTTATCTAAAAAAATACCATTCAGCCTCAATCCTCCAAAATCCTTTTCTGAAAAAAAATCCATTCAGCCTCAATCCTCCAAAATCCTTTTCTGAAAAATACCATTCAGCCTCAATCCTCCAAAATCCTTATCTAAAAAAATACCATTCAGCCTCAATCCTCCAAAATCCTTTTCTGAAAAATACCATTGAGCCTCAATCCTCCAAATCCTTATCTAAAAAAATACCATTCAGCCTCAATCCTCCAAATCCTTATCTAAAAAAATACCATTCAGCCTCAATCCTCCAAAATCATTTTCTGAAAAATACCATTCAGCCTGAATCCTCCAAAATCCTTATGTAAAAAATACCATTCAGCCTCAATCCTCCAAAATCCTTTTCTGAAAAAATACCATTCAGCCTCAATCCTCCAAAATCGTTATCTAAAAAAAATACCATTCAGCCTCAATCCTCCAAAATCTACCAAAACCACAAGGAGGATTTTGGAGGATTGAGGAGGGTTAGGGTTAACGACTCAAATTTGGAGGACCAAAATGTAGTACCCTGAAGTTCCTCTGAGTTATAGTTTCATGACGTTTTAACATTCTCTGCAGCTACTATCATTTTTGTGAGAAACACATTTTAGAGCTGAAAAGGGCACATTCAGATTGAATTTGTCCCTTTAAAACAAAACAAAAATGAACTCATTTATGACATAAAAATAAGGTTACTTAAGAGAGCTGTTTTCTTAACCCCCGCCTAGGCCCACTTGTTCCATTTGTCTATGAGACTTTCCTAGGGGCAGCAATTAAAGGGAATGTACAACATTTGCTTTTGCTGCAATTTTCAGAAATAAAAGGATTTGGAGGATTCGTATGTTATAGAAAATATTGTTAAACTGACTTGTTTCACGTTTTGGGCTTGTAGATGCTGGAAAAACCAAGAAAACCTACCATGTTCTTGTAGTCTGGTTCCCTGACCCCACTTAAGATGAAACGGAGCAATTAATACACATTGGGGAATTGCAAGGTCATAGAATCAGTCTAGCACTGGCTTGTACCCCTTCACATACAGGTGTGTAATCAATTGCAAAGAAAAGTCAGAATAACTAAATATAAAAAATTAGGAATAGTTTTTGAAAAAAGCCAGTTTTCTCCAACGGCCGACCAGCGTTGGAAAAATACAGTTTTTCTTGAAAATGTCAGCACACCAGGAGCCACGATTTTAAAGGATGCTTTAGACTGTCGGTCCCTAACAATCCAGTAAGGTATTTCGTGATAATTTGATCATTTCGTTTTATGATGTTTGCAAATGTTGTACCTTCCCTTTAAATGAAGCAACGTAGAACAGTTCTGTCAGCTCAAAAATGTAAACAATGTTTCATCCCAAAAAATATCAAGATTTCAATATGGACTGTGGTATTAGGAATATTATCACACTGTTGTTGCTAGGGATCGACCAGTCAGGACTAAGGATTCAAATTTGCTTGGAAGATAAATGTAATATTAAGCACCTATAGGTTCATACTGATGGTAACCTACATCACAAATGGTTTCGCACATTACCGGCAGTATCCATTCCTATCGGGAGAGTGAACCATAAAAGTGGACATACATGTTGTAGCGTTTTCAGATTATCAATTCTTCATTATCAATTCGTCTTAATTTTTAGTTAATTATCACACTTTAATTATCAATGTTCCTTTTGAACTTTTTAATAATTAAATCTCCTGAATGCATTACTCATCGTTTTCCTTGTATACACCCACACAGTGCCTATGCAATGTGTAGTCCCTATACTTTTATACAGAGCAAATGACCTTCACTCCCCACATGCACAAGTCACTGGTCAGTTTCTTAGTACAACCAAGTTACTTTCAAGATCATTGTTTTAAGGAACTATATTACTCATTCCTAGTCATTTTCTGAGACTCAAGGAAACCACGATATGACTAAGTTTCCCCATTCTTGAGTATTTCTTATTCCCAAGACTTCCTGTTTCCACCAGTATATAAGTCCTGCTCCACTAGCAGTTCTTCATTCTATTCTGTTTTCTGTTTTCTGTTTCAATTCCATTTCTACTCTAGTCTATTTCAGTTCACCCAGTTCTCTTTGTCTCAGTTCACTGTAACCAGTTCAATCAATCAATGTGTATTAAAATATTGTTGTGGAATAAACAGTCACGGTAAACACAGTCCTCAACCAAATTGTGTATCGACCTATCCATTCCCCAACAATGGCAATGTCATATCTACTTCAGCTATTGATCATACAAGCATTTGTGTACAAACCTGTTTTGTTGTACATGTAGCTGCTTGCTGGTATAGGGCCTTCCTCACAGGCTTGTTGACATTACCTTGTTGCATTTCTGGCTTAATCTGTAAAGGCAATGTATTAAAACAAAATCACATGATACCAACCATACATAATGTTTGATTTTATATAACCGACATACAGATCCTTGTCATTTGATTGGTGGAACTCACATCACGTGGCATTCGTTATTGCTCCCATTCATGCTGCGGCTCAAAAAGTACTATCCGCCCATGGGGAATGGGAAATACTATTCAACAGTTAGGATCATGACGCGGTATTTGTGTGCAAATGCATGCTGGTGTACGCGTTCAGCGTTGCGCGTAGCGCATATTGTTCCAAAGAGCCAGCGCTACAGCGTTGGGTTCAAACATTTTCGTGAAAGGGTGGTTTGGAAGAGAGAAATACATTTTCCTCCAGTTTTGTATTGAAAAAAAGTTCAAATATATCAAATGACAAGAATCTATATGTCAGTTATATAAAACAAATATTGAGTGGCAAATTGTGAAATGGGAGGAATATTATCGCTCGGTAAAATCTGGACTTTTCCAGTTCACTCGGCTTCGCCTCGTGAAATGGAAAAGTCCAGATTTTACCTTGCGATAATATTCCTCCCATTCCACGCTGAGCCAGTCAATTCTCTATCAGTATCATCCTACACTCTACTCATTTATCCCGACTGTAGGATCATTGGCAATTACCCAGAAGAGTAGCTACATTGTACCAATTGAATGCTGGAAACCTCGCTCCAAGTGAAGTAGGACTGGTATCAAATACTCTGTGGATTTATTCAGCCCCACATGGTATTGTTTAGAAGAAATGAACTTTGAAGGCGGTTTCAAAATAGGGCCCCACAAGCAACCACTTTTCTAGGTGCATTCATGGGCATCGCGAGGGGGGGGGACAAGGGAGGGCACTTGCCCTCCCCCCCCCCCCCCCCCCCGGAAAAGCAAAAAAAAAAAAAAAAAAAAGGAAGAAAAAAAGAGAACAAAGAAAAGAAAAAGAGGCGCGAAGTCATAGTGGTGTAAATTTAATGGTGGGGGAGGGGGGCAAAATGTCCCTGCCCCCTCTAAAACTGATAAATCGAGAATGTGTTGACACAGGCATTTTTTGACAAAAATATGTTTTGCCCCCCTCTAGAAAAAAATCCTGGCGACGCCCATGGGTGCATTATGAACAGAATCCATTATGAGACCAACAAACTGTGTACGTTTTTGTTTTCTCAGTTGTATAGTAACCACTGAGCTGAAACTTCAAGACTTTAGTTGTTATACAACCTCCTTACATGTTACTTTTGAGTCGTTTTGTTACTTCAAGTGAACAAAAAATGCACAAACAGCAAATGATCCTATGTACCTTGACAGTGAAACACAAATGCAATGGGCTTTGAATCTGATAAAGGCCATCAGCCTCGGTCCAAAATGTTGGCCACCGGTATCAAATGAGGGGAATAATCGTCGAAGCGATTTTTGGCAAGGTATACACCTCCAGAGTTGGAAAATATGTGAAAGCATTGCAGCGGTGGCAGCTTTTTGTGTGTTATCACCTTTTTTTCAAATTGTCCATCAAAATGCTTGTTACCACTCTAGGGGCGGTATACCTTGCGCATGCGCACTATAATCATTTATGCCCTGATTTGATACTGACCAAACCCCCAGGCTGATGGCCTAATATATCTCACACGCTAGAATCAAAGGTATGCCCACACGTTGCTCTCATGCAAGTATGCCATATGCAGCACTCTCAACAATTCCTGCACACATCTTGGTAATAATACCTGTTTAAAGAGGTTGTGGAATGCTCGAAGACATTTCCGTCATTTTCGGGTATATGTAGCCTAAGGACTGATGAAATAAAAACGACTATTGTGTCTGTCATGAAATGAGTACAAAAGGTACTTTTGAGAGCTGTTTTTCAGGTCCTGTTTCGACCCGAACGTGCAATTTGTGTAAAAGTCGTCGTTGGGGGCAGCGAACAAAACATAGTAAATCGTGACGTAATAAACAGGACTCCCGATGCAGCGTAGTATAAACGAGTCCTGTTTATTACGTCGGCCGACCACCGTTTGAAAAACCTAACTACATTGTATTTGTCAACTACTGCTCCAAATTAACAATTTTTTTTCAGTCCAAATTTTGTTTGCTATTGGTTACATGTTCATGAACGGGTGCAGGCCAGCTAGACTGGTTCCTTTACCTTACAATTTTCCGTCATCTATAAATAGATTCATTTTATCTTTAGTGAAGTCAAGGAACCAGACTACTTAAAACATTTTAGTTTTTCTTGGTTTTTCAAACATTTTCGAACACAAAACTTCAATCATGTCAGTTAAACAATATTTGATCTATTATACTAACCCCTCAAATAAGTTCATTTCTGAAAATTACAGCAAAAGCCAATGATGTACATTCCCTTAAATGTTGACAAGTTTTTACACGTGTCCTAATCAGACACCAGCACCAACACACAATGAGAAACACACACCAAGTCAGAAACCATCTCCCTATGATTGCATTATGATAACAAGAAATCCAAGCAAGATGCTTACGTATACAGCAGACTGTTGACTGACTGGCTTGAGTGCCTTCCCAGTGACTGCTGATGGGCTGACTTGTTTACCCACTGGCCTGCCAGCAGTAGTAGTAGCTGTGGTGGTCGTGGTGACGGCTGATGTCTTCTGAGCTTGTGGAGGTGGATTTCTACGGTAACCCATGCGTAGGTTCTCAGAGAAGTCCTCAATGGCATCTTGTAGATTGTCCCATGGCGTGGCTCTGATATCCGCATTATTGTACGGTCGACTCAACTTAGCTGCCGCACCTATGACAGACATGAGAGAGCTGATGGCAGCGGACTTCACTGGCTCGGGATCAAACCATATTGCCTCCAGCTTGAAGTTGCTCTTGATTCTTCAAGAAAGTAGAAAAAATGACACACATAATAGCAGTTAAAGCTATAGTCCATCATTTGCAGCTATCCGAAAAGTAGCTGGCATAATTATTGTTGAAAAACATACTTGGTTGAAAGATAGTAAGGGGACTAAACTCCCTGTGAAATTATTCTTTCTGGCAAGCTGTCATTTTGAAGTAATCAACGAAAGAGGGCCTTTCCAACGGTGCTTCTTAAGACGCACCGTAGGAAAATTTAAATTAGTAGTTCGTTTTGTTATTCGGCGAAGCGTGCACAAGCATTGGCACGCCGCACACGCACCCCCGGTTGCTATAATTCGTCAGATCAGTGCGCGACATCGCGTAGCTGCATTCGGCTCAGCGAGAACGTGTCTCGGACGCTGAATTCAGGCGCAATTCAAAACAAGATTCAGCAACTTTTGATTTGAAATTGAGATCCTAGAATGCTGTTTTTCTCAGAATATACAGCTGAAGCTGAGCTGAAACTTTATCAGGTTAGTTGTTCAGTACCCTTCTTTAGATTTTGAGCACTTTTGTTGCTTCAAACGAACAAAATGCACAAATTACAAATGATGGACTATAACTTTAATACCAGCGATTCACAACACAGGGTGAGTACAAGAAAAGGAAACCAAAATGACACCCCTATTTTTTGAAGAAGTTCTGCGTGAAGCGCATTCAAGATCTAGGATGTAAAAGAGTCGTGTACTTTTCCACTTATGGACTTTTAAACACAAACAGTTTTATAATTTGTCCACGGATCACAATAAAGGTAAGTGATATTTCAGCGAAACGAAGACAACTCACATATAAAAAAAACACATCAGAACACTCTCATAACCATGAAACGCACTTTTTTTAATAACCCTAACTCCCTAGGCCTTTTTGCTAGGATGTAGCCTCAATCCTGCAAAATCCACCAATTGGCCTCATGGAAAAATAGCATATAGCCTCAATCCCTCAAATTACTCCATTGTTTCTTGAATATGGTCCATGGAGGGGTGACCACTGCCTGAATCCTGCAATATCCTCCGGCTATGACTGTCAATAGGCTGAGGCACAGGCAGTGACATCCTGGAGCAGTGCGGAGGATGTCAAGTATAATCAAGGACTAAATTTATGCACGGCTGAGCATAAACAACACAAAGTCTGGCCCAAGACCTCGACACAGTGCTTACTCCGAAATCAGCAACGCACTTTGGCCATGTAACCTCAATCCTGCAAATTCCTCCAATTTGCAAAAAGGATTTTGGAGGATTCAGGGCGGTTAGGGTTAAACACCTTCTGCTTCTAATGTCAAAACAACATGCTTTATAATGTCAAGAGTTTCTAGTCTTGCCCTGCCTTCAAATTGGCCACCCGGAGACGTATGGGATTATTCTGATATCGTTTTCATGCTGTGACATGGTTTCTTTTACTGAAATATCACGTACCTTAATTGTGATCCGTGGACAAAATTTTAAAACTGTGTTTGTGTTCAAAATTCCATAACTGGAAAAGTACATAAGTGATTTCAATGATATTTTTCATAAAAGAAATGGGGCTTTCACATCCTAGATGGGTCATTCCACCGGGTTGGGGAACAATGTGTGACATATGACCATATTAAGAAAATCATGAATGCCTTGCTAGCAGTTGCTCTTCATAATATTTGTTGTTGGGTGTTTCACTACTGCGGAAAGTTTGAAATTAATTCAAAGTATTTTGCCAAAAATATGAGCATATGAAATGTCATTTTGACGTAACATTGACACCGTGTCAGTGTTACGTCCAAATATGACATTTGTACCTTTTTTTTTGAATTTCTGCGAAACATTCCCCAAATTCACTTTGCGTACTTCTTGCTATAGAAGCAACAAAATAAGAAAAGCTTTTGTTACGGTAGTCAGGTATCAAATGGAGCAGATACGATTGCTTGGTTGTGTGGATGTAACATTGACACGGTGTAAAACCCAAATGTCACACTTCCATTGAGTGATTTTTACACAGTTACATCCACACTTGAGGTATTGTTTCTGCTATATTTGAACCCTGACTATACCAAACCAAAAGCTTTTCTTGGTGCTTTAAATGCAATGTCAGTTTGGGTAATATTTTACAAACGTGTAAAAAATGGCAAAAAAAGAATATTTGGATGTAACATTTACACAGTGTCAATGCTACGTCCGAATTAATACAAAAATGTATACAACAAATCATTAGCAGCATCCATGAAACTACCTTATCGCTATGAACAAATGCCATATTTCAATAAAGCTTTTAAGTAATGATACTATTTGTATAAGAGAAGGCTATTATGTTTCTTGTGTAAGTTTACCACTATTACAAAGAAATGAGAATACCTTGGTTTCTGGAAGAAATCCGGACAATCGGGATTGAGTTTGGATATGTACAAACTGATGGCATGATGTGGGCAGTAGAAACGATTGCCAGTGGCATAGATCTTCTGTTCTTGTCCACCACTCAAGCCCAGCACAGGAGAATTGATCTCATAGTACGGGAGACCCGACTTGGCAACTTTGCATAACACATCCTTCTTCTGAAGCTGATCGAGATCCAGCGACTACCAAAACAAACAATGAAATAAACAATACAGGGTGGTTCGAAAAAAAGGACACCCACTTTTGACAGCAATTTTTACCTACTTAAAGAACTTATTTTAAATATTTTTTCACATAGTAGTAAAGTATAGGCCTTTAACTATGCATGGTGAAAAAAAGCTTAGTAAAGTCGCAAAACTAGTGATATTATGCTAATTTGAATACAAGTCACCAAAATCAGTCTGGGGTACTCCATGTAAATTTGACATTTTCGTAGTTCATAAAATTTAAAAAACCTTCCCACCAAAATATATTTTGCCATGGTAACTTTTTTTGAAGCTGTCCAATTATTCATGTCAGTGTTAAGATCATCTACTCAATGAGCTGTCGGCTTAAGTTCATTGTTGCATAACAGAACAATCAAATGCCATGCCCTTTCAAAAGCTCCGAAAGCTGAGCTCAGTCAAGCGAAGGGAATGCACCGGTATACCTCCATGGACAAATAGGTTTCGCACATGAAATGTTCAAATTAGCATAGCTCAACGACAAAATGTGCAAATGCAACAATTTTTTCGTCACATTTGCTTAAAGGCCAGTACTTTAATAGCTACTAATCGACAGTTAAAAATAAATTTTTTAAATTGGTGAAAATTGCTGTCAAATGTGGGCGTCCTTTTTTTTAACCATCCTGTAGTTAATGTTAAGATTTTTAATGCTGGCAATATATCAGCCACGATCGGAAAAATACGTTCTTACACACTTATGCATCACAGGTGCTTGGATTGTCATAGAGATAAAGATTTGGAATGAGGCAACACAACCTGGATACCACACAAACCTTGAAACCTTGTGGGGTGCTGTGGTCCAATGGTTACGGTGTTCGACTCGTGTGCCGTGGTACACGGGTTCGAATCCTGACCGTGGGAACATGGTGCTTGTGTTCTTGAGCAAGGCACTTTACCACTATTGCTTCGTTCTTCGGATGTGACGTAAAGCCGTAGGTCCCGTGTGTTGTGTAATGCACGTTAAAGAACCCAGTAACACTTGTCGCTAAGAGAAGGGGTTCGCCCCGGTGTTTCTGGCAGTGGCCGCAGCATCTTGCCACACCTCCTGTTTAAATTCCCTAGATGGAATATTTCAGAGGACCACCAACCAAGTACCAAGTACCAGGTACCAAGTAAAGACGGTAAATATTGAATAAAACACAGCTTTTTATTGATGGAATAATTGTTCCCAAACCGTATTCGGTTGGAGAGTTATGATTTGGGGTGAGAAAAAATACACTTAAAAAATAATAATGGATCAGCTGTGTTAATATGTAACTTACTCACGGTTTGCATTAAGGTTTTAATGTAAATGTAATCAATTATGGCAATATCCAACAATGAATTTCATTGGTATCATGAGAAAGTATCAGAACTGCAATCAGTAAGAACTTAGAGGATGGCTCGTCACTTTATATGTACAGGTAATATAATTAAGTGGTCGGGCACAACCCGACCACTGATTGGAGTTGTTACGATTAATCTTCTTTCTTTCTTTCTTTCTTTCTATTTTTTTCCGGACAATAAGTTTCCGCGGGTTTTCTCCTAAACAGAATATGGTATGAACTTGTAACTTTCAACATATATCAACCCTCGTCCCTAGCGGTGCATATTACTCTGACGTCATGATGATGTCATTGGGTGTCAAATTACAAGCGATTTTAGAGGAAAAAGTGGCCAAATACTTTCAGATATAACTTTTAAACAAAACGATCAATTATGATCCAACATTGCAATCAGATAGACTATTAGTTAATAAACATTTTTTGTCGTGTACGTGAACTCGCTTGACCTTTACTTCCTGGTCTACCGGAAGGTCAAAGTTAGGTGAATTCCAAATGAAGACTTTAGCCTGAAATCAAAACAAAGCAAAATTTCTTCCGAACGGTTTACGCTATGATCATCAAACCTAGTGTGAACTTGTAACATGTTACTAAGATGTTATAATCTTTGTAACGTCATCATGACGTCATCAGGTATCAAATTACGAGCGATTTAAGTCACACTGAGCCACGTATGCAGTTGTATCTTAGGCTTTGTCTGAATCAGGTACTGTATGGCTATTGGTTTTGTCTCAGCCTTGAGTGTACTGCAGCTTATAATCCTAGCTACAGACACTAAAACTTGTTCAGGATACAATGGACACAATCTTACCTAACAACATGAGTTTACCTTGATCTTGCCTTTAATTCTGCCAACAAAAGGCTGCATGAAGAGCCAGACGAGCCTCATTAAACCCAATGGATTACTCAGACACACTAGACCGGACTTGAGTAGCTTGAGTAGATCTCGTCTACTCATCCCTGGTTGGCCTATCATCATCTTTTTGATGACTGGTTTGTCTTTGTCTTGTGATCTGACGGAGTCTGTGAGTGCCTTGTTTGCTTTGTTAAATACTGCATCTCTGTAGATATCAACTTTGCGACTGATAGGCGGCTCTGTCAGGAAGGTACTCAAAGAACAGCGTAGACCTACCAACAACAGAATATAAAATACAAAACATGATGGGAATGCCATGACACAGTTCATTGTTAAAGCTATAGTCCATCATTTGCAGCCATCCGAAAAAGTAACTGGCGTATTATTGTTGAAAAACATACCTGGTTGAAAGATAGTAAGTGGCCTAAACTCCCTGTGAAATTAATCTTTCTGGCAAGCTATCATTTAGAAGTAATCGACGAAAGAAGGCCTTTTCAACGGTGCGTCTTAACGTAGGAAAATTTAAATTAGAAGTTCGTTTTGTTATTCGGCACAGCACGCACAAGCATTGGCACGACGCACAGGCGCGCGCGGTAGCTATAAGTATGCGCGACATCGCGTATACCTGCAATTCAAAACAATTCAAAACGGGATTCAGTAACTTTTGATTTGAAATTGAAATCCTAGAATGCTGTTGTTCTTGGAATATACAGCTGAAGCTGAGCTGAAACTTCATCAGGTTAGTTGTTCAGTATCCTTCATTAGATTTTGAACACTTTTGTTGCTTCAAACGAACAAAATGCACAAATTACAAATGATGGACTATATCTTTAAAACAAAGTAACATTTTATAAACTTTTATGACTTTTAATTTGAGTATTGCAAACATACAATGATGGCAAGCAAGAGGGGGATGAACCCATTACAAGGGACTGCCCAACTCTTTACAGTTTCTTTTGTTTCTGGGTATTCAAACTATATATAGAAAGCTTGCATTCCGTCGCTGGGAGTAATTGCAGAATACCCCGCCACCCGAAAATTACCCCCTAAAAATAAATGGCTACGCAGTCGGAAAATGATGCAGAAATGTCCAAAGTACATGTAGATGTCGGGAAGTGGATACGCGGATACAATATACGGGGTGGTTTCGAGCGCTGGAGGGTCTAAAGAGGGCGTTATTTCCCTGTAATAAGAAATGCGGCCAGCAGGGACAACGTGAATTGAATGGGGAGCAGGGCTTAAAGAAATCTAAGTCCAAAGTAGGTGCCACGAAGTGGATACGCGGATACGGGGATACGGGGTGGCACACGCGTGTGGTTTTGGTTGGGCATCCTAGCGTGACTCCGTATCTGCGTATCCGGATACGAGGTGGGATAGGTGAGTGGCGGGGTATTCTGCAATTGTGCCCATCGCTGTCACAATATACAAAAATTGAATGCTTCGAGTGGTGTGGTAAAACTAGCCTCCCGAGGTGATCCATTGAGCATTCACCACGGGAAAATAGAATGTCCATGGATCACCGAGGGAGGCTAGTTTTACTTCACGAGATAAAGCATTCAATATTTGTTTTATAACACTTAATCACCCACAGATTCTACTTTGTTTTAATCTTTTAAATTATTTAAATCTGAACACAGTTAAAATAAACTTCAATTTCAACACAAAATTGGTGAGAAAAGTATTTCTCTCTTACACACCACCCCTTCACAAAATGTTTTAACCTAACTCTGTGGTGCACTCTTGGAAACAATACACGCTACGCGCAACGCTCACACCAGTATGCGTTTGTACACAAATACTGCGCCATGGGTTTAGTGCTTTGATTGCTAATGGTATAGTACTTTGGTTGCTAGGGTATAGTACTTTTGGCCGTGCGCGGCAAGATAGCAAAATGTGACCGGCTCCACAAAAAAGGGTATTAAAGGGGCACTAGGTCCTGAAATCCCTGAAAATGTCATGTTTTGGATTGTTTACTTAGCCTATTTCAAACATCTGGTTGAAAGGAAACCAACCTAATGTCTTACCGTTCCTGAGAAAAGACGAAAAAAACCGCTTGTTTACAATGGTTCAAAGCAGCAATCGTGCAAAGTTCATGTTCCATCCATAAGGGTTGGTGATTCAACCATCATGCCATCAAATAAAGTCAGAAATCTTGGTATTATCTTTGATTCATCTCTATCCATGGAACCTCACCTTACATCAATCTCTAGATCAGTCTGCATGTCGATCCGTAACATCGGACACATACGAAAATATCTTGACAAACACACAACTGAAATACTTGTTCACGCTTTCATCACATCCAAAATTGACATGGTCAATTCACTTTTGTATGGCATTAACCTAAATCAACTAAACCGTTTACAAAACATCAGTGCCAGACTAATCTCTCTCACTAGTAAACATTCTCACATCACTCCTGTACTAGCAGATCTCCACTGGCTTCCAGTATCATACAGAATTAAATACAAACTTGGCCTATTCGTGTTCAAAATCCTCCACAACAATGCATCGGAGTATCTCATCGACCTCATCCACCCGTACTCAACAGCACGCACCGGACTCCGCTCCAGTGAGCTCATGATGCTTCACGAGCCCAGGACCTCCACTCTTTTGGGGTGACAGATCCTTTGCTGCAGCGTCAACCCGAGTGTGGAACCAACTCCCTCTGGCTATCAAATCATCTCCATCCATCACAACATTTAAGACAAACATAAAATCTCACCTGTACAAACAAGCTTACTCTCACAATACACAATGCTAACTTGACTTTCTCCTCGAGCGCCATGAGCGCCTATTTTTGGCGGATACCGGCGCTTTACAAATGTTCTTTTATTATTATTATTATGACGAAGTACGAATACGTTTTTCGTGTCGTTCTCATGTACGCTATACACGTTGTGTGTCTCAGGAACAGCGCGCGGTGACCAATCACCAATGCACAAAATTGAGGTTTCTTCCACGTCCGCAAAAGGGGAACACTTTACGCGTACGATTGAAATCACAACTAGCATCCAAACAGCTCGAATTTATGGGGTCGCAAAAGTGGACCCCGAAATTTGTTCTCGCACGCATAATACAGGAATAACACAAAAACGCCCAGTTTTGAAAGGATAGTTGTGTGGATGTTTATATCCTACTTTTAAAAGTTATTTCCGATTATCATCATCTCGTTCAAAGCGCGTTTTGTAGCCCAATTGGGCTGTTCCAGGACTTAGTGTCCCTTTAAGTCGCGCTGTGCATTATTGTGTAATGGCCTGCTCAACGTTGAGAGGGTGAAAATTTCGTCAAGATGTGATTTTCATTTTTTGTCATGAATGACATCTTTAATACCTAAAGTTTTAGGGTTCATTCACAGAAATGTTGATTTTGATGAATGAAGTGGGAAAAAACAACCATTTTGTGTGCATCGTTTTGTTGTTGTCAGCCAGCTATATCAAAGCCTGTTTTCTCAGTTGTGTTATTGGAACCCAAGAAAGTACTTAATATGCAAATACATCATATCACCAGAACAGGAGGGGCTAGGGAGCTCTATTATATACCAAATGAAATCTTACATTGTGAAATGAAAGCTTACATTGTGGGCTTTCCAACCATGCATATAACTCAATTTAACTTTTTTGCGACATAATACCCTTTTTTGTGGGGCCGGTCACATATAACAAATGCCATGTGTGACTCGCTCTCGGCCAATCAAGACACAGAATCTGTGGGTGAGGTGTTATAACAACCATTATAACACCTCGCCCACAGATTCTGTGTCTTGATTGGCCAAGAGCGAGTCACATGTTACTTTCTAATTTTGTTATCTTTCTGTGCACAGCCAAAAGTACTATACCCATAGCAACCAAAGTACTATACCATTAGCAACCAAAGTACTATTTCCACGGCGCGGTATTTGTGTGCAAATGGATGCTGATGTTCACGTTGCGCGTATTGTTCCAAAGAGAGCGCGCCGCAGAGTTGGGTTCAAACATTTTGTGAAGGGGTAGTTAAGAAGAGAGAAATACTTTTTCCACCAATTTTGTGTTGAAATTGAAGTTTATTTCATCTGTGTTCAGATTTAAATAATTTAAAATATTAAAACCAAGCAGAATCTGTGGGTGAAGTGTTATAAAGCAAATATTGAATGCTTTATCTCGTGGTGAAGTAAAACTAGCCTCCCTCGGTGATCCATGGACCATTCTATTTTCCCTCGGCTTCGCCTCAGGAAAATAGAATGTCCATGGATCACCTCGGGAGGCTAGTTTTACTACACCACTCAAAGCATTCAATATTTGTATACTAGTTTCCTATTTCAAAAGTCTTTTTATCAGATTGAATTTAATATGTTTGTGTTTACTTTTCTGGAAGATAAGTGCTTTGTGTGATATACTGATCACATTTTTGAAAAGGAATGTAAGAAAGATGACTTAACTGATCTCACGTCACATTGATAATGTATAATGTAGTACATTTTTACCACATTTTACAGATGCATCAAATATAAATCTATCTTCTTGTTTACTGGCATATCCACTGTTTTGATAGCTTCTGTGCTGATACAGTCACCAAAGAATCAAACGCAAATGTGGACTTGAGAACAAACTGCCAATGCCTGGATCCACATTATCCCAAGGAATACCGTCTTACCTGAGAATGTAATTGTATAGGCCCCTATGGGTCTGTCCGCCCTAATGGTTACAACTTATAAGTTTATGGGTGAGACATGGGAGGTGGATTTCAAAGCAGGTTTTTTGCTAATTTTTGTTTATTAAACATTCCTGTATTATCCATGATTGCACTGATAAATAATTAGGCTGATTCACTGGATATGTAGGAAATTACTGGGCCATCTTTAAGATGAAATGAAGGATAATGTTCATAACATGGACAGACACTCTTGATTCATACTATATGTTCTTGTTATAATAAATCCAGCCAATGTTCCATTTATATTTATATTCAATGAAGAATTGGTATCATTCAACATTAAATCAACCTGTTAAGTATCTATGAAATTATGATGCGACTTGATACATGTTCATAACATGGACAGAAATTTGTGACACGATTTCTGTCCCTGTTATGAAGTCTTGAAGATGTGCCCACCCTGTAGTTAAAAATACCTAGAGGATTAAACTGAGATTGGCCAGTGGCAATCTCTCAATGGATAGCTTTACATTAGGAACAAATTTGGGATAATTCATGTATTTTATTTACTGCTTCCCACCATTTCAAAATGACATGTCTGTCCATGTTACGAACGTTAAATCTTGAAGATAATCCTCTGTAATTTTTCAAAACCTGAGAAATTGATCAAACTTGTTGATGGGCAATGTTCTTACCAGGATATTGGATGAAGAAAGACGGAAATATTACTTCATGTATCGACTCCTGTCCATGGTTCCCTCTAAATGTCACACTTTTGTAACTGTTAGTGTGGACAGACCCATATGTGCATTGTACTAATACAAAAAGTAGCCTGAGTACGATTGCTGCAGACTGACCTTGGAGTGTGTGAGATGTGAATACATCTGGTTCCTCTGTAGGTCCTTCTCGGTAGATTCTCTCTAGTAGTGCTGCGAGACCCTCATTGGGTAGATCCTCAAATGTGGGAGACACCCTATGACTCTCACACCACTCTACAACATACACAAACAACAAATTGCATAATGTCAAAAATGTCAAATGTCAAAAAATAGTCAATGTCAATGTCAAAAAATGTCAATGTCAAAAAATAGTGTTATTCACCGAGGCACTTTGTACTGGAATAGTTTAGATGATTCTCTTACTTCGTTACCTTCACTATCTGTCTTTGTCAAAAATGTAAAAACTCATTTTCTCGAATCATATTCATAAATTGAAATTCCATTATTGTGTCTATTAATATTTAGGCCTTGTCTCACGCTTGTCCTGTCTGTCTCACGTATTGTTTTGTTTGTCCCTTGGTCGTATGTTTGTCCATAGGTGAGGGCACAAAAGCGTTCTGCATAACCTTATACCTAAATGTTGTCATTTAATTTCACACTTTATAATTAATCACTGTGTACATAACTATCAAATATTATACTAGTGACTTTTTCTAATGTATACATGTCTGTACATAATTGTAATGAATGACATCATTGAAATAAATGTTACTACTACTAAGTAGACCCATATGTAAAATGCAGATTTGTTTTATTTGCATAGAGTTACCACAGGAGGAGGGCACTGTTGTTCACAAATACAGGCAGCAAAGCTATTTATAAGTATTAGTCTTCACAATATTGACAATTTATTATCCCACCTTGTATAAACATTTGTATTGAATATGTTTTTTTTTTTACTGGAAGAAGAACAAACAGATGAGTGCCAAAAAGCAGTGTTTTATCATTATTTATAAATAAAATAATAAAACAGTACAGCAAGAGCCCGTGTTTGACTTGTGTTTAATTACTTGGTTAATGTTACAATATAATTGTGACTTTGGGCGTGATCCCTTACTGCATGGCATTTACGAGTTTATGGCTTCTGACTGAATAAAGATATGGACCAACTGGGGAACCACCAACATAGGGCTGGGTAGCTCAGTTGGTGGAGCACTGGTACAGCAATCTGGAGGTCGCAGGTTCAAACCTCGCTCCAGTCAATTTCTTCTCCAAACTGGTCTTAAAGCCCAAGTCCATCATTTGCAGCTATCCAAAAAGTAACTGGCGTAATTATTGTTGAAAAACATACTTGGTTGAAAGATAGTAAGGGGACTAAACTCCCTGTGAAATTATTCTTTATGGCAAGCTGTCATTTTGAAGAAATCAACGAAAGAAGGCCTTTCCAACGGTGCTTCTTAAGACGCACTGTAGGAAATTCAAACTAGTAGTTCGTTTTGTTATTCGGCGAAGCGCCGCAAACATTGGCATTACGCACACGCGCGCGCGGTTGCTATAATTTGTCGGATCAGTGTGCGACATCGCGTAGCTGCAATCGGCTCAGTGAGAACATGTCTCGGACGCTGAATTCAGGCCCAATTCAAAACATGATTCAGCAACTTTTGATTTGAAATCGAGATCCTAGAATGTTGTTTTTCTCAAAAAATGCAGCTGAAGCTAAGCTGAAACTTCATCAGATTGGTTGTTCAGCATCCTTCTCAGATATTGAGCACTTTTGTTGCTTCAAACGAACAAAATGCACAAATTACAAATGATGGACTTTACCTTTAAACATAGTGTATAATACCAAGCACATATTTATTCCCATTCATTAATACCTTTTTGGTCAAACAGTCCAAACAAGTCAAAACTTTTGTTCAGCAAGTGTACTTCAAGTTTTTTTTAGCTATGTTATGGTATGTGCCTCTTGTGAGCAGTCATAAACAACTCCTTATATGGAAAATGGCGTGCGTGTTGCGCGCACTGCCTTATGTGACTCGTAACGCAGCTTAGCCGGTGTAATCAAAATTCAGGACCATAAAATATGGACTCATTGGTAGAATTGCGCATGTCTAACCAAGGATTGTGAGCGTTCAACCAATAAAAGTGTTAAAAGGGACCAGATTTCATAGGAGTCCAAATTTCATGTGACACTGGAAAAAGTGTTTAAGACCAGCTAGCTGGTGTTTTATCAACCGTTTAAGACCGGACACGTGACGGGCTCTTGACCAATAGCAATGGGTAAACTGTCTTAAGTATTTATGAACTGAATATAAAGACGTTTGTGTGGTTCACCTATTAGCTTGTAATAGGTCATTAGATTTGAGTACTTAGACAACACCTCATAACATTGCAGTCCATTTGTCGTATTTCTATTGTTGTTGTAGCTGAAGCAGGGTACTGCAAAGTGACATTTGTTGGAACTGTTTTTTTTTTCATATTTCACAAGTTCCTCATTTAAACATAGTCAAATGAAGTGGAAAGGGCCCCTTTAACCAGACTTGAACTACTGACCCCGAATGACAAAGATCTACTTGGATGTTATATAAAACAAATAAGGAATTTTTGCATTCGTGCAATAGTAAGAATATATTCATTCGTTGAAAGATGGAATGTTCCATTCAACTCGGCATCATCCAATTTTCAACTCATGAAAATATTCTCACCATTGCACTCATAAACATTCATTATTTGTATACTAACGTCGAGGGGTTAAAGGACAGATAGACTACTTACTCCTTAGTGTGATGACAGCCCACTGCACTACAGGCATCTTCTCTACAATCTTGGAAGAAACCACTCCTTTAGATTGGGAAAATTGACTGGTTGTCTCTGGTCTTATCAGAGGTTTCTTGCCTTCGGCCAAAGCCAGGATGTCATTCTCTGTACATACAGATTCACAAAGAACTAACAAGTTACTTTCTTTCCTTAGAAAGGATCTTTCCACTGAAGTCAAATCGAACAGAACAACAGATGGTATAGTACTTGTTAAAGAGGAAATTAAGTTAAGGAGAATACACTCGCAAGTGTGGATTCGTAATTTAAGAATTCACGAGGCGCAAAGCGCCGAGTGAATTCGTAAATTAAGAATCAACACTTGCGAGTGTATTCTTCGACTTAAACCATTGCGTCAAAAGAAGTATTGGCATTAACAATAACAGTGAGTGGAGATGAAAAAACTTCGGAAAAATGTTGCAACCTGACGCCACTTCCGCGATGGTGTACAATTTTCTAAGTATTCCCTAACAAAATTGGAAATGTTTCTCAGTCCCAGATTCATGTCTTATCGTCATTTTTGCAATGAATGACCTTCATTGAGATGATTATGAAGAAAAAAGTGGCGTCAGATCAAGGGCGGATCCAAGGGGGGGAGGCCAAAAAGGGGCCATGGCCCCCCCCCCCCCAAAACGAAACCACTTTTTTTTATTTTTTTATGTGACATCGCAATAAAGGCAGGCAATACACCACCATATTTTCCTCAAAAAAAACATTGGTTAAAGTGGTCAGAAATTGCCTCAGATCGCACCACAGAGCATCTAGAATCCAAAAAATGTTCAGGGCCCTTAAGCGGGCCCCGAACCCCACGCCGTAATTTTTTGGACCCACTTTTTTGGGGGACCAAAATTTTTTTTGGCCCCCCAAAAAATTTTGGTCTGGATCCGCCCTTGCGTCAGATTGCAACATTTTTCCTGGCTCCTTCCGTCGACATATGGATAGTTCATACGATGATTTCTTTCTGACTCGAAGTAGATTTTGCAGTGACGGCGGAGAATCTGACAGTGAAGATGCATTACATGTAGTTCTTTTGGAAAAAAAGTTTTCACGCATTCGGTCCTGTTAATGCTCATTATGGAGAACAATTGTCCAACATGTTCAAAGTGTGGAGATTCTTCGTTCCGAATCCACACTTTGTGACCAGCGTAACAAATTCGTAGTTCCGAATCCACACTTTTAACAATAGTGTGACGTCATAGCAATGGTTTAAACAATTATAACAACACAATGACAATTATTATACACTCAAAATGCAACATACAAAAGACAATTGTTAAATGCGTGGAAAAACACGATCAGATGCCCATTTTGACTTATCATTCTACTTTTGGAAATCCAATATGCTCATTAGAATGACAGCATTACTTCTTTCACATCGATAGGGATTGAGAATGTGTGACTGTCACCCCTTAAATATTGTTTTCTTTAAATCAAAAGAAAAGTTTTGATAAATTTATGATGTAAGCTTTGTAATTTTAGTTAACCAAATAAAAAAATGTGGTGCTAAAATGCACATTTCCAAACAATCCCTAACATAACAACTGACTTTGGTTTTGGTTTGGAAATTCGGCAAATTTTGATATAGTTTCATAGTGATTTTATATTTAATCATAAATGCACCTTTGAAAATTTAATTCAGTCAGTCCATGGAAATGGCTTCCTACTTCAATTTTCCAATTTCCAAATAATTAAAATTCTGCAAGTGAGACTTGCGCAATCCGCCTGGCATGCTGGCAGTTTTTATAATTCAGTGTCCCTAACCAAAATGGAAGATTTCTATTGTTTTAGCAACCTTTGACCTGTCCGCCCCAAAACTACTAAGCTTGTTAAGACTATCAAGCACAAACAAAATTTCACGTTCATGAGTAAAGTATTTCTCAAGTTATCATGCTGACAAGAGCTAAACTAACCAAAACATAACACACATATACACACAGTCGTGTTTTACTATACTATCGAGGACAATGCTTTGTCTTTTCCTTTGTCCCTGTAATATAACACTCTCCCATAGACTAAGCACACAAACGCATGACCGAGGACTGATTTCAACAAAAGATGAACTCTCGAGGACAACAAAGAATCTGTTGTTCTTCCTTTGTCTGTCTGTCCTCGGGGTGTATATAGTTCACGTACACATGCACAGACACATTTGTTTACGGTGTAAATCGAGGATTGTCTTTTGTTCCTCTTCCCTTTTCCTTTATTTGTACTTGTAACTTTTTCGCAACAGCTCTCATTGGTTTTGTTCACGTTTTCTATTTGGGGTCGTCCTCGATTTGATTCCTGTCGATTCACCAATGACGTTGCACGTGTGTGTCCTCGATTTACACCATAAACAAAAGCAGCTGTGTAAACACCGGCAACCATTCGGTTTCAGTTTCTGTCCTCGATTCATCGATGATGTTGCACGCATGTGTCCTGGAGTTACACCGTAAACACGCACGCACAGACACACAGAAGGAATACGCTATCGCAATATCCCCCTTCGGCTTACAGCCAGGGGGATAAAAAGCAAACCCGACTTTTAATATTATATAACCAACATACAGATCCTTGTCATTTGATTGGTGGAACTCACATCACGTGGCATTCGTTATTGCTCCCATTCATGCCGCGGCTCAAAAAGTACTATCCGCCCATGAGGAATGGGAAATACTAGTCAACAGTTAGGATCATGACGCGGTATTTGTGTGCAAATGCATGCTGATGTGCGCGTTCAGCGTTGCACGTAGCGCGTATTGTTCCAAAGAGCCAGCGCCAGCGCTACAGCGTTGGGTTCAAACATTTTCGTGAAGGGGTGGTTTGGAAGAGAGAAATACATTTTCCTCCAGTTTTGTATTGAAAAAAAGTTCAAATATATCAAATAACAAGGATCTATATGTCAGTTATATAAAACAAATATTGAGTGGCTTTTAATTGTGAAATGGGAGGAATATTATCGCTCGGTAAAATCTGGACTTTTCCAGTTCACTCGGCTTCGCCTCGTGAAATGGAAAAGTCCAGATTTTATCTTGCGATAATATTCCTCCCATTCCACGCTGAGCCACTCAATATTTGTATACTACGTGTCGGAGATGGATGTCTATGAGTGGACTGACCTGACACTAGAAAGTCTGGATTGACTCGTTGATATTCCACACAGGGACCACCTCGCTTCTTAGAAACACTACTTCCTGCAATCAATCGGCCAGATTCCCTCAGATACTTGGCTGTCTCCTAGTCAATGCAATGTACAGGACACAGGCATGTCATACAGGGAAGTACCGGTACAGTGACTGCCTATGGGCTCCGTGCACAAGTACCCCATCAACGGCCAGAAAAGGAGAGTTGGGGGGTGACCTAGACTGGGTCCCGATCCATCAACTGCGTATTTCGAATGTATCCACAGTTATTGGAGGCGGGGATTAGTCTTGGGGACCATCGCAAGTTGAATTCAAACTTATTCGCGCGCCGTCGACGCGCTCACGCGAAGACTCGGTGGCTATATCTTTTGCACATTCAGGAAGTCGTGCGTACTTCGCACGCGAACCAGTTCAGTACAGTACGCGCACGCTGTGTGTCCCGTCCACAGAGCTCTCAAAAGAAGTAAAAACGCGCCCTCTTTTGTTGGCGCACGGAGCCCATATGCATTGGGCAAATTTATGGGATTGTCTGAAATATGCATAGATTTGCTCTATGTGACCACAATCTGTGATATTGAGGCTAAAAGACATTTCACCTAGTGGTTGAAGAAGAGCTACTTTGCTGTCAATTCAATATATCACTCACTTTGACACCTTAAAGATATAGTCCATCATTTGTAATTTGTGCATTTTGTTCGTTTGAAGCAACAAAAAGGTTCAAAATCTAATGAAGGATACTGAACAACTACCCTGATGAAGTTTCAGCTCAGCTTCAGCTGTATATTCCGAGAAAAACAGCATTCTAGGATCTCAATTTCAAATCAAAAGTTGCTGAAACATGTTTTGAATTGTTTTGAATTGCAGCTATACGCGACGTCGCGCACTGATCCGACGAATTATAGCAAATGCGCTTGTGCGTTGTGCCAATGCTTGTGCGCGCTTCGCCAAATAACAAAACGAACTACTAATTTAAATTTTCCTGGAAAGGCCTTCTTTCGTTGATTACTTCAAAATGACAGCTTGCCAGAAAGAATAATTTCACAGGGAGTTTAGTTCCCTTACTATCTTTCAGCCAAGTTTGTTTTTCAACAATAATACGCCAGTTACTTTTCGGATGGCTGCAAATGATGGACTATAGCTTTAATATATGCAGGCATCATGTGGTTACAGCTGACTGTTCAAATTCATTTCCACTGTGCAAGATTTGTATTCAAGCTTATATACTAACCTGTAGCTGTGGGACTTGTGTATCATTATGGTGGATAAGCCATTTGCGAGTAACCTATACCCTTTGGGATTTACATTTGAAAAATGTCTGGTACATGTACAATGACTTGCTCAGAATGCTTGGCACATTTTAACTTTGAATTCTCCAGACCAAAGACACTGTTGCTAATCACAAGATTCGGGGCAAGCTCTTGCATAGTTACGTAAGAGACGTTCAGCATCAATACATCGTTCACAATGGGTGAGAATGGCACAAAGACACCCGACCATGCCGGAGCTGGGGGTTGCTAGCATAAGGCTTGCCCCGAATCACGTGATATTCAGTCTCTTTGGTCGGGAGAATGCTAGGTTAAAACGTGCAAAGCATTGTATTAAGTCAGCGTTCCAGATTTTATTCAAATTGAACTCGCAAATGGCTTATTGGATACCATGTACCAAACACACCTTAGCAGTTAGACCTACAGCAAGAGGTATATCATGACTAGTTGAGTGAATGAAGGACACACACGTACAAGATGCAGTGACCTACCAATTCCCTATGCAGTGGCTCTAGTCTTGGTGATCCTTTGTAGATCCATTCATTGCGTCCATCGTTAGGGAAGTTCACATTCACCAAAGAGCCATCCACCTCTATCACCTTAGCACGCCACCTATTGGTATACAGTCAGTATAAATCACATCATAACAACTGTCACAGAAACACTCAAAGATAACATGCAGTTGGATAAATTCATTGGAAGACTCAGCAAAATATATGGGTCATTCCACCGGGTTGGGAAGCAGTGCATGTTACAATGTACATCCATATATTTGGTTATATTATTAAAAGTATCAATGCATTCTAAACAATTGCTCAACATAATATTTGTCTTAGGGTGTTTCATTTTTTGAGAAAGTACTTTGACAAAAATTTGAGCAAAAATGTATTAATTCGGACGTAACCAATTTTTACACGTATGTAAAATATTACCCAAACTAACATTGCATATTTACAACTTGACACCTAAGCACCAAGAAAAGCTTTTGTTTTGGTATAGTCAGGGTTCAAATATAGCAGAAACAATACCTCAAGTGTGGATGTAACGGTGTAAAAATCACTCAATGGAAGTGTGACATTTGGGTTTTACACCATGTAAATGTTACGTCCACACAACCAAGCTATCATTTCTGCTCCATTTGATACCTGACTACCATAACAAAAGCTTTTCTTATTGTGTTGCATGTATAGTAAGAAGTACGCAAAGTGAAAATCGGGTTCAGGATTAAGACTCAATGCAAACGGTTAAATTGTGGTTGAAACGCGGTGGATTACTTTTTAACCGTCCGACTGCATTTTCAACCGTGCACAGTTTCACAGTGTCACAGCTTATGTGTTAAGTCCGGTATAGGGGCCAGCTGTACTTGTCAATGGCAACTCCATCAATAAGGCCAACACAAAAAATACTGTGCGTCAACCTTTTTTTTCTCTTCAAATTAACACGGAAAATACAACAGTGCCCTCTATTGCTGCACCTCCTCAAATTTGTGTACCAAGGAATGGGGAAATTGCACCAAGGCAAATGATAAAGGGCACCAAGACAAATTATGGAGGACACAATGTATAATGAGGACACAAAAAAGCAAAATAGTACCCACCTTGTCTGTACAATTCAATCTTGAAAAAAAAAAAAAGCCATAAAAACAACAACAAAAAACGCGTCGCTGCATTAATTCCGGAACTTCGGTCTGACCAGAGACCGACTATTGTTTTTTTTTTTGGCCTAATAAGCTACTTACCACACTCCTTTCCATTCTGTTTTGACACACTGACCACGATGTAAACGGACCATGGGCCTCTCAGGATACTTCTCTAAATATTCTTGAATAAACTCCTTCGTGTCCTCTGGTACATCTTCCCACACATTATCACCTACAAAACAAGAATCATATATGGTGAAATGACAAGCTATTTCACAAAGTAAGTAGTGTTGACTAGTCTCAATTCAAGACCATAATCAGTCGTTGCCAAGTTTTGATAAATCTGATCAAGTTATACATTTAACTTTGGCTACTTGGTTCCTCGGTTGGTTCTTCTCCTAAGGACTCCGCAGGGGAGTTTGAACAGGACGCCAGAAATTCTGGATGTTAACCATGATCACATTAATAAAAGGACAAATTTATTTCAAAAAAAAATTGCCAAATGAGAATGCTTCATTCACTCTCAATGTGTGAATTAGCCAAGAAGAAATACGGACAGTATAAGATTGATGCAAAGCGTTTGGGAGTGAGAATGTGCTTTTCAGGTAACATGCACAACTTTCATTGAGTGCTTGCCATGCATGCCATGTGCGAAATATCACTACATACACTAAAGAATCCCACACATTCCTCCAAAGTTATTTCCCTCGTGTTTATTTTTTTTTAAAGTTGGTAGTCAACAATTACATTTTGTTAAAGCTATAGTCCATCATTTGCAGCCACCCGAAAAAGTAACTGGCGTATTATTGTTGAAAAACATACTTGGTTGAAAGATAGTAAGTGGACTTAACTCCCTGTGAAATTAATCTTTCTGGCAAGCTATCATGTTATATTAATCAACGAAAGAAGGCCTTTCCAACGGTGCGTCTTAAGACGCATCATAGGAAAATTTTAACTAGTAGTTTGTTTTGTTATTCGGCGCATCATGTATACATGAAACTGCAATTCAAAACAATTCAAAACATGATTCAGCAACTTTTGCTTTGAAATTGAGATCCTAGAATGCTGTTTTTTTTCGGAATAAACAGCTGAAGCTGAGCTGAAACTTCATCAGGTTAGTTGTTCAGTATCCTTCATTAGATTTTGAACACCTTTGTTGCTTCAAACGAACAAAATGCACAAATTACAAATGATGGACTATATCTTTAATTAAACACTTTTTTAAACACAGGTCTTAATATTTCAATTCATATACAAATAATGCACCACTGGTGGGAATTTACTCAGTGTAAAATTAAAAAAAATACTAGAATTTGTCTATCACTTAGATTTTGACAGATGAATTTGTCCGTTATGTCCATAAGCAAAAACCCTAGGACACTATATTAGTTATCCCGCGATCGTGAGTGGAACACGGAAAAAAGTAGTGCGTCTGCAGACACAGACGCACTACATTTTCCGTTTTCCACGAGCGCGAGCTTGATAACGAATTTATCTTCAAGCAAACTTGACGCGCAGTACAATTGGAACGAGCATGCACATTCAGCAGTTTAGCGTATGCAGCCGGAATGTCGCTCGCATCTTGGAATAGCGCAATACGCGGAGTGCGGTATGGACCAAGGCCGTGCTACATGGTTATATGTAGCACGGCTTGTTGCCATGGATCGACCAATCAGGATCGAGGATTCAAGTTTACTTAAACATAACACTTATTGTACTTACTGGCTTCATGAACTAAATGTATCTTCTTGAGACCATGGTATTGTGTGTAGCCATCATCAAAGAAGATGAGATATCTGGCCTTATTGCTATGGAGTGGTACTTCAGCTACAATGCCAGCATACAGAGTGCATTGCGATGTTTTCTCTCCACTCTCACATTCAGCTGCAAACACAGAATTTAGAAAAGTCCAATTGTTCAGAAATCACAACCTTGTACGTGTCAATCTACCAATGTATGCTTACCATGATGCTGCTAATTTTGTACAAGTATCTTAACAAATCGATAGTGGTTCCGGGATGATATATACACTGAGATACATCACATCTGAGTTTGACACTAGTGCAGGAAAGGCCAAGTTCAGGCAAGAACCATCAGTCGACTAGTGGTTGATTTGTGACATACCTTACGCCTGCGCACTGGTAGCAACATGCGAACGTCTCTAGTCAAACGCTGGTCAAAATGTCATCGCAAAACTTCTGGATCCTGGCTCTCTGCTAGCGTTATGAATGCGCGCGGCTATTGGTTACCAGCGAAGCAACCAACCCCAGTAGGCTGGTTCCAAATAGTCGACTAGCGTAGTCAACCACCGTCGACTAGACAGAGTTCGGGCAAGCGTTAGTTAACCATTGGTCAACTATAGTTCTTGCGCGAACTTGGCCAAAGCAGCAGGTCATGGACTAGGTGTTCTGCAGGAGACAAGCGGTCATGCCTTTCTCATGGACTTTATGAAACAAATTACAATGGTAAAGGGTAAAGGGAATTGGCATTTTACCAATAAAAAAGAGTACATAAACGAAATGTTTGCGTGCATGGAAACAGTATTAAAAATGTACCAGTTTAAAGCATGCGTGTGTGTGCCCAAAAAACATGGGAAATGTTAACATTTTACTCTCCCCTTCTTTTCAAATCACGCCCCTGCCCTTCACCTTAAACAAATGCTGGAGAGAAGACTGTCATGTATACTGCATGGCAAGTGATCGACCTCAACACAGATACTAAAGACTTTGAGCTGTAGTCAAGAAAGTCATGAACACAAATGCAGTGCATTGCAAGCATTGTCTGGACTCACCTACTACACGGCTACCCACATGGACTCTGGATGGCTTAGGGAAGGATTTCACAGCAATATGCTTCCCTGATACCAAGGAGTTACCCTTGCTATCAAACTTCAATTTGAATTTTTGCTGAAATAAAAGCAAAGACCGTAACACTAAGCTGGTGAAATGATGAAACGACTGACAAAGAACATTGTACTCATCTATAGATGAAAACATGAAAAGGTAATTTCCAAGTAAATAGAGTAACAATGTTGCAATTATAAGAATATTTTTTCATATTAATCCTCGGAGTCGAGTGACCAAAAAAATCACACCGTGAAACCACATGGAGAATTTTAGGTCAATAATCCCCTCATGTTTCTAGGTCAATAATCCCTTCATGCACAAGATATAGGCAGGTCACATGGCCTTTGTGTGGGCCAGGATTGTTTACTACCTGTCTGAGCTCTGGGCGGCACGAGGGGTTGACACAGAGAGATCGGCGGCACAAAGGGGTTGGCCACTAAGATCTCCAAATACTGCACAAAGGCATTAGGCGCCTCTTGGGGCTGCTGTCTTTCAACACTCCTCACTCTGCAGTGGTTAGGGTCTGGCCAATGGGAGTCTAAAGGTTTGTGGTGTATAACAGGGGTGAGGATTACATGGAATCTTGGCCTTATTGGCCCATTGAAAAAAAATTAAGACCATATTTGGAAAATGTGGAGAATTTTATCACCATGTGGCCACACCGAGGGTAAAAAATCTGAATGTTTGTCTGAGCACATTATATGGGAAGCTGCCCTCAGGTCGACCTAGCAACGACACAGATCAGTGGGCAACTGACTTTTCAGGATCAAGCTGCACCTGAACTAAGACCCTCGGAAACAAATTACTCGCCGATTTTTTGTGACCCGAGAGTGATTGCGATGACATTAAGAGGATCGGAATCAGTTGGCGTTAATAAAAAAAAATCAACAGTCGGAAGAGCCGAAACAATTCAACTTTTACGACGTGTTCCCTGATGGGTGGGAACCAATCGCAGTCGACCTGTGTTAATGTTCGATGTCGTGCGCACATATCAAGACTATCCTTTTTCATTGTGTACCCAATCAACACACACCACCGGTGCTCGTGGGTTACTGGTATTGCTCACGATGCATTGCATGTATTGGGGAAAATGACTTGAGCGAAATGGAGACTTATAAAACCGACTTACAGCGCGATCCAAAAAACGTACATGTAGTATGCTTTTCAATGTACATTATACATGTACTTCCGAACCCGAACGGAACTGATGTTTGGAAAAAAACAGGACATAGCCCCCAACATTTCAATGTGATCTAATTAAAACAAATTTGGTATCAAATCAAAGCTAAAAGTCTGAATTTTCATAATCTGCATGGATTTAGCAAATTCTGTATCATTTAATTATTATTAAAAAAAAAATTGGCATATTTAATTAGCATGCTTTTAAGTTTAAGGAAAAGAAAAACACACACACCTTATAAAAAGATGAAACTTACATGGGATGTAGAAGTAAACATTACATAAACAATTCTTGCATTTATTTTCGTGTAGAATACTTATGCTTCAGTGTCCTCAAGCATTTTCACTCTATAACTCAAAACAGTTTGGAATGTTGGATCTGGATATTACATTGTCTAATGCATGCATTCACCACAGTACACTCCGTACACATTTGTGGTATTCCTGATGATCTATTTCATGTATTTACCTGTGAAGTATTGTCCTTGATGATACTGATGATGGTTGCGTCAATATTACATTGTCTAATGCGTGCATTCACCACAGTACACTCTGTACACATTTGTGGTATTCCTGATGATCTATTTCATGTATTTACCTGTGAAGTATTGTCCTTGATGATACTGATGATGGTTGCATCAATATTACATTGTCTAATGCATGCATTCACCACAGTACACTCTGTACACATTTGTGGTATTCCTGATGATCTATTTCATGTATTTACCTGTGAAGTATTGTCCTTGATGATACTGATGATGGTTGCGTCAATATTACATCGTCTAATGCATGCATTCACCACAGTACACTCTGTACACATTTGTGGTATTCCTGATGATCTATTTCATGTATTTACCTGTGAAGTATTGTCCTTGATGATACTGATGATGGTTGCGTCAATATTACATTGTCTAATGCATGCATTCACCACAATACTCTTTGTGCACATTTGTGGTGATCCTGATGATCTATTTGATGTATTTACCTGTGAAGTATTGTCCTTGATGATACCGATGATGGTTGCGTCAATATTACATTGTCTAATGCGTGCATTCACCACAGTACACTTTGTGCACACTTGTGGTATTCCTGATGATCTATTTGATGTATTTACCTGTGAAGTATTGTCCTTGATGATACTGATGATGGTTGCATCATGCCATGTGTCACCTTTCTTCATGTTCTTAGCAAGAACTCTGGAGCCTTGGGTCAGCTGAATCGAACTAAGACAAAAAGAAAAAAAAGAGTAGCATCAAAATGACTGAACTATTCAATCATTTATTCCAAAATACAAACCCCCCCCAAAAAAAACTATTTGTTGAACAGAGTACGTCACACATAAACAAATATTACCGAAGGTTCTATGAAGGGTATAAGTACACAATCCAGATAAAAGTGTAAACGAAATTTCAGCTTCCTCCATCGGGTAAAAATATTTGCAAAAGTTGTTATAATTTGTTTCGCTACAGCAGCAGAAGTTCATACCCTGGACGTCAGTGGTCATAATGCAGTGTAGAGGTCGTCCAGCACAGCCTGGGCCCAGCAGGGTGGTACATGTATATAACAACGCATATTAAAGAGTACCACACTTAAAGGGAATATACATCATTTGCTTTTGCTGTAATTTTCAGAAATGGATGGAATTGGGGGGTTGGAAATATATAGCAAATATAGTTACACAGACTTTTTTGAGGTTTTGGGTTCGAAAATGCTATAAAAACCAAGAAAAACAATCGTTTTCCTGTAGTTTGGTTCCCTGACTCCATATAAGAAGAAACAGAGCAGTTTACATGCATTGGGGAATTGTAAGGTCAGGGAACCAGTCTAGCTGGCTTGTACCCGTTCATAGGTGTGTAATCGATTGCAAACAAGTGCGATGGTCAATTGGGGCCAGTATTTGAAAAAAAAACAGTTTTTTCCAACGCTGGTCGGCCGATCAGCGTTGGAAATTGATACAAAAATACCACTTTTTTTGAAAATGACAGTATACCTGATTTTACAGGATGCTTTACACTGTCATTCACTAACAGTCCAGCAAGGAATTTCAAAATGATTTGGTAGTTTTATTTTATGATGTTTGCAAATGTTGTATTTTCCCTTTAAGCTAACATATGGCCACTGAACATGAACACAAAAAAGTCTGGAAATACCGCTGAAGAATAGTCACAAAATTGGAGCTTTTTAACTGTTTGTTTCATTATAAAAGTATTTATTTGACCTCGCCTTCAGCTCTGTCCATGAACAGCGGCCATCCCCAACCCGGTCATTATCACGCAGTGACGACTGGCTCCTCACACTGCTATCGCTTAAGTCCCAGTCACACATTCACGGTTTAGAGCTACGATCATCCACGGTTTGAAATTCGTGGACATACGTAGCTCATTCCTGGTAGAAATCTCTACGAATTCGCTACGAATGTCCTACAGATATGCCCGGATGTGATAGGGTTCTGCTAAGGCTGTTCTACAAATAGGAGAACTGTACGAGAACCTTGGTCATCCTTGGCCCAATTGCAGACAACCGTGGCATCATTATTCTTAGTAATACCGTCGATATTCTTCAACAATCCGTCTATATTCATGACAAACAGTGGTGTATTCGTAGAGAAACCGTGGGACAGTTGTGGCTATCCGTCCTGAAACCCTTAGAAAGGCAATTTCTTGGTTGGTTCTTCTCCTAAATACTCCACGTGGGAGTTTATACAGGAGGCCAGAAACACCGGGGCAAACCCCTTCTCTTAGCGATAAGTGTTTACTGGGTTCTTTTACGTGCATTTATGCAACACACGGGACCTACGGCTTAACGTCCCATCCGAAGGACGAAGCAATAATGGTTAAGTGCCTTGCTTAAGAGCACAAGCGTTCGCCGGCGGGCTTGGACCCACGTCACTGTTGCCTCTGAAACACCAGAACGTGAGTCCGGTGTTCTTAACCGCTAGGCCATCACACTCCAATTTCTCCACGAATCTCGATGGTTCATCGTGATGGATTGATTCTTGATAAACCGTAGATATTCATAGTTCCAACTGTGAATGTGTGACTGGGGCTTAAATATTGACTACTTTGACCAATGGTGTACCGGTGATCCATGGAGTGTTCCATTTCCCTCGGCAAACAAAACGCTCCATGAATCACCTCGGGAGACTAGTTTTTTATACTACGCCACTCAAAGCAGTCAATATTTGTACTTAAACCATTGCTATGACGTCACACTATTGTTAAAAGTGTGGATTTGGAACTACGAATCTGTTACGCTGGTCATAAAGTGTGGATTCGGAACGAAGAATCTTTAGTAAAGTGTGGATTCGGAATTACGAATCCACACTTTGAACACGTCAGACAATTGTTCTCTATAATGAGCATTAATAGGACCGTATGCGTGAAAATATCCTTCCGAAATTACGAATGCATCTTCACTGTCAGATTCTCTGCCGTCACTGCAAAACCTACTTCGAGTCAGAAAGAAATCATCGTCTGAACTATCAATTTGTCGATGGAAGGAGCCGCGACGAATGTTGCAACCTGACGCCACTTTTTTATCCATATATCATCTCAATGAAGGGCATTCATTGCAAAAATGATGATAAGACATGAATCTGGGACTGAGAAGTATTTCCAATTTTGTTAGGAAATACTTTTACAAAAATCTTGACTCTCCATATACTTTGTACACAATCGCGGAAGTGGATCAGGTTGCAACATTTATCCCAAGTCTTTTCATCTCCACTCACTGTTAATGCCAATACTTCATTTGACGCAATGGTTTAAGTCGAAGAATACACTCGCAAGTGTGGATTCTTAATTTACGAATTCACTCGGCGCTTTGCGCCTCGTGAATTCTTAAATTACGAATCCACACTTTCTCGTGTATTCTCCTTAACATATTACATGGGCCCCTTAAATTTTGAAGAGAATCTGATCGTTTACCTATCCTGAATATGCGTCGTCTTTATCTTAGTCTGGATACACTCTATAACATCCTGGTCATCTTCCATAGGACTACTGTCGTCTCCATCACATAGATCAATCACTTCACCAACATTATAAGGCTTGGGCTGACTTGCCGTAACAGATTTCAAACTCTCTGATGTCTTACTGCCCGGCTCAGGTTTGACATGCATCGTCTTTGGCTTTGACATCACTGAAAAACATCAAACCAATCAATATAAAAATCAACAATGATACACTACAATATACAAGAAAAACTGAAACAAAATTCATAAATACACAGACAGTTTACCCATTCTGATTGGTCGACAGCCCGTCACATGGGAGGTTTTAAACCACCGGTAAAACTTGAGTGCGTTCTGTGCCACATCCTGGAGAACTCAGATGTTTAACACTATGAGCAATGCATATATATACCACTGACATGGCCAGAGGGTTTTTCACAAAACATGAAGTAAACTTGTTGAACAAAATATAGTTTCAAATTTGTGATTTTTTTTACTTGCTTTGATTTTTGACCGAAAGGTATTTACGAATGGGAACAAATATGTGTTTGGCCGGTGTCTAGGCCTTAGCCGGTTTAAAAGATATAGTCCATCATTTGTAATTTGTGCATTTTGTTCGTTTGAAGCAACAAAAGTGTTCAAAATCTAATGAAGGATACTGAACAACTAATCTGATGAAGTTTTAGCTCAGCTTCAGCTGTATATATTCCCGAGCATTCTAGGATCTCAATTTCAAATCAAAAGTTGCTGAATCATGTTTTGAATTGCAGCTATACGCGATGTCGCGCACTGATCCGACGAATTATAGCAACTGCGCGCGCTTGTGCGTCGTGCCAATGCTTGCGCGCGCTGCGCCGAATAACAAAACGAACAACTAATTTGGAAAGGCCTTCTTTCGTTGATTACTTCAAAATGATAGCTTGCCAGAAAGATTAATTTCACAGGGAGTTAATTCCACTTACTATCTTTCAACCAAGTATGTTTTTCAACAATAATACGCCAGTTACTTTTTTCGGATGGCTGCAAATGATGGACTATAGCTTTAAACGTACTTGTTTACAACCGGACAAGCACATATATATTTCCTATACTTATTATTAGTTAAACTACAATGCGCATTGTACCCGTGCTCAAAATACGGTCTTCTAATCCACAAAATGAACATCATAAATTAAAGCTATAGTCCATCATTTGCAGCCATCCGAAAAAGTAACTGCCGTATTATTGTTGAAAAACATACTTGGTTGAAAGATAGTAAGTGGACTAAACTCCCTGTGAAATTAATCTTTCTGGCAAGCTATCATTTTGAAGTAATCAACGAAAGAAGGCCTTTCCAAAATTTAAATTAGTAGTTCGTTTTGTTATTCGGCGCAGCGCGCGCAAGCATTGGCACGACGCACAGGCGCGCGCGGTTGCTTTAAGTCGTCGGATCAGTGCGCGATATCGCGTATAACTGCAATTCAAAACAATTCAAAACATGATTCAGCAACTTTTGATTTGAAATTGAGATCCTAGAATGCTGTTTTTCTCGGATTATACAGCTGAAGCTGAGCTGAAACTTCATCGGATTAGTTGTTCAGCATCCTTCATTAGATTTTGAACACTTTTGTTGCTTCAAACAAACAAAATGCACAAATTACAAATGATGGACTATAGCTTTAAAAGGTCACGACAATCACAGAGTGTAAACACAGAATATTGACAGATGATATGAGCTCTCTGTGGTAGACAAACTAGTTCCCAGAGAATATACATCTAACAAGTGTAGGTGACTGTCTGGCTACAAATCGTTAACCCCTTGACGCCGGCTGACGGTGGTGACCGCAGCTCAATGAAGGGTGATGAGCCGGGGAACGCTGTGGCCGCATTCCTGCTGCATGGCCGCATTCATTCATGGACCACAGCCAAACGCCTGCACGTACACATTCCACTCAAAGTGCAGCTGTACGTGGCCGACCAATACCGGCGTTAAGGGGTTCATTAATAATGCACTTACCAAAACTGAACATTCCTGAAATAGAGGTACAAGACTCTGTTACATTTCCTGTACAGAAACTGAAACGTTAGTGAAATGAGCACACCGCAAATACCAAATGTTTGGCTTAGCATGACCAGTTATAAACTTAATTATCTTATTATAAGATTGAATTTTGCGTGGGGGTGATATAAATCAAATTAGGTTTTGCCCTGCACCGACGTTTAAACACTGTATACTCAGTGTGTTACCTCCCGAGTGAAAGTTGGAAAAAATCACTCAGGTGGGACTCGAACCCACGACCTCCTGCTTTCTAGTGCAGTTGTCTTACCACTCGACCACCGAGCTAACGGGATCGGTTGGCTGGATCGAATCTGATGTACATAGCAGCGGGTACCGCAGGGCAAAACCTAATTTGACTTAATTATCTTAAGAATATTACCTGTGGTTGACTGTTTGGAATGTGTGTTGGCTGAGGGTTTGTCTACAGACGTGACAGGTTTAGCAGCGCTGACGGTCTGTTGATGGGATGCTACTGAGGAAGAAGCGTCTATCTGCTTGCTACCACCTTGCACAGTCCTAGGTTCACAGACATCTTGTGAAGCATCTTGTCTTGACGAACTAGTACTGTCTATCTTGTTTGCTGTGACATTGTCACAGGGCTTGGTGTCTGTTGACAGGATCGCTTGCTGATCAGTGCTTGCTTGTTGACTGTCTGCATCACAGTGGTTGGTCTCTCCCGTTTCTTTCTTCTCAGTATCATTACAAGTTGCATCCATGAGCTCAAGATCCTTATCAGATGGACATTTAGGTGATGGTTGAGATGATGAGTCATCATCACTGTCCACAAACACAAAGACTCCCTCGCTAGTCTGATCATCATTTGCATCATCATGACATGTCTCAAGCGCACTATGATGACAAATAAAAATATTAATGAAAGCATTAACATTTTATGACTTAGTGTGCAACAAAACATTGAATGACTATATATTTCTGAATGAGATAAGACTTAAGATTGAGTGGTAAGACATCAGCACTAGAAAGCAGGAGGTCATGGGTTCGAGTCCCACCCGAGTGATTTTTCCAACTTTCACTCGGGAGATAACACACTGAGTATACAGTGTTTAAAAACGTCGGTGAAGGGCAAAAACCTAATTTGATTTATATCACCCCGACGCAAAAATTCCATCTTATAAGAGATAAGACTTGCAAATCACAACAATTTTAAGTTAACTATACAAGTTCAATATTATGTCACCAGAAGATGCTTTGGACAAAACCAAAATGTAAAGGTACTTGCAATACACATGTGCCACACTGGTCTTTGGAACAGTATGTTATGTGCCAACTGCATGGGCTCACTCTATCCAGATGGGATTAATATAGAATTCGGGCGATTCACAATGCAGAGCGCCACCAATAGTTTGCCACAGAGAGTTCATTTTTCCCAGTGCATTGTGGGAGATGGTCGACAAATTCGCAGTGCGGGACATTTGAAATTGTTTGGGTTTTTTTTCGGTCAGTACCGGTAGTTTCGTAAGCGTATGATTTGAGTATGTTTGCCCTTTTCTTTTCTTTGTATCAATATGGTGAGTTTTGGTAAGGGGGCAGAACGCTATGTCCGAATCTATAACAAATTAGCTCAAGTTGTCTACTGACACTCATTCCAATGGGCCATATTTTGTCGACCGTAAACTTGAGAAGTTGACTCTCCATGGCAAACTCTTGGTGGCGCACTGCATTGTGAATCGCCCGAATTAACCGCGTTTCTTCCACCAGCACTACATCACTACCCATAACTGCACTGATGCATCGCACCAAAAGCTCGGCAACAACTACCTGGTGAGTGCTGTTTTTACTTCTGTTATTCACACTTTTCAATCTACATGTATATCAAGCTGATGAAAAAGTGTTGATTGTGGTTTGGGGGAATTTTTCAAAACCTCGCTTCTTTATAGGTTGCAGACTAGTAAATCGGTCCGAAATCACGATTTGCATGCCCTCAAAATCTTCAGTATTTGAGCATGCTGTGGGCCATGAACTTGAGGGTTTGTAAAAAATATGGGTGGAAGCCGTGCACAGGACTGGGAGCTTGTAGTTCCGTTCAATTTGGATGAAATTGGGGCCCTTAAAGCGCTCTATTTTGCAATGGAGTGTAGGCATCGTTTTTCAAAATGGCGATGGGCTTCAGGACTATTTTCAGGGGTGATCATCTTCGGATGGAAGTTTCTCCTAAAAGTCATCAGTTGATTCCCCAAAAATTGAAAAGAAAATGAAAGATGATGAAATAAGCTTTAATTTGATGTGTGTCTCGATCACCTTGGAGAGTTGTGAGTATTTTTCCTGAATTTCTGAAGTGGGAGCATTTACCATTGGGGTCTATGGAAGTTTATTTACTGGTCTGCAACCTTAACCCTAACTCCCAAGGCATCTTTGCTTGGATGCAACCTCAATCCTGCAAAATCCTCCAACTGCCTCCATGTAAAAATTGCACACAGCCTCAAACCTCCAAACCATCCATTATTTATGGAATGTGGTCCTTGGAGGGGTGACCACTGCCTCAATCCGGCAAAATCCTCCAGCAATCACTGTCAATATGTTGAGGCAGAGCCAGTGACATCCTGGAGCAGTGCGGAGGATTTCAAGTATAATCTAGGCCTAACTTAACGCACAGCTGAGCATAACACAAGGTCCGGCCCAAGACCTTGACACAGTGCATCCTCCAAAATCAGCCACACATTTTTGCCATACAGCTCAATCCTGCAAAATCCTCCATTTTGCAAAGAGGATTTGGGAAGGTAAGGATTCAGCATACCCAAGATACATGATGTTGAGCTGATGCATCTTCATAAGTCATTGTCCACTATGTATAACATAAAAGTGACAATCTTTACGATACCAATACTTTCTCATTACATATTCATCCCACAGACGCAACTTGTGTACGTACTCTATTTTTAAATGAAGGTCCTGAAGATCACTCTTCACTTTGCTCATCGAGTCTGCAACATCAGCATAAAATCCTGTGGTAAATGAAGAATATTAATTGGGGAAACAATTTAATTTCTGTCCTTGTGACTGACTTGTGAGGACTTTCCTAAAACTCTGACATAAAAAGATTGTTGAAGGGGGGGGGGAGGTGTCTCATTTAAATTATAAAAGACACTTGTTTGGTATTTTATTATTGCGATTGTTAGTTTAAATGCTGCACTAAGCTTATCTGAGCTTGTACTTAGCTATGACATTGACAGCTGCTGCATGCAAACCAGTGTAGTACTTGGTGGGTCTTGTGCTGATGAACAACCAATAATCACATTCGTTTTATAGCAAAAGTTCGTGTTTGGCTGAAGCTACATGTATGTAACTGAAAGATGGAATTTAGTTTTATCTTGTATTCATAAATACCTACGACAGTTTACCCATTCCCATTGGTCAAGAGCCCATCACGTGGCCAGTCTAAAGGGCCTGTCACATTATATGCGATCTCATAGGGACCTTACGGCAACCAATTTTTTTCCATAAATTTAACAATCGCAGCGAGGACGCAATATAATGACAACTTTCTGTCTCAAAGAAGCTCAAGCTACGCTCATACTGTGCTCTTCCCGCGCTTACGATGTGTTCAACTCGCTCTCTATGCGCCCCTGTCAAGCCCAATTACTCGATCTAGTCGCTGCCGCTGCGCTGTCACTGCGCCCACACTACACTCTGCTCGCTGTTGATAGCATGCGTCGCACTCTCTATTCGACCAAAATACGCTCATGTGACGTCACTTGTACTGTATAAATACCACGACAAAACGGTCAATACAAAGTCCAGTTTAAAAAAATTATTCTACAAGTTCATCGCAGTCGAGTTACTTTCTCATGAAGACTACGTCGACTGCCTTGCGCCTAAGCTGCCTCAATGCCATTTCAATGTCGCACAATTCACGCTCGCACAGCGCCCGAGTTGCGTCATTACGGTGCCCTGGCCTGAGCACAGAGGTGTTGCGATTGTTTTGAGCATGTTCAAAGACCTTGGCGCTCATCGGAGACCATTAAGACCCTCTGGCGCCCATTTGGCGACCTATGTAGTTGTCGCTGCGATCTAGTAGTTGTTGTTGCGCCCCAGCTACTTTTCAAGGACGCAGTGAGAGCGCATACATGTATAAGATCGCAGACAGTGTGACAGGGCCTTTAGATGGTTGATACAGACCGGCTGGCTGGTCTTAAACACTTTCCAGTGTCACATGAGATTTTGACTCCTATGAAATCCGGTCCCATTTACTCTTTTATTGGTTGAACGTTCACAATCCTCACGTAGGCATGCCCAACACTACCAGTGAGTCAGTATTTCACAGTCCTAAATTCACAATACACTGGCACAGCTACATGTACGTTCGGCACAGCTACGTTCTGCACAACATCTTGCAGTACGCGCGAAGCGTGCGAGCACGCCAATCTCCATATATAAGGCCAAACAAAAAGTCTCCGGTTTCTGGTATGGAGTTTCCCCAAAAAGTGGTGCGGCGACGCGGCCTTTTTTTTTTTTTAGGTCTTTTTTGCTTCAAATGTCGGCTGATGACTGCAAATGGTGCCTGACTAAACTTAGTGCAAATATATGGGAGTACGGAGAGGCCACATAAAGCTTATTCTCGATCATAACCCCATCTAAAAACACGTTACAATTGTGCAGCAGCAGGATTCCAGTCAAACCAGTGAGTTTGGCAGTTTTGAGACATCATCTTTTATTGAAAAAAAAACCTTTTTCATTTTGCTGACGCGCATGGCTACGGCGACGCGCGCGCATACCAGAAACCGGAGACTTTTGGGGGGGGGGGGGCCTAAGGAGCTGTTTATGACTACTCGTAAGAGGGACACACCATAATATAGCTAGAGGGGTGTTTCAAAAAACATAGAGTAAAATTGTTGAACAAAATCTTTGGAAATTTAAATTTTTGACTTGTTTTGACTTCTGGCCCGAAAATTTTTGGTTTTTTGACCGAAAAGGTATTTATTACCCCCAACTCCCCACTGTCTGTTACTAAGTACTGGACCAAGTCCGCCAAATCCATCAATCACACTGCTTCCAATGCATGCTTTGCTTTAGGCCTCCAGGCCCAAGTCCATCATACTCCATCAATAGTTAGTCAAATCAGGCCTGCAGGACCAAGTCCCCTAAAATCCACCAAAATGGGGGGAGGGATTTTTATAGAGTTGGGGAGGTTAGGGTTATATAATTATTAATTAATTAATGGGAATAAATATGTACACAATGTTTAAGATCGATTTAGAGTCTGGACACTGATAATCAGCATCCAGACTCCAACCGGTCTTAAACATAGTGTTTAAAACCAACCAAGCACACATTTATTCCCTTACTAATTAAATGACACTTTTTAAAATCTCCTAAAATACAGCTGGGGAGATCTCAGAAATGCAAAGAGCAATTGTTGTGACATATTGTTTGCTAACAGAGACATCCATGCTTAGGAAATAGGCACAAAGCAAACTCAGTCAAATCAAGCATTTTTTCGCCTACAATATGATGAAACAAAACAGAAGAAAAACTCAGATTACAAAGAAAAGGAAAAGAAAATATATAAAAACAGTAAAAAACAAGTCAGGTGTGTTTACAAACACAAATGCCCCGCAACCGTGACTGTTTCCATGACATAACACCACTCTAACATCAACTTACATGTACCTTGGTCAAATGGAACGTTCATTGACAGCATTAGTGTCTTCTGTAGGTTTTATATGAATTAATCCCTTATCCCTATGATCTCAGAATAAATACAAGATTTCTATTGTTTTAGCCACTGTGACCTTGACCCTTGACCTTTTGACCCCCAATGCGATAGGCTTCTTAGGATTGCCAAGGACAATCCACAAACCAAATTTGAAATTCATATGTAAAGTATTTCTCAAGTTATCGCGCTGACAACATTTCTATTGTTTCAGCCACTGTGACCTTGACCCTTGACCTTATGGCCCTAAATGCAAAAGGCTTCTTAGGATTGCCAAGGACAATCCACAAACCAAATTTGAAGTTCATATGTAAAGTATTTCTCAAGTTATCGCGCTGACAACATTTCTATTGTTTCAGCCACTGTGACCTTGACCCTTGACCTTTCGGCCCCAAATGCAAAAGGCTTCTTAGGATTACCAAGGACAATCCACAAACCAAATTTGAAGTTCATATGTAAAGTATTTCTCAAGTTATCGCGCTGACAAAATTTCTATTGTTTCAGCCACTGTGACCTTGACCCTTGACCTTTTGGCCCCAAATGCAAAAGGCTTCTTAGAATTGCCAAGGACAATCCACAAACCAAATTTGAAGTTCATATGTAAAGTATTTCTCAAGTTATCGCGCTGACAACATTTCTATTGTTTCAGCCACTGTGACCTTGACCCTTGACCTTTCGGCCCCAAATGCAAAAGGCTTCTTAGGATTACCAAGGAAAATCCACAAACCAAATTTGAAGTTCATATGTAAAGTATTTCTCAAGTTATCGCGCTGACAAGATTTGTCCGGACACACACACCCACACACACATACTTGTTTCACATGACTAGTGTGGACTTTCCATTGCTTTCGTGTAGTTAAGAAAAACCAGTGAAAAAACTCATTTTTCTCAAACTGTGAAAACTCTTTCAACCCAATTTTTTTTCTATGATTCCCTTTAGTGTTTCTCTTCATTCTGCTACAGATAAACCTAACCCAAAAATGCCTCTAAACCTGTTTTCCAGAAATGGGGAAACACTGTGTGGACGTGGGGTAAGTCCACAAAACGTCGGTGCTACCTACATTATGTGGACGTCTTTTGTTCGGAAGTCCACACTGCGTATGTAAGACAAACTCACCCACCCACCCACACACACACCCACACACCCACCCACCCACCCACCCACCCACCCACCCACCCACGGAAGGACAAGGCGGAAACAGTATGCCCCTTCGGCTTCACCGCGGGGCATAAAAAAAATAGAAAATGAAAAAAAATTATAAAAATCCATCACTCTAACAAAAAAAAAAGACAATTAACAGGGCTTACTTGTTCGTTCTCCATTTGCCTTTGTAGGGTGTAACTCGTTTTCAATGTCTATTAGACCTTGTTCAACACTATCAAATATCTCACCAATTTCACTGTGGCCATCTATAGGAAACAAAAACAAAAATCATAATTACTTTCCTTCTTAACAACCCAACGTCAGGGTTTTCAGTATACCTTGCAGTTTTGCACCATTGCACATTTGGACTGCACTTACAGACATGTAAATAATGGTGAATTGAGTTCTGCACTGAGATTGCAAGCAAACATGTTATTAAAGGTATAGTCCATCATTTGTAAGTTGTGCATTTTGTTCATTTGAAGCAACAATAGTGCTCAAATTCTAAAGAAGGGTGCTGAACAGCTAACCTGATGAAGTTTCAGCTCAGCTTCAGCTGTATATTTCGAGAAAAACGACATCCTAGGATTTCGCTTTCAAATCAAAAGTTGCTGAATCATGTTTTGAATTGGGCCTGAGACACGTTCTCACCGAGACACGTTCTCAGCTACGCGATGTCGCGCACCGATCCGACGAATTATAGCAACCGCGCGCGTGTGCGCATACTTCGCCAATTGAAAAAACGAACTACTAACGGAAATTTCCAACAGTGCTTCTTAAGACGCACCGTTGGAAAGGCCTTCTTTCGTTGATTTCTTCAAAATGACAGCTTGCCAGAAAGAATAATTTCACAGGGAGTTTAGTCCCCTTACCACTTACTATCTTTCAACCAAATATGTTTTTCAACAATAAATACGGCAGTTATTTTTTGGATAGCTGCAAGTGATGGACTCTGGTTTTAACACCCTGCTCACCCTATTGCAACCCCCAGCATTCTATCAGGCTTTGTACTTACTATTAATTTGGTCAATTTTTTCTTGAGCTTGTTGAAGTTGTTTGTCAACATCCAGTTTGATCCAAACCTCCGACAAGACGGCTTCTACCTGAGCTGGCAGCTCATTCCAATGGTATACTTCGTCCATCATTCATGTGCCTGAAACAGAAACAGACCTGTGTTAGAATATAACATTTTCTTATAATAACCTATGTGTATACTTGTGATGAGGCCATGTCACAGCAATTGTTTTGATGAGTTTGCGAGGTTCTGCGAAGAACAAGTGCAAGCTCATATTTGACCTGTTCTGTCAAAAGCAGACGCTTCTGGGCAGAGGTTGAAATTGAGATAGGGCCAAAAGACGCTGTGGGGGTGATTTTTTTTCGATTTTCAAATTTTTGCATATTTGTAATCCTGATCATGTCTAAAATATACTATAAAAGTTTGAAACCCTAATTTGAACTCTACATATACTATTTTTGATGATTTTGATTAGGTATATCAGTTAAAGAAATTACTGTTTTGTGATGTTCGTGGCCATTTTCTCCGTTTTCGACACAATGAACTTCAAAATAGCATAACTTTACCCAGGAATGACCGGTTTCAAAAATTAAACCACCTATTAAAAGGAAAAAGAACATTTTTTAATAATATGCAATAATCTCATTTTTGACCTTATGCCCAGAAAAGTCTGATTCATTTTTGACAGAACAGGTCACATTTGTTTCAGACTGAGAATTGCTGTACGAGCCGTTGAGTTCTGAGGTTTCCTCTATGAACCACACAAACTAAACAAACTATGTAACAACACCATGGCTACCACATGGTATATCTCAAATGGGCTTATTAGCAACACTCAGGGAAGAAATTCACAAGACAAAGTACCGAATTGTTTTTTTTTAACACGAGATGCTTGACCAGTTGGTATGATAGCTCCCCTTGGGTGCTATGATTGAGCACGAGAGAAAACATTTGCTTTTGGGCAATTCCACGCAAGGTGGACATGGCTGAAAGAAAATCTAAACTTTTGAAACAGAAAATCTAAAAACCTTTTAATATTCATTGAAAAAATAATAATAGTTCATCTTTTGTGTAATAGTATCTAGCTTTATCTACCTTTCCACCAAGTTTGGTTCAAATCGGATCTTCTGTTATGTGTTATTAAAAATCGCATTGCTATGTAGTTTTATAAGAGTATAATGGATGGTACATAGTTACTTCCAGAACTGTAAGGTTTTTACAAACCTTACAGAAAGACGAATTGAAGTTGCTGTAGCAGAAAACTCTCAATTTTTTCAAACCTCCAAACTCTCCTGTCACGACATGTTTGGCCTCAATATTTCACAAGTATTATCTTGACGTGGATAGGTACCTCCAGGGTGGGTTGAAATCCCTCAAATGTCAAACAAAAAGTGAAATTTACATGTACCAGAATTTGGTTCAACAGGATCACAGGAGTCTCGTACTCACTCGGCTGTCTCTCATCATTTGCTGTCGACTGAGGGCGCTTTCATTCTCTTGACCAACTACAGCGCGGCTTTCATTTCATCGCGCAAGGCATGGAGACACTCTCGGAATGAAAGACGCGCTGTAGTTGGTCAAGAGAATTAAAGCACCCTCAGTCGACAGCAAATGATGAGAGACAGCCGAGCGCGAGACTCCTGTGATCCTGGTGAACCAAATTCTGGAAAATTTCACTTTTTAATTGTTTCACATTTGAGGGATTTCAACCAGTGGTGTTCCCTAACGTGGCACACTTCGATGTTTACCCCGACTTTCCACATCAGTGTTGCCAAAGTTCTTTGTTGACAAACTTCAAATTTATTCAGTGAAATACTTGTACTCACCCTCTTTATTATAGGCTAATCAGAAAGTGCTGCCTTTTTCAGATGTCTAATAGGCCCTATTTGTGAAATTTCATGTTGAAATTTTGATACGCAAACGTGTGCAAATGAATCTGTGGAAAAAATTCCGTACTCGGACGTCACTTTTTTCAATTAATTTTCTAGCGCCAAAAGTTACATCTTTTATGGTTATTCCCTCCACTTACCCTCCTCTACTCTCACCCTCTCCTTTCCTTAATTTCTATTTATTAATCGGTCAGTTACTTCATCGGGATTCGAACCTCTGACGCTTGCTTGATACACGAGACTCTTAACCGCTAGGCCGCGCACGATCGCTGTTGCAACAATCAATCTTTGAAAGTATTTGAAGTATCCATTGAAATAAACTAAATATTCATGAGAAAATAAATATTCATAATGACGTATTGCACTATCATTGGCAGGCTCAAGCGACGTCATGGTTGTTGATGTCACGTGTATAACGTACCGCTGTCTTTCAGCCACTACAATCAGTTTTGACCGGCTGCTTCAAGTTAGTTCCGCACGACGTATGTATCCAAAATGTGCTCTAAAAACACATTTTGAGTAAATTTTTTTCACCTTTACACAGCTTCCTGGATTTCTCTTGGTTCAAATGACAAGGTGAGGTGACAATTAATATGTTTGGCAGCAGATAAATTGACGTCCGAGTACAGAACTTTTCCCTCAAAAAGTGCTGCCTTTTTCAGATGTCTAATTTTTGTGAAATTTCATGTTGAAATTTTGATACACAAACGTGTGCAAATGAATCTGGAATTTTCACAAAAATTAGACGTCTGAAAAAGGCAGCACTTTCTGATTAGCCTATAAAAAGGGTGAGTATGCTTCTAAAGCAAAACAAAACCTACACAGTACAAACTAAGCCTAAATGTGAAAATCTAAATTGGACAAAGTGCGACACGTTTTTGTATGTGGAAGTGTGGCCTATGTTTACGGACGTAGTCCGGTAAATTGGCCACATTTATGGGGCTAGGGTAGCTGGAGTGACAACCCAATGATAAAACTCAGGGCTGGGTAACTCCAGCTAGGGCTAGGGGTAGCCCGAGAGGGTATCCTCCTACCTGCTGGAGTTTGAAACGTAGGCTAGACCTACAACTGAACAAATATGACAAAACCAGGTGAATGTACGACAGCGTGTGCAGCTCAATGGTATACATGTAGCGTGCAGACATGCGTGTGCAAAGTACAACAACAATACTCTGACCAAACTGCTCTGAGCATAGCACTGTATGAGCGTCGTGAGCGAGCAAGTTAGCCCGCGACTCGGCCCGCGATTCAGTTCGCGATTCGGTCCGCGATTCAGCCAAATGCAGCCGCACATACACATTTATAATCCATGCGACAAAGGTACATGCTTTTTGGAACTAGATCCCGGCCCTGGAATAGATCAACGAATTCTCCAGATATGTCAACAAATTATTAACAAATTCTGCATAAACTTCAAGGATAGATATCAGCAAAGCTATTAATGCTATAGGTAACATTGCTTTATTGGCTCATTTCTATAAACTAGTTAGTCGTTTCAAGAGGACCCATTTCAAAGAGTTTCTCGAAACCGATTAAACACGATATGCTTTGAAAAGATTTTTGAAAATTTGTATTTCATAATCCTAACAGTCACTAGGCTGGACGCATCTAATGTCAGTAAACGCTTATCAGTCCAATAACGCGTTCTGCTCCAATTCTCCTCTAACAGGGCATCGTTTTCAGTATCTCGAAATGCAGTAATCGGAGTCCTGGGCGTAGCGAGGGGGGGGAGGCTTTCGGAAAGCCCCCCCCCCCCCCCCCGAAAAAAAAAACGAAGACAGACAAAACAAAGACAAACAAAACGGGGGGGGGGATGTTAAGTCATACTTGCTATTAATTTAATACACATTTAACAAAATGGGCGTCTTCAGGGGTGTCAATGGGGGTGGGGTGGGCAAATATCCCCTGCCCACCCTCTAAAAAAAATGATAAATTGGGAATCAGTCAGTTGCCGTGTCAAGCGTAGCTGCTCTATTTTCTCGTCCACACAACTGACAGCAACGCGAGGCCAGCGAACGATGGCCGTAAAAAGGGCTTCAGAAAAGTCGCAATTTTCATGGCAAACCACAACCGATCCAAACAAAGTTGTTTTAGGTAGTTAAAAACCCAGAAAACCATCATGTTCTTGTAGTCTGGTTCCCTGACCCCACTCAAAATGAAACGGAGCAAATTTGGGAATTGTAAGGTCAGATGATCAGTCTGGCAGGCCTTAACCCCTTCACATGTGTGTAATCAATTGCAAAGAAAATGTGGAATAACTAAATATGAATAATTAGGAGCAGTTTTTGAGGGGAAAAACACGGTTTTCTCCAACGCTGGTGGCCGACCAGCGTTGGAAAAATACAAGTTTTGTTGAAAATGTCAGCACACCAAGAGCCACACGATGATGCTTTAGACTGTCATTCCCTGACAATCCCGTGAGGTATTTCGTGATAATAATGGCCGCCATATAATAAGTGGCGGCCGCTGTACAAAACAAATATTTTCACACGCACAAAAAAATATATTCATACTTATTGAGCGGCACTATCCGTCTTCCGTACATAAATGACTTAATAAGGTGTCTTAAGAAACAAGAGATGAAACAGTTATTACAGTTCAATGCTACAGTGGTCCAAAAAGGCCGGTGTTGGCAAACTGTATCTCTTAGGAATGCAAACAAGTTGGATCTTCGATTCATACTACCGTCGTTGCTGTGAACCCGGCTGCGTCACCAGAATTAGGTAGTTTCAGTACAAAGATTCTTGTGAGCAAGGGCAAAAGTATGAGAACGAAGGTCGTGTACACACCTCTCATCGATAATGATGCCATCTGATCCATGCGATGCGATCATGATGACTGCGCCTTATGGTTAAAGCTTAGAAACTCGCCAGACAAACTAGTCAGCCTGACAATGGAGCTATGGCCTGATCATGCAGCAGCTGTACCGTGTCATGCCGGGTACATCCAGAAATGTTTTAGAATTTCATTCCACGACTTGGAGGCATGCATGCTCATGAGTTTTGTTGAATGTGTAGGTGTGCTCATCGCATAGCCGAACGTGAATTATTATGAAAGCTGAATTTGGAGGTTACTATACTCCATTACCAGCACCCTTTCCCAAAATGTGGTTCGGCCACCTTTCTATACAAAGCCTCATTGGCCAAACAGGGCTGTGTGCGTGCCACGGCCACTGACTGCTTGCGTTCGACCGGAGATAGGGCTCCGTGGAGACCGGGTGATGGGGGGGGGGGGGGGCAGCATGTTACGGGTTAGCACCGAGGGCGGATCCACAACAAAATCTTCCCCATCCAGGTGCTGCGAATTGGGAGAGGGGGGGGGGTGGTGACGTCTTTCTTTAAATACAAATAGTTTGTGTATTACTCCAAAAAGATACTTTAAAAAGACACTTCCTTGGCAAGCGGCAAATTTCCCTCGGCTTCGCCTCTGGTAATTATCACCATCCAGACTCACACCGGTTTTAAACAGAGTGTTATAATACCTCCCGAACACACATTTATTCCGTTATTGGTTTTGCTTAGTAAGTCAAGTTTGTAAATAATTGGTTGACTTTTAATCTACGGATCTATTTCTACAAAAAGTGTCTCCCTTTGTCGCATGGATTTTGGATTTGTATGTTAGGCTGCATTTCGGCTGAATCGCGGGCACAATAGAGATAAGTGGCTGAATCGCGGGCTTGCTTGAACTAGAACAGAGTAGTCAGAATCTGTTAGTCTGGAAACTTGACTTAGGCGCTTAGGACATGTTGTATTACTAGGCCGATACGCTAGCCTACATGCATGACATGGGTCATGTCCTAGCCCTATGCAAACTTTGCAAAGGATCGGAATACTTTAGCTAAGGTTTGTCAAGGGTTGCGAATTAGATCAACTGACTCGAGGCTGGGCTATATGGCGGCCCCTGGAAAGTCTAGCTGCCTGTTGGTTGTCAGTGCCAAAGATGGTAAGTAGAAATTGCAGTCTCTGACATTTCTGAGTCATACTTTAGCCCAATTGTGTGGCCTACTCAGTCATGTCAGTGCTGCGCTGTACGTTAGGGCCATCCCATAGGCCTGTTGTGCGCTTTCTTGAAAATCACGCATTCTTAAGAATGCGCATGCACATTCTGAAATGAATGTGCAACTGGATCCTTGCGCAATCTTCGCAAAAAAAAACTCTTCCAGATTATCATTGAGCGCACATTCTTAAGAATGCGCGACAAGATAACGGTCTTGGCAAGTCTAGCTGCATCCTCGTTCACTGATTCTGAATGATTATACTGTTGCAACTCAAGGCGCTGAAAAGTAGAGTGGATATGAAAAGTATACGCGTATGGGGGGGGGGGACCGGGAAAAAAAAAATAAGAGACATAATAATACTTAATAGTGTATTGGAAAGAATTCTGAATTTTGGGATAATAAAAGCGGGGGGGGGGGGGGGGAAGAATGAAAAATGTGAAGAATGAGAATGAATACTGTGACATCCCACGTCCCGGGTATGACTTTAAACTGCGTCCGGCGACAACGTTAGTACCTTGTGGAAAGCGTGGGGTCAGATGAGGCTACCCCTTACAGTCCGGGTGGTCCTTGGGCAAGACCTAGCACCCGTTTAGCCCCTCTGCCAGGGTTACGGTCGGAGGAGACAGGGCCCCGTCAGCGGCATCCCGCCGGTACAACCACTGGGTTTGCGGTACCCCTGCCCCAGCCATGGGCCAATGGTGTTCAGCTCCGGACTCCCGAGCCGCGGCCTCCTGCCGTCTCCGGACTGTTCCTGCTTGAGGCATACGAGCGGATGAACTGCGGCGTCTCTTGGGTCAACGCCCGGGCTGGAGACACACTAGTTCCGTGCCTCCAGTCGGCAGCCCTGCCTGCCATGCCTGCCTGCCTCCCCCTTTGAACCCCCACTGCCTTGTGGGAAGACTTTCTTTCAAAGGCTAGGAGAAGGACACTCCAACTTCAAACCCAGCTATCCCTTCCACCAGCCGTCGCGTCATCGACGTTCCGCTGGAGCCCGGAGGAGATATCTCGGGGTGCCTCTGTGTGTCGCGAGCACTCTGGCACCTTAAACCATAGCGAAGGCTGGAGTACAAAAAGTCCTGCGGCGATGGATCAAAAGCGTCAGTGGCAGGCTTGAGGAGCTGGAAGCCATTAGCTGGAAGTCTGCACCTACATGTAGGCGGTCTGACTGTGATGGCCGTGGCACGTCTGCAGAGCGGCTAAATGCCAAGGTCCTGCTCAGACGACCAGGCAGCTCCGTTCAGGGAGGCACTGCCTGCCCACATCCTGGGACGCTCCGATAAAAGGAGGACTTAAACAAAGCCCGCTCATCTTCTTCCTGGCCGGGTCACAACACCCGGTGGGATCTCCATTTTGTGGCCGAAAGACGCAACAAAAAACAAAACGACTGTAGGCCTATAAACTGGCATCTTGGAACGTAAGGACGATGATAGACAACCCAGAGCGCCCTCAGAGGAAGACAGCTTTGATCGATCGAGAACTGGAAAGATACGGCATCCACATTGCACCAACTTCTCCCGGAGATGACCACTTACCCTGTCTGCATCTCTGATAGGATGATCTCTCTTCGTCTGCAACTCTCAGCTGCTGACAACCGTCATATGACACTATTCTGCGTATACGCCCCAACTATGACAAACGACGACGCAATCAAGGAGGAGTTTTACCACTCATTGCGCCGTCACCTTGAAGCTGTACCCAAGTCGGACAAGTTAGTGGTACTGGGCGACCTCAATGCACGTGTGGGGAGTGATCACGCACTGTGGCAACGAGTGATTGGTAAGTTCGGCAGAGGGAAGCTAAATTCGAATGGCGAGCTATTACTCAACCTCTGCACTGAACTACACCTACATGTAGCTGTGACCAACACCTTTTTCAATATCCCGCAGAGGTGGTTCTACAGCTGGCAGCACCCTCGATCAAAGTGATGGCATCTCCTCGACTATGCGTTGGTCCGCAGAGTTGATCTTACTGATATACAATGTACTCAGCACCAGGGCCATGCGGGGAGTTGACGGTGACACCGACCACGTAATGATTTGAACAATCTGCCGATTCACGGTCGAAGCTAGATGCAGGCGGACTGCAAAGGCGCCGCCAAAGAAATTAAACATAGACAAGCTGCAAGATCTGCACTGCCGAGGATCACTGCAGGAAAAGTGCGTCGAGCAGCAAAGACCTCTGTACGCAGTGTTCATCGACTTTACAAAGGCCTGCGACACAGTTGGACGCGATGGCCTTTGGAGCCTCCTGCAGATGTACGGTTGTCCTGCACAGTTCACAATACTTGTTCAGCAATTTCACAACGGTATGATGGGATCGGTAACACAGGCAGGAGACACATCCGAACCTTTCGCCGTCAAGCACAGCGTTAAGCAGGGATGTGTTTTAGCGCCGACGTTATTTACCCTGTTCCTAACGGCGGTTCTCCAGGTCACGAACCAGCATCTGGATGAGGGCGTCTACCTGCGAACTCGTTCCGGCGGAAGGCTGTTCAATCTGGCGCGTTTAAAAGCACTCACAAAAATCCAACTCACCTTTATTAGAGATCTTTTTTATGCCGATGACTCAGCTTTCGTTGCTCACTCTGTCGAAGCCCTGCAGACCATCTTGGACCGTTTTGCACAAGCTGCCAGGGCCTTCGGCCTGACAATCAACCTCGGGAAAACGGTAGTGCTCCACCAACCTTCGCCAGGAGACCCCTATGTAGCGCCAAACGTCACACTAGAACGGACCACTCTGGAGGTTGTCGAGCAGTTTTCATACCTTGCCAGCATTGTCAGCAACGACAACTCCCTGGACGCAGAACTCAATAAACGGATTAAAGCCTGCTACGCTGCCTTAGGTCAGCTAAAGGATCGGCTTTGGAAGCGAAAGGGTTCAGACCAAGCACCAAATGCAAAGTGTATCGTGTGCTTGTGCTGAGCTCCCTGTACTCGGCGGAGACGTATACCCTGTACAGACGGCACGTCAAGAAGCTATGGACCTTTCAGCAGCGCCGCCTCCGGCCTATTCTTAAGATCTCATGGTGGGAACAGGTTACCAACGATGAAGTGCTGCATCGAGCGGGCATGCCGAGTGTGGAGCACATGTTGCTGAAAATTCAGCTCCGCTGGACTGAGCATGTCGTGCGAATGGAGGACCACAGACTGCTGAAGATTCTCCTCTATGGCGAGCTCTTGGAATCACCCAGACAGCCAAGCAGGCCAAAGCTGCGCTACAAAGATGTCATCAAACGCCACCTCAATGCCACCAACATTTCAATCAACAACTGGGAAAATCTGGCCATGGACCGTCCTGGCTGGCAAGCTGCAACAAAAGATGGCGTCCAAACTGCAATCGCGGATACCAAGTGGCAAAATGCTGAAGCCAGACGCCGACGTCATGAGAGGCAACAACGGCGCAACTGATTTATAGTACTCCCGAACTATTCGATGACGAAGATCTGCCACACACACACACACTGTGACATCCCACAGTGCTACATGTAATGCTAAATTTCCCATTTAAATTGCCACCAATTTATTGTTCACACCCCTACCATTACGCCGCAGAGCTGGATTCTATCTAGTCAAAAGAGCAATTTTGGCAGCTTCTGGACATCGTTTTTTTTTTGTGGCATGCATAACAATGATATGATACATACAGGGACTTGTAATTTGTCTAGCCTAAACAAAGCACTTTCCAGACTAGTTCCCAGTCCTCCATACAAAACTTCCCATAGTGGGCAGAAAAAAGCAATAATAACAGGTTTAATTTGATTCAAATTATCGTAGTTATACGAGTACAGAAGCATAGAATATTTTCTTTCGTCTTTATATGAATTGTTTCCCTTTTAACCGCTATACATTTCATTTGACATAATTATGTCATGCAATGTTTGTTAAGATTACGCAAAATTCATAAATTGTGCACGTGATATTCCCATGCAATCTTAAGAATGAGCGCTTATTCTTAAGAACGCGTGCTCATTCTTAAAAATGCACGCTCATTCTTAAGAATGCGCGCGCATTCTTAAGATTGTGTGATTTTCAAGAATGGGCACAACAGGCCTACCCCTAGAACTACCCCGGTATGTATGGGTATTATTACTTGTAATACCCATAGTTCTAGGGGTACGTTAGGCCACATGTCTGGTTTCCCAATCTACATGTACTGAGGAGTTTAGTCCCAAACTGGCACATAATGTCTCCAGAAAAAAATGTCTAAATTTCTTTAAAAATTTGAAGAAAGATTACCTCATCTACCCGGAGGGCAAAAGATGAGACATCATTCATGTAGAATACAACTGTGTGCACTGGTAATAAATCTGGTAGTAAATCGTTATGTAATAAAGAGGACTCCTGATGCAGCGTAGTATAAACGAGTCCTGTTTATTACGTCACAATTTACTATGTTTTGTTTGCTGCCCCCAACGACGACTTTTACACAAATTTCACGTTCGGGTCGAAACAGGACCTGAAAAACAGCTCTCAAAAGTACCTTTTGTACTCATTTTATGACAGAAACAATAGTCGTTTTTATTTCATCACACCTTAGGCTACATATACCCGAAAAATGACGGAAATGTCTTCGAGCATTCCACAACCTCTTTAAAAACTAATGAGAGAAGACCAAACTTGCCCCATAACATTTTATGATTTTATAACTACTGTTTGTTTTGTTGCAGGTGTTCCAGCACAGTCATTCATTCATGCATTCACACTCTGCCACTCGGCATTCAGTCTACAACTTGCATCACCAGATGTACGTATGCACCATGGTAATAGGGAGGTTTCGCAAGCGAACGGATACGCTTACACTTACGTTTAGCTATCCGTATCCGTTTTTTACTTACGTGTAGAGAGCGAGATATGCGTGTCGTCTGCACGTTTAGCGGATAGTGAGTGGCGTATGACGTCATACGTGCAGACGACACGCATATCTCGCTCGCTACACGTAAGTAAAAAACGGATACGGATAGCTAAACGTAAGTGTAAGCGTATCCGTTCGCTTGCAAAACCTCCCTATTGATAAAATTACATACATGTAGTCTAACACACTGAGTACATGTGCATTTAGGTGTATAGTTATGCTTCACAATGAGGTGGACCAACTGCACTGTTAGCATTTCAGGGGTTGAAATCATATCTGAAGGAAAAATGTCAAACATATTTCATATAACATTTTCCAAATTATTACCCCTTTCCCCATTTTATGTCTGTACGAAAAACCAGTTTGGTGTCCCAATTCCTTTGTTGTCCTTATTACGTGTAGTTATTTCTTTGTTTATTACAAGTAAATACAGCCCTCCGAGCAGCGAAGTGGTGATAAAATTCTCCACATTTTCCAAATATGGGCATAGTTTTTTTTTTCAATGGGCCAATTAGGCCAAGCTTCCATGTAATCCTCACCCCTACTATACACCACAAGCCTGTAGACTCCCATTGGCCAGACCCTAGCCATTCCGGAGTAAGGAGTGTTGAAAGATAGAAGCCAAGATGGCGGCTCATGCATTTGTGCAGTAATTGGAGAAAATGAAGGCCAAACCCTTTGTGCCGCCGATCTCTTTGTGTCAACCCCTCGTGCCGCCCAGAGCTCAGACAGGTTGTAAACAATCCCTGACGATGTGAATGACCTATATCTTGTGCATGTACAGGCATGCGGGGGTTATTAACCTAGAAACACATGTGGTGATAAAATTCGCCACGTGGCAACTCCGTGTGATTTTTTTTGCTAAGCTGCTCCCAGGGTTAAAGCGCGAGTCTTCGACAAAATAAATAATAATTTTAGGATTTATCACATTAAGCAGGGCCGGTTAGCAGAGATCTACATGTAGTAATCATTGAAGAATTGGTACATGTACATGTATACATTTTTTTGTACATTTCTTGACGTTGTTTCAATTATGGAATTTTGTCAACAGAGAAAGCCAATTGATTTCATAGAGCAAGATGAAAGTAGCAAAAGATGGCTGAGTGAATTCAAAACCAAACCGTTTTCCACACCTGTCAGATTAGACACCATAGACGGTAAGATGTATGCATGTTATCAAGAGGGCAAATGCAGTATTGGTGGATAAAGCACAATGAGAAACATTCAATTGAACAAAAACATTAATTGGAGAAGGATTTGATTTGACAAGCCTGGACCTGCCTCAATCATGATGCTATTAATATCAGTGCTGCTGCTAACCAAGGCTATCTAGCTATTAACCCTTACTCTCTGAGGGTAGTTTACTGCATGTCAGTTGGTTATGCCAATGCCCTCCAGCTGCAGTTTATTGGCAGATAGTTTGTCTTAACAGTGAAGGCTCCAATTGGCAGGAGTTGGAGGCCCTGGAGGGTGCCTGATACTGACCAGCTGGGGGCACTCACTTTGTTATCAGAGGACTCTCATTGTTCTCTGTGGCATGTATTGGAGTGCCTGTCCAGTTACCCTTGAAATGACATGGCAGATATTGGAGGGCCATGCAAAAAACATAGGAGATTTTCTTGAGGCACATATTGGCATGCGTTGGAGGGTCTAGTAGGGTAAGGGTTAAGAAGTCAGATCACATGAGCTATTAAGAAGTCAGATCAAATTCAGGTATTTTGTTGTGTTCCTCCACACAGTCTTGCATGTGCAATATAGGAAGTGCTTAATTGACTGCCTACTTTACCGCCTACATTTGTTATACCTGATATATGCATGGATGTTTGTATACTGTACATATGCCTCTTTGGTCAAGTGTCTCTGTTTGCTTCATGTTCTATACAGCATCTCGTTACGCAGCTCTTCTAGTGGTAGATTCCCCTGGTGCTCTTCATGACCTGGCTCATGACAAGGATCTTGCACAGATCCTGCATCACTTCAAAGCAGAAGCAAGTATGTATCTCATAGTCTCCTCGCTATGTGTTTTTGCATTGATCAAATACATGTACATGAATGACAAGCAAGGCAAACAGCATTATTTGATATGAACGTGCATGTGGCATATGTGTACTTTTCCACATGATGTCTATCATTATACAAATATAACATGGTTTGAGGGTGGGCAGTCGATATTCGCTCCCCGAGGTATTGGAAGTTGACAAGCTAGTTCCCGAGGCGAAGCCGAGGGAACTTGTTTGTCACTTCCAATACCGAGGGGAGCTAATATCAACTGCCCACCCGAAATAAACCATGATGTAAATGTTCAGTTGCCGATTTTTTTATTATATGGACCTAAAACAAATTCGGGGAAACTTGTACAGCTCACCAAAAGAATATTATTGCTCAACTTCAATTACTAGTTCGGTTCGTTTGCAATAATACAGTTACTACAGTTGTAAATACAGTTTTACGCGAACCGTACCGTACAACCATGCATCTTTCCTGAGCGTACTGCACCCGTGCGACAGTTCCTCGATTGCTCTGTAAAGCGCATGCGTAGTAGACTGTCGCACGGGTAACCCCTGCGACAGTCTACTACGCATGCGTATTTACAATGTGCGTGAATCCTCGCGCGCATTTGGTAAACAGCAAGAATAACATCTGGCATGTGATGGTGAATTGACCAGTGAGAGTTTGGCTCTCGATCATGAATATGTATGAGGTATAGTAATGAAGTCTGAGTGATAGCCAAAATGACAAGCGACTGATCAGCTGGCTTGTTTAAAAAAGCGCCAGTTTGGTAATGTATCATCATATCAACAATGCAATGACTGCATGGTCTAAAATGGATGTTTGACATAAGAATTGTAAAAGAATGCTAGTGTAAACTTCATCCCAAGCTTCTTTTACTGGTGCTACTTTAACATCAACCATCAAAGTAGCACACTCAAATAGCATTTAGACAATTTTAGGATGAGGCTCAAAAAGCAAAGGCCAAGTTCGGGCAAGGACCATTAGTCGACAAGTGGTTGATTTGTGACGTACCTTACGCATGCGCACTAATAGCAAAGTGCGAACGTCTCTAGTCGAACGCTGGTCAAAATGTCATTGCAAAACGTCTGGATCCTGGCTCCCTGCTGTACGTAATGAACGCGCGCGGCTATGGTTACCAGCGATGCAACCAGCCCCAGTAGGTTGGTTCCAAATAGTCGACTAGCGTAGTTAACCATCGTCGACTAGACAGAGTTCGGGCAAGCATTAGTCGTCCAATGGTTAACTATAGTCCTTGCGCGAACTTGCCCTATGACAGTACCAGCTTTTCAAAATAGTTTGCTTTTCTGAAACTCCCAATATCCTCTTACATGTAAAAGACACAACCCCGACAAAATCATAGAGGTCGGTCAAAAAGCTAATACTACAGGGAAAGTCCAAACTCAAATATGTATTGGTGTTGGTCAAAAAAGTGTAAACCCTGTGTAAGGATGCAGACAATGTTGGGAGTTTCTTTTGTTTTTGTCAGAGCCTGTGTGTGCTATTGGTATGGGCGTTGCTGCATTGTGTTGTGACAGAGATCAAACTGGTGCTAAGTGGGCCTACTGTGGCTTCTCAATGACTGCGGTAAGAGCTATACTCCCCATCCACTGTGTATTATTATCAAGGGAGAAATAGTCTTTTCAGATTTATCCCACAAATTCAGGTATTTTGTTGTGTTCCTCCATTTGGTGATTCCCATAGGAATACTAGAGAGGTTTCACATGCAAACGGATACGTTTAGTGCGACGGATACGTCATCAGTTATGACGTCATACGCCACTCACTATCCTCTAAACGTGCCGACGACACGCATATCTCGCTCGCTACACGTAAGTAAAAACTGGATACGGATAGCTAAACGTAAGTGTAAGCGTATCCGTTCGCTTGCGAAACCTCCCTATTCTTGTTTCAATTTGGTTCAGAAATTGACATAGTACCGGTATGTATAAAGTGTTGCAGTACTACAACCTTGAATACGTGGCTACACATTTAGGAGGTATCTTCAAATTGAAGTACTGTGATCTCATGCAAATTTCTGTGATAATATTTTATTATTTTTCCTCAAGGTTCCGACATTATTGCTTTTTAACATGGCCTCATTAGGGGGATCACCAAACAAATTTTAATGGGGGGGGGGGGGGGGGGAGGAGGGGGGGTGTTTGACAATTTGAATTGGGGGGGGGGAGACATCATGTGACAAGTGGGTGCTTCTTGGACGGAAGATCTTGGACACTTTCTGGTAATAGGTGTCACTGTTCATGGTGGCATATTTGCAGCATGATTTTAATGACAGGATGACATTTTTGCTAACAAAGATGATTAATCATGGGCAGAGGCATTGCAAGGTAATTTGTATTGGGGGGTAAAAAGTTTGTGAAAAGGGCACTTGCACATCCGTGCTGAAATGTACACAGTTTTTTTTTTGTCCGGGCACTTGGCCTCTGTAAAATCAAAGGGGGGGGGGGGGGGGGGGGTAGGAACCATCTTCCAAAGGGGGGTGCTATACAAACCGGACGATCATGCACACTATTGGACAATAGATGGCGCTTTTCAGGGCGGCACAATTGCACAGGGTCGGGCGAAATTCCAAGAAGGGCACTCGTAAAGGGGCATTTGTTTTTCAAACGAAGGACACTTGTTAAAAAAAGGGGAATTATTTACACACAAAAAAGAGCCACTGTTGACAAATATTGGGGGGGTAAACACTGGTAAAAAAAGTACTTGAATGGAAAAGGGCAGTCATTACAAAATATATTGCGGGGAGGGGCAGGGGGAGGGGAATAACCCCCTTACACCCCCCCCCCTTGCTGGCTACATCTCTGATGGGGGGTATCACCCCCCTTCTCTACTGATCGATGGCCATCCATGCTCTTTGAATACGATGTCTGGTTTCCAACATTCTTCACCATGTTCTTGTTGCAGCCATCAGTGTATGAGCTTGCCCGGTCCCCTACCTTCTCAAGTTTACCAATCATTCCAGAAGATTTCATCAAGGACAACGGAGCTATATACAGTGGTAATTGTGTTAGCTATATAAATTTAAAGTTAAAACAGAATAACCGTATTCATATTAATACCGTTTGACCGTTTGACAAAACTGTAAAACGACAAAACGGTCAATGGTTCGTTTACTGTTTTTTGTTTGTGAGGAAATTCAAAACGGTAAAACGAAATAACGGTTTGTACCGGGATTGATAAGTAATGCATGACACGTGTTCATCTTAATGTGCACAATCTTGTACATGTATGTGCTGTCTACACATGGATGAGTCTGTCTGACTGTTGCCTTGTCACTGTTGGGTTCATTGAAATAATGCCACAGCACCATATACACGTATACATGTACAACTCTTACACACAGTCTATAGAAAAACACATCGAGCGATCTTGAGTCATTGGTGATGTTTCATTGATACCGGTACATTTATATCTTTTACTAAAGGCGAGGGTAATTATCAGCACCCAGACTCTAAGTGGTCTTAAACAGAGTGATAAATACCGACGGAGCACATATTTATTCCCATTCATAACTACCTTTTCGGTAAAAAAAAATCATATAATTCGTTCAAAACATCCCGATTTTGTTCAACAAATTCACTTTATGCTTTTTGAAACATCCCTCTTGCAAAATAATGGAGTGTTCAGCTGGCGAGTAAGATGAAAACAACCCTTTTATGGAGATTGACGCACGCGTATCATGTTCTGCGCGATGTCGCGCAGAACGCACCTGGCGCGTTGCGTTTTGAATTTAGAACTATAAAATTCTGACTCCCTGGTAGTGTTGCGCATGCCTACGTGAGGATTGTGAACGTTCAACCAATGAAACGATAAGAGGCACTGGATTTTTAGGAGTCCACATTTTATTGTGACACTGGAAAAGTGTTTAAGACCAGCTAGTAATGTATTTATCATACGTTTAAGACCGGCCACGTGACGGGCTCTCGACCAATAGGAATGCGTAAACTGTCTTAGGTATTTATGAATGGTAGTTTAAATGCTGCACTAAGCTTAACTGAGCTTGTACTAAGCTATGACATTGACAGCTGCTGCATGCACAACCAGTGTCGTACTTGGTGAGACTTGTGCTGATGAACAACCAATAATCACATTCGTTAAGCAAACTTTCGTGTTTGGCTGAAGCTACATGCATGTAACTGAAAGATAGAATTTAGTTTTATTTTGTATTCATCAATACCTAAGACAGTTTACCCATTCCCATTGGTCAAGAGCCCGTCACGTGGCCAATCTTAGATGGTTGATAAAGACCGGCTGGCTGGTCTTAAACACTTTTCCAGTGTCACATGAAATTTTGACTTCTATGAAATCCGGTCCCATTTACCCTTTTATTGGTTGAACGTTCACAATCCTCACGTAGGCATGTGCAACACTACCAGTGAGTCAGTATTTCACAGTCGTAAATTCACAATACACTGGCACAGCTACGTTCGGCACAGCTACGTTCTGCACAACATCTTGCAGTACGCGCAATGCGCGCGAGCGCGCCAATCTCCATATATAAGGAGCTGTTTATGACTACTCACAAGAGGGACACACCATAATATATGGAGTCCACATTTTATTGTGACATTGGAAAAGTGTTTAAGACCAGCTAGCCATGTCTTTATCATCCGTTTAAGACCGGCCACGTGACGGGCTCTCGACCAATAGGAATGCGTAAACTGTCTTAGGTATTTATGAATATCATTTAATTTACTGTTTGTATGGATGAGTAATTGAATGACTTCTGTGACGTTATCTGTTTTGTCATTGCAGCTAGTGAAGTTGATGCCGTACATGTAGTAGTGGACAGGCATTTGATAACCGGTCAAAATGAAGCATCAACATTAACCGCTGTACAAAACCTCATCTTGCTGTGCAACGCAAAGTAAATATTACAACTTCCTTCAATTTGTTTTGAGCCTTCTTCACTGGACTTGGCCCTTTAACTCCCTGTGCACTTTTTCTAAAGTCTCAAGATGAATCCTCCCAAATCTAGCACAGCGGTTATACCAGTGGTGTATTTCTTGTAATTTATGAACTTCACAGACACCATAAGGGACCGTGACCATTCAGCCCTGGTATGAAAAGGGCCCCCCGGTACCTCGTCCGGTCCAGAGCCAGTCCGGTCTTCAGCCCAGTCTCGTCCAGTACATGGTCCTGTCTGACCAGAAGTTTTGAAGTCAGTCAGGTGCATCAAAATATTGCCCTTCAGAGAACGTCCAGAGCAGAACAATAGCAGATCTACCGGATTAAAGATAAAATTCCCTCCAAACGCCTTTTTAATTTACGGTCCCAGTGTGCACGAAACCGCATGGCGGGGGTTTTGATCTGTGCCGACGAAAGTGTTCTATTATTTCGCGCTGAGAGATGAAAACCACAAGCAGGTTTCTTCTGGGATATATTACATGTGTCAATACTTGCAAACAATAGACCCCAGGATAGAGGAGTTCCTGATTAGCAACCGGACTAGCTCCTAGGCCGATAGCTGGGACGGTTCGACAGGACTTCTTGGAAGGGGACCAGCTTACCGGGGGGCCCTTTTCATACCGGGGCTGAATGGTCACGGTCCCTAAGCCGCATGTGCAGCATATATGGGACCATTGCATAGCTTTGCTTTATTGGTAAAACAAACGAATGTCTGAAGTAGCGCACTGTGCAGCAGCTCTTAGTAACTACATGATTTAAGGACTGCTGTAGAATCCATCTGGGGCCAAATTTTCCAAAGATGAAACAAACACAAACAGAGCACGACATGCACGTGTTTGTTCATTGTTTGAGAACTTACAAAACTTTTGTATGTGTAGTATCCACTGATATACAGTCGACTCTTGTTATAACAAACTCGTTTAGACCTAGCCAAATTGTTTGTTATATCAGAATTTTGTATTAAGAGGAACATGAGTCCCATTCATTGTGCACACAAATGCATAGTCGGGACTGAGGCCTTATGTTTGTTATAACCAGAATTTTGTATTAACAGAGTTTGTACTAACGAGAGTCGACTGTATAAAGACTGGATAACGGATAAAGAGCCGCACAATGAATGAATTTGACGCCATATTGGTGAGACCGGTGAGACTGGCTGGTGATCTACAAAGGACATGTTGACGTCTTTATAGACAGCGTGATTTCTTTTGTCGTGGTTTACTTTTTAATGCCGTAGTTCACTTTTTCGGCGTTTTGGAAATAATAATCACTACGGAAATGTGTCCAATGTAGAACATCATAATATGTGTACCTGACCAAAATGCGCGTCAACTGTTGATACAACGCGCACTGTATATGCGCGTAGAACGTTCGTATTATACGCGGCCATCTTCGTGAGACCGGGGGCGAATTGGTCAATATGCAAAGTCTACTGTGTGACTGGTGTATGGATATCCGCTATCCAGTCTTTATATAGAGATCAGTGGTAGTATCATACAAATACATCATGTAGATGTTGGACATAAATCTCAGTTCTAGCAAATTCCCTTCTCCCCAGTGTGTTATGTGTTAGAAATTAACCAAACATCTTTGCAACAACAAAAAAAGATAAGGGAAAGTAGTGAAGTCAAAAAGGAACTTTGTCTGCTTAAAAAAACTAAGACAGAGAAGGTGTGAAAAATTGGATCTGTACAAATCACCAAAAACAGTTTTATGTTTCATGTACAATGTGTCCGTTAAATTACGAATTAATTGATGTGTTGGCAAATGAAATTATCTTCATTAGATTGAAGTCCTTATTCTAATTGTATCATTTCGTGTTTCTCTATTTTCAGATCCAGCAAAGCAACACTGAAGTAAGTTACAGGTGTGTGCAAGGAAGTGATTCATTCTATTGGAGAGACAACATGCAGCAGAATTGTCAGCATGTTGAATGGAGTCTCAACATGCTCAAGTAAGCTTGTTGAAACCATTCTACACCAGCAACCTCTGGTATGAAGACCTTTGCAAATGAGAATTTCATACGAGGCAAAGCAGTGAGATACAAAAGCACAGTGTCATTGTGCTTATTCTACAAGCATGTTGTCATGCCTTGGTATGAAGATGGCAACTCTGAAAGATTTGTTTTGATAAAATAACAAAGTTGGGGGGGGGGGTCGGGTTAATGTGTACTGTGTATGATGTGTATTTTGTAAACTTTGTTAACTCAAGTGTAATTTTTCTGTTAAATGACTTTTCAGTCTGTACGTAGTACACTGAATCTAAGTGGAACTAAGTTGTGTAGCTTTCTTAATAAGAACTATAAACACTGTGTTGAAAATACGATCGCACGTTCCCCCCCCCCCCCCCTTGTCTGCTGAGCAACCTCTGGCTGCCGAGCACCCCTTGTCCGTTGAGCATCCTCTGGCTGCCGAGCACCCCTTGTCCGCTGAGCATCCTCTGGCTGCCAAGCACCTCTTGTCTGCTGAGCATCCTCTGGCTGCCAAGCACCTCTTGTCTGCTGAGCATCCTCTGGCTGCCGAGCACCTCTTGTCTGCTGAGCATCCTCTGGCTGCCGAGCACCTCTTGTCTGCTGAGCATCCTCTGGCTGCCGAGCACCTCTTGTCTGCTGAGCATCCTCTGGCTGCCGAGCACCCCCTGTCTGCTGAGCATCCTCTGGCTGCCGAGCTCCCTTGTCTGCTGAGCATCCTCTGGCTGCCGAGTTCCCCTTGTCTGCTGAGCATCCTCTGGCTGCCGAGCTCCCCTTGTCTGCTGAGCATCCTCTGGCTGCCGAGCATCCCTTGTCCGCTGAGCATTCTCTGGCTGCCGAGCATCCCTTGTCCGCTGAGCATCCTCTGGCTGCCGAGCATCCCTTGTCCGCTGAGCATTCTCTGGCTGCCGAGCATCCCTTGTCCGCTGAGCATTCTCTGGCTGCCGAGCATCCCTTGTCCGCTGAGCATTCTCTGGCTGCCGAGCATCCCTTGTAGGCTGAGCATTCTCTGGCTGCCGAGCATCCCTTGTCTGCTGAGCATTCTCTGGCTGCCGAGCATCCCTTGTCCGCTGAGCATTCTCTGGCTGCCGAGCATCCCTTGTCCGCTGAGCATTCTCTGGCTGCCGAGCATCCCTTGTCCGCTGAGCATTCTCTGGCTGCCGAGCATCCCTTGTTGGCTGAGCATTCTCTGGCTGCCAAGCATCCCTTGTCCGCTGAGCATTCTCTGGCTGCCGAGCATCCCTTGTCCGCTGAGCATTCTCTGGGTGCCGAGCATCCCTTTTCCGCTGAGCATTCTCTGGCTGCCGAGCATCCCTTGTCTGCTGAGCATTCTCTGGCTGCCGAGCATCCCTTGTCTGCTGAGCATCCTCTGGCTGCCGAGCTCCCCTTGTCTGATGAGCATCCTCTGGCTGCCAAGCACTCTTTGTCTGCTGAGCATCCTCTGGCTGCCAAGCACCCCTTGTCTGATGAGCATCCTCTGGCTGCCAAGCACTCTTTGTCTGCTGAGCATCCTCTGGCTGCCGAGCACCTTTTGTCTGCTGAGCATCCTCTGGCTGCTGAGCACCCCTTGTTCGCTGAGCATCCTTTGGCTGCCGAGCACCCCTTGGATCATTTTGACACGCCCCCAAAAAGTCCTAGTTCAAAGCGGCTGCGAGTGTAGACTATGCTAGATATGCTCGTCACTACTCTACGAAGGGGGGGGGGGTCTCCTTAGGTCTAGGCCGAGTGAAGAAAAAATGTGCATAGAACAACTTATCATGAACATATACCCTATACATTTCATGACTATAGGTCAAAGGGTTTTGGAATTATGGCTTAACGACAAAATGTAATTATTCATATGCACGAATGGTAATTCTGCTTTGTGTACACTACGTACATGGGGAAATTCAGTTTTCACGGCGCGTTGCGCCGGAAAAGTTTTCACTGCGCGGCAACCCGTGGTCCGAATTTTTTGATAACTCAAAGATGCGCAAGGCTCGAGGCTAAAAAGTCAGAACAGCTCGGGTCACGAAAAAAATTTTTTTCAAGGCTATCGCGGAAAAAGTTGAGGGCCGCCCCCCCCCCTCCCCCGGCCCCTTTAGGGTTAAATATGGCTTCGACTTCCAAAAAAGATTTTAAAAAAAGTAATCATACAAAACAGAATACTCAGAGAAATGGGATTTCATACAGCAATCTCAGAGAGGAGAAAATCATGTAGATGTACATTGTGTAGTTTGGATTTCAGCATCGCTCACAGTGGAGCGTATGACAAGTACTTGTGAAACCACAAAGCACCGACGTATTGCTGAGACTAAGAGTGCTAAATTTTACTCGCCATACATTTTAGGTTGATTAATTAAGCTTATATTTGCTAATATTTAGGCCCTATATAGTTAAAATATATGATGTTACCTGTTACCTTTTGACAATTAGCATACTTAGTTTCCGCGGCCACTTTTCTTAAAAGTCCCCCATACCAAATCGGACCTAGACTAGAGACTATGGCATTTTCTGTGTTGTTATCTAGGAACCTCATTCCAGGGAATTAATCTTACAATTCAGACACAAACCTTATATTATTATATTATCAACATGCTAATATTTAGGCCCTATATAGAGAAAATATATTATGTTACCTATTACCTTTTGACTTAGCATGCTTAGTTTCCGCGGCCACTATTCTTAAAAGTCCCCCATACCAAATCGGACCTACATAGACTATGTGGCGAAGCTCTGTTCAATTTGTTTTTAAAATTAATTATTTTTTTACTGAAATGTTCACCTGTATGTATTAAAGTTGGAGCATTGCATTCACATTAAACCTTTGTTCGTAAGCTCATCTATGCATATTTTTGAAAAATACAGGTTTTTTTTAATTTGACAAATTGCTGCTTGTTGTGGCTGTTGGCAAGAAACTTTCTTCTACTGCTTTGGAACATCCTGCTCGGGTCTGGGAATCTCTTTCAATCATTTTTTGAGATCGACTAGCTGCTCTTCTTCTCCGCTCTGTATTCTTGATACTGACTTTGGGTTTGTGGCATATTCTTGTTGTTCAGATGTTGGAGAAGTGCCATACCAACGACAATCCAAACACCACCTTGTGGGAAGCACCAGTGGAGGAGCTTAGCTCTTCACCACTTTTTTGAAAGTCTTCCAATAAGTGCGTGAGCTTTGCCTTAACCCTGTTCTAAAGACGGCAGGACTCAAGTGTAGCATTCACTGAAAGACGTTTATTAACAGCCCGTAATAACATCATAGAATATGGATACGGTGGCCGCGTAATGCCACTCCATAACATCCCCTTTCCTTAAGATAAGGAACAGTCTTTTGTTGTTGCTGAACTTTCACCTCTAGACCGAGTGTAAACTGTGGTCTGTTACAGTGGTAATCACGAACGCTAAACTTAATGAATAACTCAGCAAACATTATGAACGCTTTAACACTAGAACGTATTTGGAACAGCTCTAAACCTTTAACACTCCAGGCACCCTGCCAAATGCAACAGATGCACATACCTGAAATATGAACCCTGCTAAATGCAACAGTATGCAGCAGTGGATTCTGTTGCACTGTGCGTTGAACTAATATGTGCTAGCCCTGGTACCAAGTACCTACCCTGCTAAATGCAACAGTATGCAGCAGTGGATTCTGTTGCACTGTGCGTTGAACTAATATGTGCTAGCCCTGGTACCAAGTACCTACCCTGCTAAATGCAACGGAATGCAGGGGTGGATTCTGTGGCACTGTGCTGGGTGCTCACATGTTTATCATGTGGTTTTTTTTGTTGCTTAGTTTTTGGCTACAGTGTTTTTTGTCTAACTGGTACAGTTGAGTCTCGTTAATACAAACTCATTCGGACCTAGCCAAATTGTTTGTTATATCAGAATTTTGTATTAAGAGGAACATCAGTCCCATTCATTGTGCACATACATGCACAGTCGGGACCAAGGCTTTGTGTTTGTTATAACCAGAATTTTGTATTAACAGAGTTTGTATTAACGAGATTGACTGTACATGTCTTTCCATCATTGCCACTTTTGCAAACAAAAAATAAACATAAGGTATCTTTGCGTTTCTAGAAGGAACAAGAATGAACATAACAACTTTCTTTGTCTGGTGTCTTTCCAGAATGTGTTTTATTTACAAATGTACATGTGATTTTTCTTTTGGTTTCTTTCTATAATAAACAAAAATAAACAAAAAGTACTTTCTTTTTTTGGTGTTCAACTTTTCTTTTCTTTGCTATGCTTTGCTTTTTTTTCCCACTTCTTTTCCACTTCTTTTCTTTTCTTTTCTTTTCCTTTTCCTTTTTTCTTCTTTTCTCTTTCTCATCATTTACTTCTTGGGAAGGGAGGAGGAGGTTGCCTAGTTTGCCATGGAGGGCGTGACTACTGATGAGCACCATGGAACAGTTGAAAGCATCTCTCTTCACACAAGTTCACATTGCAGGAGAGGAAGCCATGGCGCGTCATTGGCACTGGCTTGGTGAACTTCTTCTTAGTGCGCAGGCACCAACTGCACTGCTTCGCATACTTCCCAGGCAGGAGTTGTCTCTGGTGGAGTGGAGCGCTGTGTGACGACAGTGGTTGGGTGCTTGACTGGCGAAGAGCGCTGCCTTTGGAAAACCCATCAATCAGCCCCTTGGCTACCTCCATGATGAACTTGGAGTGGCTGATAGTGCCACTCTGCATGCCAGGTCATCCTGATGCAGATGTAGATGTGATGTGGGTGGCAGGATGATGGCGGATGTAGGACAGCCAGGCATTCACTCTGCATACATCGATGAGGAAATACATCAGCTTTTTCCACCACTTCTGAAACTTCCATGAACAAGTATAGTAAGACCGAAGCTGGTCAGTCCTGTCCACACCTCCCATGGAGATAGTATAATCAATGGCCTGTCGTGGGGCAGGAACAGCTGTCTTTGGCCGCCTTCCGCCATCATCGACCGGCTTACGTTCAACCTGGTGGATCAGGCAATTCCGGTGCCCTTGATGCGCTGTGCTCAGCAGCATCATGACTTTAGAATCATTCCAGTCGACAACAGTAAGCTGACCTGCCTGCCTGCTGTAAAAGCTGCCTCGTGGCATCTTGTTAAGGTTCTTGATTTTGTTGTGCTGCTGGGGATTTTTGTCTGGGTTGGTACTGAAGTCACAGGGCAGATTTTTTTTGGTGGACTTTACAGCTCCAGTGTAGTAGGTCCTGTCTGCAAGGAGGTGCGCTGGGATAGTTCTACTGATGAATACAGCTTGTCTCCAAAGATGTGGTGGTAGACTCCAAGGACTGGACTAGCTACGGCCATGGCTATGTCGGTCATCTTTGCTGGTGCACCAGATTTGAACTTTGAAGGGGTGGACAATGAAATTGGCCAAGTATCCTGTGGCTGAATCGGCTAGGGCGTACAAGTTGAAGCCGGTTCTGATGGGTTTCAGTGGCATGAAAAACTTTCAGACCGGAGCCTTGAAGCCGGAGTATTTTACCATTGCCTCATCTATAGCCAGATTTCTGCCAAGGTTGAAGTTGGATCTGCAGTTGGAAAGGACGGTGCCCCAAACCGGCTGGAGAGGGTAGAGTGGCTGTTTTGCCATGTAGCTGTACTTGTGCGCCTTGTCGGTGAACATTGTTGGGTCGTCATTTGGATATTGTTCGGGATTGGTAGCAGGGTCTGAACAGGCAAAGTGTTGGGTTAAAAAGTCAAAGCGGCTCCTGGTCCCATGACGAGATGAATCCCCAACCAGGCCCACACCTCGTCTACCGTTGTGAGGAGCTGGCTTCCTGCCTTTCGAATGTTACCGTTTGTCCAATGAGCAATTTGGACAAACAGTGCCACAGGGAAAAACGCCAAGAAATACTGCACCGGTGTTTGGTGTCGTTGGAAAGTTGGCCACTTGGTTTCGCTCCTTGAAATTTGCAAACTCGAATCTTATGTAGTGTCCGCCGCCATCCATAGTCATCTGCCTCATACAACTCATCATCTGTGCTGGGCGAGCTGGGGTCATTGTCCGAATCCAGTGTGTACTGCTTCTTTGCATGCTTCTGTGGGTCACACGCCGAACTCAGAGCCTGTTTTCCTTTTGCTTACTTACATTCTTTGCTTGCTTCTTTTCCAGTGCGTCTGTTCTTTTCCGTTTCCTTTCCTCCAGTCTTTGTTCCTTTTCTTGTTTCTCCTTCTCACGTTGTTCTCTCTTGTGTTCTCGATTCAGTTTTCTGGCCTCTTTTGCCGCAGCCTCTGTCTCCTTTTTCTTCTGTTTTTCAAGTTCCCGGTGGAACACCTCATCAGAGGCTAGGCACCGTGCCTCAGTGATGCAGTTGGTTTGTCTGCCAGTTTTCATCACTTTTGACAGCACAGGTTTCTTAAGCACAGCCGCAAACTTACTTGTGTTTTGGCTTGCAGATGGGGAGACTGCATCTGGAGAGGAGACTGTAGTTGGAGGGGAGACTGTAGTAGGAGCGGAGACTGCAGTAGGAGCGGAGACTTCATGCGAAGAGGTGGGTCCTGGTTCAATATCCATAGGCTCATCAGGTTCATCGTCAGAATCCAGTGATGGCGTAACCTGGTCAGCAGCATCTTCTGTGGCATTAGGTTTCTTTGAGGTGACTTCTTCTTGCTCTGTGTCAGCGGGATTCACATGCACTTCTGCATTGATTTCAAGGACAACAGGCATGGTGACAACTCTGTCATCATTGGGAGGGGGATCTGCAACTTCGGCAGCTTTGTACGTTATCTCTGTCTCCACTGCCGAGAACTGAAGGTGCTCAGGGGTAATGGCATTAGGATTATATGGATAAATCCCTGTTGACTTGAGTCCGCTGATGATGTTGGCCATGGTAAACACCTTGTGGTATACATCTGTGAACAGACCACTGACGTCGTATCTGGTGATGATCCGGTTCGGGTTGTCGCGCATGAAGTTGTCACATCGTTGGTTGTAGGCAGTTTTCACAGACTTGAAAACAGACTTGTCCAGTGGTTGGGTGTGATTTGTGGTGTGGTGTGGGGTGGCATGCAGTACATGTGGATCGAGTTCTCACGGGCACACCTGAGAGTTTCGATGTTGATGTGGGATGCATGCCCATCGAGAATTAGAAGGACTTGGCGTGTGGCAGGTATTGATGGCAAGAAGAGCTTCGTGAACCATGTGCCAAACAGCTCCGCATCAATGCAGCCTGACTTGCTTGTCCCGAACAGGGCTCCTGGTGGTGCATTAGCAGTCAAGCCTACATTAAGGCGCTGACCCTTGAAAATGATGAAAGGAGGAAGTACTGAGCCACTGGCACTGGCGCATATCGGACAGTTACATTCTCTCCTCGTTCCCCACTTGTGCGAGACTGCACCGTTTTCTTCCCCCTAGCTGCTACGATGCTTGATTGGGTGTGCACTCAGCTCAAACCGGTTTCATCGAGATTATATATCTGAGCCGGGCTGGACTTCAGATCAGCACGATCCATGACATCGCCTAATTTTTGAAATGATCGGCGATGGTCGTCGGGTTCAGCATCGATGCTCTTGCTGCTGACAGACCTCCTGGCTTTCTCAGCGACAAGTCAGGATGACGTTCCATAAAGCCTCTGTACCAATCATATCCTGCACTCTTCCTGACATGACTGAATCTATGCTTTATACCAGCATGCTCTGCCATCTGATACGCAAGCTTGCACACAGCCTGCAGTCCAATACCGAAGCCTTGGCTTTCAAGATCTTTGATGTGGCGTACAAGTTCATCCTCATCAGCCATGCTGAATACCGGTGGTCTTGTAGCCGGCAAGGAACTTGGTATCCCCTTGCTGATCCTTCTTGACAGTGTTGATTTGGGGACTCCATACTGTTTAGCTGCCTCTCAGATGCCTAGTCTCCCTTCAGTTACTGCTGTATAAGCACTGGCCATTGCATCAGACTACCACTTCCCTTGCTTCGGAGTCCATGATGTTTTCTGCCGAGCCATTTGTGCAGGTCTGCAACAAACACAACAATTAAATAAAAATAATAAAACTTTATGTAATTGGCACAAGTTTCTGAAATAAACTTATGTAAAGTGACATAAAACTTTGAAACTATTTGAGCACAGCCAAATATTTAGCACCAACACATGCACAGCCACGGTGCACATGATGCTAATTCCAACCTGTCCCACTTACCCCAAACCAATGGGGTGAGTGGGACACATGGAAAATATGCATATTTCCTCATAATTAGACGCATAAGCTTACTTCAAAAAAGATTAACATGAAATCTACAATCCCCAAACACAGTGCACTATCCCTTTTACACCAAGTATCAAAAACATTTCATTAAATATTATGTTGAAATATGTGTCTATCATGCATGTGTTAAGAATTCAAAATGGCCGCCATTACGACACAAACCTTGCATTCGGTTTAGTAATTTTTCATCCTTTTTCCAATGATGAAGTCATTTATATGTTTTGAAAAGGACTGTAACATGTATTTAAAAGATCAACTTACAGACAAACATTGTTTGCTAAATAATCCTGTTTGTTTACGACTAACAATTTAAAAGGAACTAATCATAATATTCGGCAATACAGTTCCACAGTAATGAATGTCAAACGCTGAAACAATCAAGGCACATTATGCATGGCAACATTTTTTAAAATCCACCAAAAAAATCCCAAGAAACTCACGATACGAATAACGTAACTGGTTAATACTTACCTCTCACAGAATGTATTCCCGACAAAATCGACCTGAAATTCGGCTGGAAATCACTCTTTTCCTCCCGAAAAAGGAGCTGCACGTTAACCTCTTTTGTTCACTAAACCAAACAAATTAGTAATACGAAGACTGGGCGCGAGGGCGCAAGAGGTGTAACAAGAAAAATCACTTTTTTAGGGAGAAATCTTTCGCTTAGAAGATTGAAATTTGCCACGTTGATGAATATGTTTGTTCGAACAAGAAAAAAATCTTTACTCCGGTGAAGCTTTATTCACAAAGAATACATAAAGAGAAAAACCTAGACTTGTCCCACTTACCCCAGTGTCCCACTTACCCCACTTTGGAATTACCCAACCTTGAACAATAAACAGCCTGTACCAAAAGTGCACTGCACAGATTACCCAGCCCCTTTTCCTCAAGCCAGCACCTCATGGGAATAAACACAAACTTGAATGACTATTACCTTATTGGCATATGCCAGTAACTTAAAAATATAAACTACTTCATTTCCCAGTGCAACAAAATGCACCTGTATACATTTTCTCTGACCCTGCTAAATGCAACAGAATCCAGTAATATATCAAAAGCCAAGCCTGCTAAATGCAACAACCTGTAACAACTTTTTCCACTGGTGCATTCTGTTGCATTTAGCAGGGTTAGGGTTGATGGTTTGAACCAAGCAGCCATCACTTTTTGCGATTGATAGTGGTAAAGGACCAAGCGAGTAAAGGAGCATTATATTTTACATGATATTAGCTTTGTTTTGCATAATAATTTCAGGATGGTTAAGACACCCACATTTGACAGCAATATTTTCACCTACTTTTAGAAATTATTTTTTACTTTCGATTAGAAGCTATAAAAGTACTTGCCTTTAAGCAAATGTAACGAAAAAAATTGTTGCATTATTTTGCACATTTTGTCAATGAGCTATGCTAATTTGAACATTTCATCATGTTCATGTGCAAAACCTGTTTGTCCACGGAGGTATACATTCCCTTTGCTTGACAGAGCTCGGCTATCGGAACTTTATTTTGAAAGGGCATGACATTTGATTGTTATGTAATGTTATGCAACAATGAACTTAAGCCAAAAGCTCAATGAGTAAATGAACTTAACACTGACATGAATGATTAGACAGCTTCAATAAAAGTTACCAGGGTAAAATATATTTTGGTGGGAAGGTTTTTAAATTTTTATGAACTAAGAAAACATCCAAATTACATAGAATAACGCGTGGACAAGACTGATTTTGATGACTTGCATTCAAATTAGCATAATGTCACTATTTTGCGAATTTTACTAAGCTTTTCACCATGCATGGCTAAAAGCCTATACTTTACCACAATGTAAACAAATATTTAAAATAAGTTCATTAAGTAGCTGAAAATTGCTGTCAAACATGGGTGTCCTTTTTTTTAACCACCCTGTAGAACATTTCTATTGTTATTCAACTCCTTTTAAGTTATTTTAAAAGCTGGCTTATACACATTGTAAATATATAAGTAAATGTACTTAACGAGTAATATCATATTTGTCTGGATACCTATTTTTTTTTATCACAACTTGTCAAATGTCATGTTTGTTTGACAAACTGTTGGAACTTGTATGAGCAACATAAGTAAATTGAGTTGGAAATTAATTGCAAGACTTTTGTGTCAC